AGAGTGTCTTGTGTCCTAACTCATTCAGTACTCATAGCCCTGTGAGGCTGAGTCTGTTCTCATTTTACAGACAAAGCAACTTGCTACAGATAGGGCACAGAGAGGGTAAGTAGTTTGTTCATGTTCACATAGCTAGTAAGTGTCAGCGCCAGGGCTCAGCAGGAGCTCAGGGAGAGTCAGAGCTGCAGGTGTCTGTTGGGAGACAGCAGCGTCTGAAGACTGTAGAGCCGTGCAACTGCGGATGAGGGTCCAACTCATGGGACCGAAAGTAGGGGGACAGAGCAGAGGAGGAGAGGGAAGGAAAATACAGGTGGAAGGATGGGAGGATTGGTGAACTTCTCCAGTGACCTCAGTCATTGCTCTGGCTAGCCCTTGTCTTGGGGAAGATGTTTCTGCTGGTTGAGAGCCAGAGCTAATGAACAGGAATTGCAAGTCAGGAAATATCCAGTACTACCTGGGAGAAGGGAGATGGATGAATTGGTAAAGATGGAACTTTTAGGGACATAAAACCATACTGGCTGTGTGACATGCATTTGTCATAACCCAAAGAAATTTACAAAACAATGAAACAATATAAACTATGGAATATCGACCTCAGTTAATAATGTACCACAGTCTTCATTATTTGGAATAAATGTACTAATAAAAGGTGTTAATACTGTGGGAAACTGGAGGTAAGGGTGGAGCAGTGGGTATTCAACTATCTGCTCAGTTTTCCATTAAAAAAAAAATGCTGCTGCAGGTTTCTTCTAAAAAGTAATGTTGGGTGGTCTAGTGGTTCAGTGCGTGCCTAGGTGGCAATTTACTGTGTGCCGGCATAGTTCCTCGGTGGCCACTCATCATGTGACCCTCATGTAAATATATCTTTATACTGTGGACCATAATGAAATCTGTAATTAAAAACTACCTTCATATGTGACTGTAATTTGGAATAACGTGTTGTTGCCTTGGGGGGGGAGGGGAAGGAATGTTGGATGAGCCCTCTGGTTATTGCTTTCCTAGGATTCAAGAATCAGAAGTCCCAGCTTCTTTAAATACTTTGGCAGAAAGGGGTGCAAGGGTTTATTTCAGGCATCTGATTAAGAACACAAAAGGTTGGGCATTTAGTCTAGCTGTTACGATGCCAGTTGAGATGCCAGTGTCCCAGATTGGAATATCTGAGTTTCAGAGTTTGACTTGGAGTCTCTGCGCCAGCTCCTGACTTGAGCTTCCTGGAGGCAGCAGTGATAGGTTAGTAATTGGGTTCCTGTTGCCTACCCGGGAGACCTGAATTGAGTTTCCAGCACCTGCTGTTGAAGGCATTTGGGGAATGAACCAGATGGAACCTGTTTGTCCATCTCTCTGCCTCCTAAATGAATAAATAAAATTAGAAATGTGACATGGCAGAATGGATAACACACAAGAAAATTAGAAACAAGTATTTATGAGTTATATAACAGATTTTCATCCTGAATTCACCCTAAAATTTCTTATAGGTAACACATTTTATGGTATTCTAGAAAGATAATGGTATATGCAGAGGTGTGCATATGTTTGCATGTCTTAAGAAATATATGGAACAAGCCAGCGCCGTGGCTTGTTAATCCTCCACCTGTGGCGCCGGCACCCCCAGGTTCTAGTCCCAGTTCCTCCTCTTCCAGTCCAGCTCTCTGCTGTGGCCCGGGAAGGCAGTGGAGGATGGCCCAGGTGGTGGGCCCTGCATCCGCATGGGAGACCAGGAGGAAGCACCTGGCTCCTGGCTTCGGATTGGCACAGTGCGCTGGCCGTAGCAGCCATTTGGGGGATGAACCAACGGAAAAAGGAAGACCTTTCTCTCTCTCTCTCTCTCTCTCTCTCACTGTCAAACTCTGCCTGTCAAAAAAAAAAAAAATATATATATATATATATATATATATATGGAACACTTATTCCTTTAGGAATGCTTAGTATCCTTGTCTCCTTTTTCTTAAAATTCAAACCTCTTCAACATAAATTCTCCAATTTGGCAAGATTAAAAAGAACCAAAAAACATTAGAAAAAGTCTTTCCCAGCCCTCCCCCAGATTAGTTATATATCTTTTTTTTTTTTTTTTTTTTGGACAGAGTGGACAGTGAGAGAGAGAGACAGAGAAAGGTCCCCCCTTTCCGTTGATTCACCCCCAGTGGCCGCTGCGGCCAGCACACTGCGGCCGGCGCACCGCGCTGATCTGGAGCCAGGAGCCAGGTGCTTCACCTGGTCTCCCATGCAGGTGCAGGGCCCAAGCACTTGGGCCATCCTCCACTGCACCCTGGGCCATAGCAGAGAGCTGGCCTGGAAGAGGGGCAACCGGGACAGAATCCGGCGCCCCAACCGGGACTAGAACCCGGTGTGCCAATGCCGCAGGCGGAGGATTAGCCTATTGAGCCGCAGTGCCTGCCCATCTTTTTTTTTTTTTTTTTTTTTTTTTTTTTTTTTTTTTTTTAAGATTTGTTTATTTACTTGAAAGTCAGTTACATAGAAAAGGAGTCGCAGAGAGAGAGAGAGAGCGTTTTCCATCCACTGGTTCACTCCCCAACTGGCCGCAACGGCTAGAGCTGCTTCTGGATCTCCCATGCAGGTACAGGGGCCCTGGGGGGCACTGGGGCCATCTTCTACTGCTTTCCCAGGCCATAGCAGAGAGCTGGATCAGAGAAGTGGAGCAGTCAGGACTTGAATCGGCACCCATATGGGATGCCGGCACTGCAGCCGGCGGCTTTACCCACTATACTACAGTGCCAGACCCTGGTGATATATCTTAACAAAGAAGAAATTATATTTTTCCATCATTTTTTCCCAAGTTTTTCTGAGATTTTTACTTCAGCTTTAGTAGACTCACTCTTTGATTTTGGAAGGAGGGGGTGTACTTAAACGTGTAGGTCTGAATAATAGCTCTCTCTGGGATGTCCATCCTTTGTCAGGTTTCTTTGTGTTTCGAGGCCTTGTTCAAATGTTCCTACCTCTCTACCGGAAAATTGTGTCCACCATATGCTTTGTTTTCGCAACGTTTTGGATGTGTTACAGCACTTAGAATGTATTAGATGGCCGACACCATGGCTCACTAGGCTAATCCTCCGCCTGTGGCGCTGGCACACTGGGTTCTAGTCCCGGTTGGGGCGCCGGATTCTGTCCCGGTCGCTCTTCCTGTCCAGCTCTCTGCTGTGGCCCGGGAGTGCAGTGGAGGATGGCCCAAGTGTTTGGGCCCTGTACCCACATGGGAGACCAGGAAAAGCACCTGGCTCCTGGCTTAGGATCAGCGCGGTGCGCCGGCCGCAGCGCACCAGCCACAGTGGCCATTGCGGGGTGAACCAACGGAAAGGGGAGACCTTTCTCTCTGTCTCTCTCTCTCACTGTCCACTCTGCCTGTCAAAAAGAAAAAGAATGTATTAGAGGGAGTAGTGTATGTTGCTGTCCTCTACCAGATAGAGAGTTTCTAAGGACAGGGTGTAAATCTCTGAATCTTAATAATTCTAGGGCAGTGCGTGTAGGTTTTTTAATATTAGTTGCATCCAATTGAAAACCACTTACGTGATTCATAAACCTCAAAACCACACTTAATTCAGCTACATGACAGGACAGTCACCTCCTCCCTGTGACTGTTTCTCAAGGTGCCTGTAAAATCAGCTGTAAAATCATGCCATTCACTTGGTAGCCCTTCAGCAATTCTGAATTCCCTCTCTTACAAACACACAAGCAAAGGTCTCATTTATCTTAGCTTCTAGAAGACTTATCTATTGTTAAAGAGAGAAACATGATAAGACCCTGGTGTGTTTATTTGAAACTCAAGTTCTTTACCTGCAGACTCCCAAGTGGTAGAGAATTACTTGGAATTTGGCATGAATTTGCCAGACACTATATTCTCAAAGCAGTACTTTGTAGAGTCCTCTGTTAGGTCCTGTGTGACTCCTATTGTTGGTTTCCTCCAAGTAGGACACAGTAAAATTGATAGTTCGTGTGAGGTGACCTAACTTAAACAAGTTCTTCCGGGTTGTTGTTGTTCTAGCATTCTAATATAAGAAAAAGAGCATTTGAGTTTTTATGAAGTTTTGTTGTTTGTTGGAAGAGAGAGCATTGTTCATCTAATCTAAGATGCCATGAATTCTCAATTTCGTAAATGGTATAATGTCGTGAAAAACCCCACATGTAATGGTAATTGTTCTTTGAAAATCTGTTTGTTGTCAGTTTTCTGTATAAAATGTCCTTTACGTATTTAGTTCGTTGCTGAGGGGGCAAAACAATACAGAATTTTGGGGCCGAGGGGCCGGTGCTGTGGCACAGTGGGTTAACACTGGGCTGAAGCTCAGCATCCTGTATGGGCGCCAGTTCTAATCCCAGCTGCTCCTCTTCCGATCCAGCTCTCTGTTATGGCCTGGGATAGCAGTGGTAGATGGCCCAAGTCTTTGGGCCCCTGTACCCGCTTGGGAGACCCGGGGGAGGCTCCGGTTCCTGGCTTCGGATCAGTGCAGCCATGTGGGGATCTTCAGATCATTGCAACCATCTGGGGAGTGAACCAGTGGATGGAAGACCTCTCTCTCTGTCTCTACCTCTCTCTGTAACTCTGCCTGTCAAATAAATAAAATAAATTAAAAAAAAAAAAAAAAGAATTTTGGGGCCAAGGCTGTGGCGCAGCTGGTAAAGAGCTGTCTGCAGTGCTGGCATCCTATATGGGCGCTGGTTTGAGACCTGGCTGCTCTACTTCCAATCCAGCTCTCTGCTATGGCCTGGGAAAGCAGTAGACAATAACCCACATCCTTGAGCCCCTGCACCCACATGGGAGACCTGGAAGAAGCACCACACTTCTGGCTTTGGATTGGCCCATCTCCAGCTGTTGTGGCCATCTGGGAAGTGTACCAGTGGATGGAAGACCTCTCTTTCTCCCCTTCTCTCTCTCTCTCTCTGCCTCTGCTTCTGTAACTCTTCCTTTCAAACAAATAAAATAATGTCTTTTTTTTTTTTTAAAGAAAAAAGTACAGAATTTCCACTAATGTCTTTTTTTCCCCTACTAGTTGCTTTCCGATTATACGATTTGGATAAAGATGACAAGATTTCCCGTGATGAGCTGTTACAGGTACGTGGGAGAACTCTCGGATAACTTGGGTTTGGGCCTACTTTCTTATTTTTGTGATTAGGAATTTTTTTTCCATTAGCATTTGTTTAACATCTGCTGTGTGCAGAGTTCTGTTCTAGATAAAAGAGCAGGTGACTTGGGAAAACTTGGAATGATTAAGTCTTCACAGATGGATGTCACCATTATTTAGAAGTTGACCAAGGGAGAGTTGGCTTAGCAGTTAAGATGCCCATACTCCATAGTGGAGGAACTGGGTTTGATACCCAGCTCACTTCTGACTCCAGCTTCCTGCTCATGCAGACCCTGGAGGCAGCAGTGATGGCTCAAGTGACTGAGTCCCCGTTACCTACATGGGAAGCCTGGATTGAGTTCCTGGCTCCTGGCTGTGGCCCCAGACAGGGGCTTTTGTGGGCACTTGGGAGTGAACTAGTGATGGAAGCTTGCACTGTCTCTTACTGCCTCTCAAATAAATATAATTGAAAAAAATTTTTAAGCTAACCAAATGTCTCTTAGGTGGCTAAAATATGTGACATGGTTCATATCAAATAGTTTAGTTATTGCTAGATCAGCTTGTTGGCAGCCAGGTAAGTTTTGGTGATGTGTATGTAGATGCTGCTGGTTTGACCCTCCCCCCCCCCAAATCATTTAAATCTTTTTGAAAACTTCATTTGTTTTTATTTTATTTGAAAGGCAGAGATACAGAGAAAGACACACACACAAACACAATCAGAGTAAGAGAGAGGTATCTTCTGTCCTCTGGTTCACTCCCTAAAGGCCTACAATAGCTGGGGCTGGGCCAGGTCAAAGCCAGGATCTGGGAACTCAGTCTAGATCTCCCATGTGGGTGGCGGAGACCCAAGTCTGTGAGCCATCCCCTGCTGCCTCCCATGGTAAGCATTAGCAAGAAGGTGGAATTGAGAGCAGAGCTGGAATTGATACCAGGCACTCTGATATATGGAAATGTTAGCTTCGCAAGTGACACCTCAACCACTACCCCAAATGTTTGTCCCGATGCCACTGTTCAGTGTGAACTCTGGCCTGATGTGAAAGCCAGGGAAGCACTGATGTGCTGGCGTCCCCTGAGCCCACCGCTCATGGTCTCCTCTTGCTCCTGTGGACACTTCCCTGTCCTGCTAGCAGTGACTGGAATTTCTTCCTGTTAGCAGTGCCCTTCTCTCACTTTCTTACACCTTTCTCCCCTCCTGTAAGTTTAGAAGGGAAGAAAATTACTCCTTTTTAATATATTTATTTGTGAGTCTAGAGGACCCTAGAAGGGTAACACATTTAGGAATTTTCTTAGAAAATTTTCTCTATTTCTAGATGGACCTAAAAAGTGTAGTGGTTTCCACTCCCTCTTGAATAAATATGAATTTATTCAGTGTCTTATTGAGAAGTCTTCTAAGTTGAGGATTACTCAAGTCATGTGAGGACCAGTCCATTGTTTTCCTCCATTTCTGTGTCTGAGCAAAAGCTGAAACAGTCTGTTGTTGGGCACAAGTGCCCTTGTTTGAGCACTTGAGTATCTGTCTTCTCCAAGAAGAGTTTGCTTTATTGAAAGTTGACACACATGGGCTGGCACTGTGGCGCAGCAGGTTGAAGCCCTGGCCTGAGGGGCTGGCATCCCATATGGGCACCTGTTCTAGTCTCAGCTTCCAATCCAGTTCTCTGCTATGGCCTGGGATAGCAGTAGAAAATGGCCCAAGTGATTGGGCCCCTGTATCTGCGTGGGAGACCCGGAGGAAGCTCCTGGCTCCTGGTTTCGGATCACGCAGCTCCAGCTGTTGTGGTCATCTAGGGAGTGAACCAGTGGATGGAAGACCTCTCTCTCTGCCTCTACCTCTCTCTGTAACTCTGTCTTTCAAATAATAAATCTTCAAAAAAAAAAAAAAAAAAAGTTGAGACATGTGGGCTTCTGGGTTCTGATGAGAAAAGATAGAGGCAGTCTGTCTGTAGTTGTGTGTTTTTATCCCCTGGCCTGGATCTGGCTGCCAGAAAGATTTTTTTGGAGTAGAGGATTGATTAATTTTCTATTATTAGGAGGCAGGGAGGAGGAGGAGGAGACTGTTGAGAGTGCCAGTCAATGCCACTGGAATATTCCTGGGGCCAGGAATGACTTTGGAACAGATGTGCTCATGCACTGGTGAGGTGTTAGATGACTAGTTTCATTGCAGCAAAAGGATATAACATTTGGCCAAAGTGAGAGAGGTGAATATCTTATCTTTCTAGTTACTGCAATTTCTAAAAACATTGAGTAATTCAGTAGATATGAGTTTCTCCTAAGGAAAGGCTGAATGATACTGTTTTATTAATATGGTTCTTATAAAAAATCCAGGTTGGGCCGGTGCCGTGGCTCACTAGGCTAATCCTCTGCCTTGTGGTGCCGGCACACCGGGTTCTAGTCCCGGTCAGGGCACCGGATTCTGTCCCGGTTGCCCCTCTTCCAGTCCAGGTCTCTGCTGTGGCCCGGGAGTGCAGTGGAGGATGGCCCAAGTGCTTGGGCCCTGCACCCCATGGGAGACCAGGATAAGTACCTGGCTCCTGCCATCGGATCAGCGTGGTGTGCCGGCCACAGCGCGCCGGCCGTGGCGGCCATTGGAGGGTGAACCAACGGCAAAGGAAGACCTTTCTCTCTGTCTCTCTCTCTCACTGTCCACTCTGCCTGTCAAAAAAAAAAAAAAAAAAATTGTGAAAGACAACCACTGTACTTATCACAAGTGCAAACCTGAAAATAACCTAAATGTCTAAAGTGTCCCAGGTGGTGTCAATTCAAAAGCCTAGGCTTAAATTCCAAAAATTGTATAGCTCATTGTGGCATTTATAGGCCAATAAAGATAGTTCTATTCCCCAACTCATTTTATGAGGCCAGTATGACTAACTAGCATGCTCCCTGTACTGCCAAAGTATAACTTGATATGAACCTTATAGACACTACAAGGAAATTACAGGGCAGTCTCTTACTTATATATAAAAAATCCTAAACTAAATGTTAACATATTGAATCTAACAATTTATGAAAAGAATATTTTATTATAACCAATATGAGCTTATACTAGGAATTCAAAGTTGGTTTACCATCAGAAGGTTAGTACATTTTATCAGATTTAACAGGTTAAAGATAAAAAATTAACTGGTCTTTTCCATAGAAAAATCATTTTATCAAATTCATCATTTATGATTTTAAAAAATCTAAGGAAAACAGAAATAGAAGGAAGCTATCTTAAATCAATAAAGGGTTTACACAAAAACTTTCACCAAATATTAAAAATAATTGATTGCTAGGACCTGGTTCAAGCCACTTCTAGGCCTTGATGTCCTCATTTGCAGACTATACAAGATGGTCTTTAAGATATCACCACTCCTATCCCCAGCTCCCTATAAATATACAAAGCACACATGCATCATCCATGTCTATAATTCTGAAAATAAAACCACTGAGGAGATAATTGGACTGAGATAAGCAGAAGCTGCTGTTTGAGGATGGGTTTATCTGGTTGGCCTCACAGAGAAGATGGCACATAATATAGCCTAAATCACTTACAGGCATAACCTCTTTTTATGAATCCTTCAATCTCTGTACATTTGTTCCTAAAATATACAACCTTCAATTTTTAAGAATTGATTTTTGAAAAAAATGAGTTCTTTTCAAAAAAATCCTGTCATGTACTTTTTGTTTTCTGTCATGTACTTTTAAAAAAAAAATCCCATGTACTCTGATGTCTGTTGAAGTGTTTGTTTAGTTAGAATATTTTTAGAAATGATGTGAGGCGTCAAAAAGGCATCCTCTCCTGTTTCATGTTGTCTGTGAGTCAGCCTTTGCATGTCTCCTGAGAGTCCTGTCATCAAACTTACTTACTTTGCACGAAGTAGCAATTTTTAATGTATGTTCACATCCTGAGGTGTTAGTAGAATGCGGGGAGGTGGGGGGATCCTTGGAAAGGACTTGGCTTTTCTTAAAAAATAGTTTTCTGAATTTCTGTGATTTCTCATCTTCTGGGCAGGTTAAATTTGATTTGGTTTTAGTCTACTTTTTATTTATTTTCATTTTGTTAGGGAGAGAGACAGAGACAGAGTCTGGTCATTCATTCCCTGAATGTCCACAACTGAAGTTGGACCGGGCTAAAGCCAGGAATGTGGAACTCAATCCAGGTCTCCCACCTTGGTGGCAAGGACCCAATTACTTGAGGCATCATATGCTGCCCTCTCAGGGTGCACATTTACAGGAAGCTGGATCAGAAGCAGAGGTGGGACTTGAACCTGGCACCCTAAAATACAATGCCTGTGTCCCACACAACATCTTAACCACTGCGCCAAACACCTGGCCCAGGAGTTATCATTTAACATAGTTCTTTTTGTTCAGATCTTAATGTTCTACCTCAGAGGTGGCTGTATTTGGGTGTAATCCCGTAACACCCCACCAAAATGACTTAATCAGTAAGGAAGTTCTTTGCCTCATGATACGAGACGTCTGAGGGTAGGTGGCTCAGGCTGATACAGTACCTAAATGACGTCCAGGAACCAGGCTCACCGCACAGCCCCAGAATGAGTGCTGTGCCACCAACACGTGCTGTATCTGCATCTGGGCAGGCAGTGTGAGGAAGAGAACAATGCGAAGGACTGTGTCGTTGTCTTTCCCTTCCTGTCCATCAGCCTTGCCAGAGAGTTCTGCTCACACCGTTGTCTAGAAGGGCCTAGATGAGAAGATAAGGGTTTCAGCTTTGCAGCTGTTACCTTCGAGGGTATCAGAGGAAAGGGGGAATGGGTAGCTTTATCTCTCATCTCAGTAAAAGAGCCCTCTGACCCCCACATCACATAGAATTTCTGGCTCTCGGTCCTGCAGGTGCTGCGCATGATGGTTGGAGTGAATATCTCAGATGAGCAGCTGGGCAGCATCGCAGACAGGACCATCCAGGAGGCTGATCAGGATGGAGACAGTGCCATATCTTTTACAGAATTTGTTAAGGTTGGTTAGTCACCTCTTGGTTTTGAAAAAATTAAATTTTCCTGCACAGGAACGAGAGGAGAAAGGTAAGAGTTTGGGGCTGCCTGCAGCCTTCATAACTGTAATATATTTTTGTTGTTTTTTTCCCCCTCAGGTTTTGGAGAAAGTGGATGTAGAACAGAAAATGAGCATCCGATTTCTTCACTAAAGGACAGAGACCAAATTGTTCCTTGCTTTCTCGTATTTAAGAACTGGAACCTAAGAGTCCTTCTGTCCACCAGCTCCCCCTAAGCCCCATCATTCCCCTTCTCCTAAAGTACTACTGCTGTTGCATGACTACCCCAAATACGTTCTGTTAACACAAACCTGCCTTTGGTGTATAAACAGGGCATTACACAACGGTACACCCGGTCTGTTTCTGTTCAGTATCCATACGTGGGTTCTCCACTTACGTCTGTCATCTCCTGTGCTGCTGCTGAATGCCACACATCCATCTGGTCTGCGAAAGTGAGAGGGAACCATGCCAAGAACCAGCAGGCTGAGCTCTTTGCGTGAGTCTAGACTCTAGCCATGCTGCCTTCCCTCCAACGAGGCTCCAGCATGCTTCGTCTCCCTTTATATCTGTCCTTTGCTTCCTACTTCTCCCTCACACCCAACCTACTGTTCACTTAGTCTTTCTGTCTCCTGCTTTTTCTTGAGCCTCAAATTCCCTCTGTTCTGCTTGGCACCCCAAGCTATGCCTGTTGATTATATTTCTGACTTGGCAGGAATAGTGCGGAGGTCTGGCTGAGCTTATCTACCTTCACTCTCAAATCGGTCTCTAGGATGCTGCCTTTTCAGGAGCTTTGCAGTAATTAACACTTCTCTCAGAAAGGGACCATCTCTTGGTCCTCTGCACTCTGTTCTGTCATCAAAGGGCTTCTGGGTGGAAGTGTCCATCCTGAAAGGTGGCCTTGGTGAGAAGTGTGGAGCCAAGTATTCTAGGTGATCTGCCCCAGTCACCCTACCTCTGGCCTCTGATTCTCCACTACATGGCTGTCTAGCTAATGCAGTGATGACTATTCAGAAAAGAGCCTTATGCCTGCAGGTTTGCTTGTTTTGGGGACATTGTCACCACCAGAACGGCTGCTCTGAATAATATATGTGGGGACTTTCTCATGGCTTTTTGAACAAGGATGCTGGGCACCCTATACAGCCTTCTGCATTCATACCATTGCAGCATGGTTTATGCCTCAGTGTTACATGCACTGGAATGTTTTTCACTTCACATTTCCAAGTAGAAAGATTAGTGTTACGGAAGTGCCTAACTTATCCCAGTCTAAAAGATTTAAAGATTGTCCTCAGCATCTTGAAGTTTTGCACAAAATTCTTTATGAAGAATTTTTTATACTTGGCAAATGTTAATGCTGGAAGCCATAGACAGCTCCTAACACAGGTCCAAAGCATTGAATGTATTGTATCATTCATTGCCTGGTTACATTAGCTTCCTAGTTCCTCCTGTAGACCACTGCTAATCCCTTAGAAATAAGGGGTCTGGCACCACTGGCACAACCTAAGGTGGCATTACAAGTCTTTGAGCAAGCCAGAGCAACTTCTCTGCCAAAGTCAGCTTAACCTAGACTTTGTTGAATTAATTGTTGCCATCCTAATGTCTGCCTGAATGAGTCTGTTCACCTATACAAGTATATCTGCCCTCAGCTGACTTTCTCTGATCGCTTGCTTGCGTGCTTGCTTGTTTCCTTGCCTTGGAAGCCTATCCAACATGCGTACACAATTCTTTAGGAAAGGTATTGCTTAAAAAAAAAAAATCCCTGTGGAGGGATGGGGAAGAGTAGGGAACAGAGGACTGGCCAGGCTGGATGACTCAAGTCTAAATGATGAGGACTTCTTTATGAAGTACCAGTCTGACTTTGTGATCAAGTGATGTAATATAGGAATTGTATAAAAGGGAAGAATTAATACTGATCTGTTAAAGAGGTACTTTAGAGGCTCCTTGATTTGCATATTTAAATAAAGTTCCTAAGATTATGGCTTTTCCTCCCTTTTGGCTGTATAGCAAACTGTTTTAATCCACAGTTGTGCCTTATTGTCCCATTAAAATTGTATTCTTCAATCCATCAATAAATACTTGTGGTTAAAAAAAACTTGATTTTTTTCTGTGTGTTTCTGTTATGTAACTGATACTCCTTCTAGTTTGAAATCACAAATGATGTCTCCCTTACTCAGGTTTATGTCTGTACTATCAAATGCAGATCTAATCTGCTGCCTGGACATGCGAAGTGGAGGCATTCAGGTAGGGGCTGGTGCTGTTTTCCTCCAGGCATAGTTTGTCAGCCTTGGCCATTTCTGATTCATTCCAGGTAAGATTCCATTTATATTCTTGACTTCTTAGTTTCTTGAATGTTTAAAAGGGGTAGGGTGGGGGGCTAAAAATAACTGTATCTGCCTGTTGCTTGTTACTGAGTTGCCCAACCCTCATTCACCTGCAGCCTGTCTCAGTGATGCACTCAGCTTTCACATGGTCACATTGTCCAGATTGTGGCTGCTTCGTCAGCCCAGGGTACAAGTGCCTCCTATGTCTTGAAGACTTCGTAGTATACCACAGGACCAAGAGCAGTAAACCACTGCAGTTAGTCATCTGGAGTTACAACCTGATGCCTGCTTGCCCTTGTCACACCCTTCTGCCTCAAAAGTCCATGCAAATGACTTCCAGTGTTTCAGCTTTTCTTCACTTTGGGTCGAATTTTGAGATTTGAAGAAAGTGGGAGATAGCTGGAGTAACCATGCAGTTTTGGAGGACTTAATATATAGATAAATCATCATTACTGAACTGAAATTCTCTAAATATACATTATTTTGCAGAAGCTTTAATAAGTGATTCAAACTAAAGATGGCTGGTGATTGCCAATACAGATCTGTCTAGGAGAAATGCCAATTGAATTATTTTCTTTTTCTTTTCCTCCACACCTTAATGTTACTGATTATGGCCACAGGTATACCAGTCTGTGACTAAAATAAAACTTAATTGATGCTGTAAAAACATTAGAACATTAGCTAGATTTTGGGTAAAATCCCTGTGACACTAATTTTATTTCCATTGCTCCCTTCTGGTCTATTCATGCGTTATGTATTTGAACATAATGGAATATAACTTATCAGGCTTTTAAAAATCAACATATTGGGGACAAGCTTGTGGCATAGTGTGTAAAGCTGCAGACTGTAACACCGGCATCCCATATGGGCACTGGTTCTTGTCCCAGCTGCTTTGCTTCCAATCCAGCTCCCTGCTAATGTGTCTAAGGGAGCAGCAGAAGATGGCCCAAGTGCTTGTGCCCCTGCATCCATGTGAGAGACCTAGAAGAATCTCCTAGTTCCTGGCTTTGGTCTGGCCCAGCCCTGGCAGTTGGAGGCATTTGGGAAGTGAACCAGTGAATGGAAGATCTGTCTCTCCCTCTCTCTCTATAACTATGCCTTTCAAGTAATATAAATATTTAAAAAAAAAATCAACATTATAATATTCCCTCATACCATCTGTTCTTTCTAGTTTATATTAGTGGGTATGTGATGTTTCATGAACCTGGTGTAATATTTATTTTCTTGTGTATACATTGCTTCCAATTTTATGTTGTAAAGTGTTGATACATGACTACCTTTCTGCGTATAACTGAAAAAATTTTACAGAAATGTTATTAGGTCAAAGTTAAAACATCTAGTTGCAGCTTTTGACAAGTTTCAAAAGAAGTTAACCCCACAATTGAATAACTGTGCTTTACTTTCAGTGTTGTTTTTGCAATGTTCTTTGGAGTCCCTTGTTTTTTCCATGTTGATTTTAGAATATGTTGTCAAGTGTTGTATTTAAAATACTGTTAGAATGGATTCTGTTGAGAAGCAAGTATTGATTGCAGCAATGCCTCAGGAAGTAATGCCTTTACAAACTGGTTTTCTGAAGGGGCCATCAAAGGAGGTACTTTTCTCTGAAGGGAGGAGAGAACTTCCACTTTGGTTATGTCCTTGTCTTAATACTGATGGAGTTGGTGCACTCAAAAGGCTTCCATAGCCTTGGCAGCTCATGACAAGAGCCTCGGGTGATCACTGATGTCGTAAATAAGAGTGTCAATTGACAAATGAACAATGTGTACTTGCTCCACATGGAGGACCTCTGTCCTTAAGGAGTTGTACTATGAGAATTAATGGTAAAACTAGTCTTCAAACAGTACTTTATACTTTGTGTGTCTGTGTGGGTGCAAACTGTTGAAATCTTTACTTAGTATAGAGTTGACCTTCTGTATATAAAGATAATTAAAAATGAACCTTAATGAAGAATGGGATGGGAGAGGGAATAGGAGGTGGGACAGTTTGGGAGTGGGAGGGTGGGTATGGGGGGGAAGAACTGCTATATTCCCAAAGTTGTACCTATGACATTTATATTTATTACATAAAAGCTTTCTTTAAAAATGTTTTTCTTAGGCTGCAATCAGCTATTTATGCTACTTCCTAAACACTAAAGAAAAATTGCTTGGAAGGAAGTCATTAGCACTGGGCTGAAATTCCCTAAATGAACATTATTTTATCTGTTCTTTGAGTTAACAAGTGATTCAAACCAAAGGTGATTGGTGTTTGCCAATCTAGATCTATTAGGAGAAATGCCAATTTCATGATTTTCTTCCACACCAAGCAGTGATGGGAGATTTACCTGAGACGTTTTTAAACCCCTGCAGGCTGTTCCTTCACAGCTCCGGGAGGAAGGCAGGCTGCAATGGCATTTCTTTGCATTGCCATAAGTGATGGCCTGGCATTTTTGTTGGAGGTGTATTTATTTAGTAGAAAGGCAGAAAGAGACAGACAAATCTTCCATTTGTTGGTTTACTCCCTAAATGGCCACATCAACTGAGGTTGGGCCATGCTGAAGCTAGGAGCCAGGATTGCCATCTGGATCTCCCACATGGGTGGCCGGAACCCAAGTACTGGAGCCATCATCTGCTACCTTCCAGGCTCATGAGCAGGATGCTGGACTAGTAGCTGGGCAGCCAGGACTGGAACCAGCACTCTGGTATGGCATGTAGGCATCCCAAGCAGGGGCTTAACCTGCTACACCTTAACACCCACCGCATGGAAGTTAGCCTTGAGATGCCTATACTCTTTGGTTTCTAAGCACTCAGCTTCTCTCACTGAAACTAGCAACAATGTTTATTTGAAGACACATTGACACTTCCCATCATACTTTGCAGTCTGTTCAGTAAAATGGAAATTAAGTAAAACATTCTTGATTACAGCAACAAAAAAAATTTAGTTACTTCATGTAATTCAGGCTTAGTCTAGATCCTTGTAACTCAATACTGTATGTATAATTCGTTCATCTGTTTGACACTACTCCCCAGCAGAATTTTAGAGTAAGTCATTACATGGTGTATGAAGACATGCAAAAGAATATTTTTTAAAAAGATTTATTTATTTGAGAGGCAGAGAAAGAGAGAGGTCTTCCATCCACTGGTTCACGCCCCAAATGGCTGCAACGGCTGGAATTGGGCCGATCTGAAGCCAGGAGCCTGGAGCTTCTTCTGGGTCTCCCACAAGGGTGCAGGGGCCCAAGGACTTGGGCCATCTTCTCCTGCTTTCCCAGGTGCATTAGCAAAGAGCTGGATTGGAAGTGAAGCAGACAGATAAAACTGGCACCCATATGGGATGCTGGCACTGCAGGAAGCTGCTATGCCACAGTGCCGACCCAAAAAGAATATTTTTAAAAAGATTTACTTATTTTAAAAGCAGAGTTATAGATAAGGAGAGCAGACAGAGAGCGAGCATTGGTTTACTCTCTAAATGCCTGCAGTAGCCAAGGCTGGGCCAAGCCAAATCCAAAGTCTGGAGCCTGGAACTCTTTGAATCTGTTCACTTGGGTGGTGGGGGTGTAAGCACTTAGGCCATCTTCCACTGCTTTCTCAGGCATGTTAACTGGATCGGAAGTAGAACAGCCTGGACTTGAACCAGTGCCTATATGGGATACCAGTGTTGTAGGCAGTGGCTTATCCCAGTATGCCACCATGTTGGCCCCATTAAATTATTTCCCAGAAGCAAAATAGCAAGGGTATTCAGGGCACCTTGTTATCTTGGCTGGTTGTGGAACCAGGGAAAACAAAGATGGTAGCTATATTCAGATTTCAAAGAACCTGTCCTTGAAAGGTTCTCATTTTTCAGAACAGATAGGGTAGTTTAATATAGGATTTTAGAGCATGGACTTTGGAAACAGATTGGGTGGCTTCAAATTCTGATTCTGCCACTTAACCGATCACATGAACTTAGGCAATTCACATAACTCTTCTGTGTGCATTTCCTCAACTATAAAATTAAGGATTATGAAGATCATAAAAATACCAGCTTCAGGCCGGCGCTGCGGCTCAATAGGCTAATCCTCCACCTAGCGGCACCGGCACACCGGGTTCTAGTCCCGGTCGGGGCGCCGGATTCTGTCCCGGTTGCCCCTCTTCCAGGCCAGCTCTCTGCTATGGCCAGGGAAGTGCAGTGGAGGATGGCCCAAGTACTTGGGCCCTGCACCCCATGGGAGACCAGGAGAAGTACCTGGCTCCTGGCTTTGGATCAGCGCGGTGCACCGGCTGAAGCGGCCATTGTGGGGTGAACCAATGGAAAAGGAAGACCAAAAAAAAAAAAAAAAGATTATTTATTTGAAAGGCAGAGTTACAGAAAACCAGCTGATGGAAAAACCTCTCTCTCTGCCTTTCAAATAAATAAATCTTTAAAAAAGAAAAGCATTTTCTCTTGAAGATCAGTTGCTTTTTTTAAAAAAAAAAGTTTATTTATGGGGCCAGCATTATGGCCTAGTGGGTAAAGCCACTACCTGAGATACCAGTATCCCATAAGGGTGCTAGTTTGTGTCCTGGCTGTTCCACTTCCAATTCAGCTCCCTGTTAATAGCCAGGGGAAAGCAATGGAAGATGGTCCAGGTGTTTGGGACACTGCCACCCATGGCGGGAGTAGGGGGACAGGGAAGGGAAACTTGGATGAAGCTCCTGGCTCCTGACTTCAGCAGAATGAACTGAAATAGCAGAATGATGATCTCTTTCTGTCTAACTGCCTTTCAAATAAAAAAGAATTAAAGATTTTTTTAATTTATTTACTTGAGAGAGTTACAGAGAGGAAGGGCTAGGGCTTCCATCTGCTGGTTCATTCCCCAAATGGCCGTAACAGCTGGAGCTGGGCACATGTGAAGCCAGGAGCTTCTTCTGGGTCTCCCACATGGGTGCAGGGGCCCAAGGATCTGGGCCGTCTTCTACTGCTTTTCCAGGGCATAGCAGAGAGCTGGATCAGAAGTGGAGCAGCTGGGATTCAAACTGGCACCCATATGGGATCCCAGCACTGTAGGCAAAGGCTTAGCCTACTATGCCACAGTGCCAGACCAAATAAAGAAATCTTTAAAAAAAAAAAAAAAACTTTAAAAAATGTTTATTCAGGCCGGCGCCGCGGCTCGCTAGGCTAATCCTCCGCCCTAGCGGCGCCGGCACACTGGGTCCTAGTCCCAGTCGGGGCGCCGGATTCTGTCCCGGTTGCCCCTCTTCCAGTCCAGCTCTCTGCTGTGGCCTGGGAGTGTAGTGGAGGATGGCCCAAGTGCTTGGGCCCTGCACCCCATGGGAGACCAGGAGAAGCACCTGGCTCCTGGCTTCGGATCGGCGCAGTGCACCGACCGTAGCAGCCATCTGGGGGGTGAACCAATGGAAGGAAGACCTTTCTCTCTCATTAACTCTGCCTGTCAAAAAAATGTTTACTCAGTTTTACTATTTGAAAGAGCAATGGAGAGATTGAGATCTTCCATTCACTGATTCACTCCCCAAAAGCCTGCAACAACTAGAGATGGACCAGGGTGAAGCTGGGAGCCAGTTACTGCATCTGGGTCTCCCACGTGAGTGGCAGGGACCCAATCACTTGAACTATGACTACTGCCTCCCACCAACTGCATCAGAACGAAGCAGGAGTCAGGAGTGGGCGCAGCGGCATTTTAACCAGTGTCTAACTGCCAGGCCAAATGCTTGCTCCCTGATCACTGTAGTTTTACTCAATTTGAAATCGAGTAGTGAATTCCTCCCATTTTTTCCATTTTCAGAACTGTTGGTTGGAAAAACAAAAAACTGCCTTGGAGATCCTAGATCCTTTGGAGTTCCAAGGACCGCAGGATCTGCTTTTTTTTTTCCCCCCAAACAAATCCAAACTGCTATTTCGTAAAGACTGCATCAAACCTACAGATCACACTGAGAATTGTCATCCTAACCATATTGAGTGTTAATCCCTGAAATTCTGGGAAGTCTCTTCCACTGAACTATGTCTTCATTCATTTCTCTCAGCAATGTTTTGTACTTTTTAATGTATAAATTAATTTAAAAATATTATTTGAGAGAGACAGAGAACTTCAATCTGCTGGTTCACTCCCCATCAAGCACGATGTGAACTGGCAAAAATAAGACTCCCTGGGCTCCGGGGAAGGCTCGCGGGGCGTTCCGGAGGCTCCGGGGACCCACACCAAACCCCGGGTCGGCTGGGCGCAACACGCCATAGCTCCGGGAGCCGTTGCGCGGGGCACCCTGGCCCCACGGACTTGCTGGTCTTCCGGCAGGAGGACGGTTCGTGCCCGGGTGTACCGAGGTCAGCTGCAAACAGCAGCTCTGAGGCACAGTCGGGAACCACCCAGTTGTTTCCCTAAGAGTCAAAGCCTTCGTTCGGCCTCAGGATGAAATGTTAAGAATAGTCGTCCGGTCTACGCAGACTCTTACCTCAAAGTGACATTGTTACAGTCGAATTAGAGTTGAATTGCTCTTGCCACCCCAAAAACGCTCCAAGAGACCTTCTCTCATGTAATTAACAAAGGGTAAAGTTTATTGATGTTCCGACATGTCGGGGGCCCCCGTCCCAGTACAGGCGAGCGGCCTCGAATAGTCTTGGGTTGGGGTTTTTATACACGTTTAAACAAAGAAAATCAATCATTGCGTAGAGCAGACAGTGGTATAGAGTAAACAATTGATACAAGTTAAGTGATTTTACAGTCAGTTGATTTATGAACACAGGGAGTATCAAAAAGCCTCCTATTGCCAAAAGGGAGGGCCACACAAGATTGCAGGAACTGCCTTGATGATACCTAGGAATGCAGCCGAATGGCGATAAGGGACACCTGGTGGGGTCAGGGTTCCAGGAGGCAAAGAGATATATGGTGACTTCTTCTATCTTACTTAGGTGAAACTAAGGTTACGCTCACATTGGGGTAATTTACTGACCAATTAACTTTATAGAGAATGGCTATGCAGAGCAAGTCTAACGAGGTCAGGAAAGTTCACCAGAGGAGGTTGGGGGTGTGGGGGGAAGCGGCTTTTAACTTTTTAACCCTTCAACATCGCTTCCACGCGGAAGGAATTTTACATTCCAACAAAGGTAACACAAAAGAATGTGCCCCTTATTACCTCAACCCACGACCCAATCCAACAAAAAAGAAAGAGTGGGGTGAGTGCTATTGATCGATGTGCATTCCAGCCAATCTACGGCGGGCGCACAGCGCGCGAGAGCAGGCCCGCGTCCAATCAGTCCCCAGCAGTAGCAGCGGAGGCGGGGCTTGTGAGAAGGGCCTTCCTCAGGGTTCGCGGAGCTGAGAAGGAGCGAAGATGGCGGAGTGAGGCGGGCCGTGGCCTGCTGGCCTCTGGGCCGGGGGCGTAAGGCCCCCGGGAGGCCAAGTGTAGCAGTTGGGCCGTGTAAGGTGAGTCGAGAAAGCCGACAAGGGGCGAGCAGGCGGTGAGGAGGTGGCACCGCGGGGGACGGGAGCGCCAGGAAGCCGGCCGCACCCGTGGCCTCGGCCGGGCGGGGTTTCCACCCTCGGGAGCCCCAGGCCGGCCAGCAGCTGCCTTCCGGGTGTAAAGCACAGCGCTCACGCTCCCCGACCGCCGCTCCCTCCCTGCCGGGGCTGGGCTTCTGGCTGCTTTTGTGCTTTCGGCTTGTTCCCCGGAGATCGCACCCACGCGGGGCTGGACCTGGCAGCCACTGCGTCAGCCGATTTATTATCATTTTTTCTGTCGAGTGTCTTTGTTTTGTTGACTGAATCTGCACCGATCGCCTCAGGACTTGTGGCCGCCCTTGCCCGAGACTCGGCCATCAGTGGAGTAGTGCATGTCCCCGCCCGTTGACCTTGCCGTGTGGTGTGCAGGTTTCCCCTGGGCTTGCTTTGTCGCAGACATCCTGGCGCAGTCTTCCCTCATTCCTCTCGTCTGGACGCCCGAGCGCACCTCCCAAACTCGGCGTCGGAGTTGGCAGCTTTGTCCTTGTACGTCCGAATGATGGCCTGTGGCGCATTAATTTCTGCTGACTCCGGGTCTTGGAATTCACAGATGTTGGGTTTTGACACAGAACTGAAGGAGTTGGTATGCAGTACTTAGCAGTAGTAGTGGTATTTTGATAGAGAGAGGATGAGAAGTCGTTTTTGGCAAATGTTATGTTAGGTAGGGAGTCAGTTATGAGCTTGTGTGTGTGTGTGTGTGTGTGTGTGACATAAAAGCCTAAAGAGAAGACATCTATGTCCAGCACATGCTGCATCTCAAAGTCATCCTGATGGTGTTTCAGGGGCAGCCCGGTATTCACATCCTGCCCTGCCCCCTTCTACCTGATAACCTGCCAAGTGGAGGTCCCCGCCCCTTCTGCCTGACAAATCTTCCACTATCTCCCAGGTGCAGCTCAGTATCTGCATTTCAAATACCCTGCTCCTGATCCCCATTCTCTAGGGGGTCCTGCCCTCCCTTCCTCCTGTCTGATAACGTTTGCATCCATAAAGTCCTTTGTTTCAGACCTTCAAGAGAAAACTCAGAAGTTTTTCTATTTACATCCAAAAAGCCCTTTGTTCCAAGAGGAGCAGAGGTGGGGAAGCCAGACCCATCTCCTTAAAACCCCCGGCCTCAACCAGACTGCGCGCTCAGCCCTCTGCCTCTCTGCTGAGTCGATCGCCTGGTCTGGCCGGGTGTAATCTCTCCACCCAACCTTGTAACCTCTCCCCCATCCCCAGTCTGAGCGACTGGGCACCCTCTCAGGCTCTGTCTGGAGAGGTGCCCATCCATCCTTACGGATGTCCCTTCCCTAATAAACCTTGCTATTTTACCTCCCACTACTTTCTTTATTGAAAGAAGAGAGTCCATAGCTCACTAGATTCTCAATGGAGTGTGTTTCATAAAAGCTTGGGAACTTAAACTCCAAGACTTTTGACATCTTTCTAAAAACTAATGGCAGTTCAGGTAGAGTAACTTCTTTCTGATAGTTTATTTTAATATTTTCTGACCATGATCTCTCTTTTTTATTTTTTAGGAATAGCTTATTTTGTTTGAATAATATTGTCTATCAGTGAGGTCTATATCCATACTTTACTGTTCTTTTTATTTTCAGGTTCCTTATTACAGGAAGAACATTTCCCTTGACATTTAGGTGCTTTTTATTCATCTGGAAAACAAGATTCTGAACTCAGGATTTGGCAAGTAAGTAAGAGTGAGCTCATCATTCTGAATACTGCTCCAGTGGCTTGAAAATAGCTAAATAAGAGTGGGTGGTTAGCCTAGCAATTTGCCTGTACCCCACATCCAGGTGGCTTGGTAGGATTATCAGTCCCACTTCCTTCCAGTGTAAGCCCTAAGAGGCAGAGGTGATGTCTCAGTATTTGGGTTTCTGCCACTCATGTGAAAGACTTGGATTGAGTTCCTCTCACATAAAAGTTTTTAGAAAGAAAATAGCTAGAGAGAAGGGAGCAGTGAGTCATTAGCTTCATCAGAAGGTGACCATTAAAAATTACTATTGACTAATGATAGTTAGATTGCCCCCCCTTTAAAAATGCTTATTTATTTATTTATTTGAGAAATAGGCAGAGACAGAGAGCTCCCATCCACTGGTTCACTCCCCAAATGCCCACAAGAACTGGGACTGGGTTGATGCTAAAACTGGGAGCTGGAAACTCATTCTGAGTCTCTCATCTGGGTGGCAGGAACCCGGTTACTCGTGCTGTCCCCATCACCTCCCAGGGTCACCATCAACAGGAAGTTGGAGTTAGGAGCCAGATGTGGGAAACAAAGTACTCCAGTGTGGGATGGAGGCATCTTAACTGCTCTCTTAACCAGTGGGCCAGACACCTGCCACAGTCTTATTTTTCCTCAAAAGTAATGTACTAAGCAAAAAAGAAAAAAATGTTATCATTTGCCCAGTGGATAATTTTTATTGGATTTGTAAAAAGATAGATTTCATTAGATTGAAGGATATCAACTGGTTATATAAATGTTACTAGGCAAATTTTAGAATGTATTCAAGTTTTAATTATAGACAAAGTAGTATTTAATCATTCACTTCTAAAACTTTTCAGTATATCTTTAGTATTCCAAGATATACATCTATTCCGTGCCAAATGTTGGTATCTTCTAAATTGACCACAGAAGTAAAGTAGGTTTTGTTGTTGAAAGAGCAAGAAGTTGTATATGCTTTCTTTTCCTCCTCCTCCTTATCGTTATTATTATCATTATCATTATTATTATTATTCTGACATTAACCTTATCTGCAAACCAGGCTTCATTCCTACTGTGTTAGTTTGCTAGGCTTATTGTAACAAAGCACCACAAACTGGGTAACTGAGAAATAGAGAAATTTATTGTCTCATGGTTCTGTAGGTCAGATAGAAAAAAGTAAAGTTGGTGGCAGAGCTCCTCTTTGAAGGCTCCAGGGAAGGCTCTGTTCCAGGCCTTATTTCTAGCTTCTGGCAAATCCCTGGCTTATGGCAGTATAATCCCGATCTGCGTTTAGATTTCTCCCTGTGTGTCTGAATCCTAATTTTCCCCTTTTATAAGGATACAAATCATACTAAGTGAGAGGCCCAGTCTATCCCTGTATGACCTCATCTTAACTACATATATCTGCTACACTTCCAATTCAGCTCCCTGCTAAAGCACCTGGAAAAAGCTCTTAGCTCTGGCCTGGCCTAGCTCTGGCCATTGTGGCCTTTTGGAGAGTGAACCAGTGGATGGAAGATTCTCTTTCTCTCTCTGTCTCCCTCTCACTCTAACTCTGCCTTTCGAATAAATAAATTTTGGGGCTGGCACTGTGGCACAGCAGGTTAACGTCCTGGCCTGAAGCGCTGGCATCCCATATGGGCACCGGTTCGAGACCTGGCTGCTCCACTTCTGATCCAGCTCTCTGCTATGACCTGGGAAAGCAGTAAAGGATGGCCCAAGTCCTTGGGTCCCTGCACCCGCGTGGGAGACCCAGAGGAAGCTCCTGGCTCCTGGCTTCAGATCGGCGCAGCTCTGGCCATTGTGGCCAATTGGGGAGTGAACCATGGGATGGAAGGCCCCCCCGCGCCCCTTCTCTCTCTGTAACTCTTTCAAATAAATAAATACATAAATAATTCTTTCTTGTATGTGTTATATTTTTCTCATAATACTCTTCGACAGGCAGAGTGGACAGTGAGAGAGACAGAGAGAGAAAGGTCTTCCTTTTGCCGCTGGTTCACCCTCCAATGGCCGCCGCTGCAGCCGGCGCACCGCGCTGATCCTGACAGGAGCCAGGAGCCAGGTGCTTTTCCTGGTCTCCCTTGGGGTGCAGGGCCCAAGCACCTGGGCCATCCTCCACTGCACTCCCTGGCCATAGCAGAGAGCTGGCCTGGAAGAGGGGCAACCGGGACAGAATCCGGCGCCCCAACCGGGACTAGAACCCGGTGTGCCGGCGCCGCAAGGTGGAGGATTAGCCTATTGAGCCACGGCGCCGGCTAAATAATTCTTTTTTAAAAAAATAAATACATTTTATGAGCCAAGGAAGGCCTCATTGAGGAAATGGCATCTGGGTAGATTTGCTGGAAAGGGTAGCTCTGCAGATACCCAGAGCAGAGATGTCCTGAAGTGCGAAGAGCCAGTAAAGCCTACAAGCTAGAAGCATGGCTCAGAAAGAGCATGGGAACCAGTGTGGTTGGAGCTCATCGAGGAGGGGAAAGATGGGAGTGAAAAGGTACAGATACTACAGGGAATTGTAGGTTATGAACTTGGTTGTACAAAGGTACTATTTTTCAGCCACTTTCACATGGGTCTTGCGGTTTTTGATACATATCAGGAATCTTCAAAATTCATAGAAAATGGATATGATGAAAATATGTGTGAACAATTTTTGCATCAAAATTTATATTTTAATTCCATTTTTTGTCCAGTATATGTTTACAGTATATAAAATTGAAATTATGTCTGAGGTATATAGATACTTTGAAGAGAATGCAAGCTTGAGTTTCTAGTGTTGCTTTTTTTTGAAGATTTATTTTATTTGAAAGAGTTACACAGAGAAAGAGGCAGAGAGAGAGAGTGAGAGGTCCTCCATCTGCTGGTTGAGCTGCACTGATGAGGAGCCAGGAGCTTCCTCCAGGTCTTCTCATGTGAGTGCAGGGGCCTTCTACTTCTTTCCCAGGCCACAGCAGAGAGCTGGATTAGAAGTGGAACAGCTGGGACAGGTGGCAGTGCCGGCATCCCATATGGGTGCTGGTTCGAGTCCCAGCTGCTCCTCTTTCAATCCAGCTCTCCACTGGATCGGAAGGCCCCCGGCTTTGGATTGGCACAGCTCTGGCCGTTGTGGCCAACTGGGGAGTGAACCAGCGGATGGAAGACCTCTTTCTCTCTCTCTCTCTCTCTCTCTCTCTCTCTCTCTCTCTCACAGCGCCAGCCCCTCGGCTTTTTCATATCGTGCTTTTATACTTTCTGGCTACTGCCACTCTTCTTACGATAATACTGCATTGGCTGTTGTGATTGGACAGTTTCTTTTAGAACAATGTGTAATCCAAAATTCTCTCTTTAAAATTAAGCTCATGCAGAGGAGGCTGTCCTAATCTTCCTATTTTTAATTTATTTTGTCTTTTCAGATATTTCTGTGTTGACTCCTAGAGTGGGTAGTCCTGCTTCCTTTATCCAGTCACTTTCCTCGTTCTTGAAATATGGATATTCTTCTCTGCACATTACCTCCATGATTTGGGATGGAAAAGACTGCTTTTCTTTTGTTCCACCTCTCAGATTCAACAGAGAACCCCGTGGCATGCAGCTGTCAGGCTGACTTCCCCAGAAAGAAAGAAGCCACTGATATGAATCTTCTGCTGCAGTTTTCCTAAATATAAAGAAATTATTTACACACTTTGAAGGCTGATGTTTAGTTTGAAGCAGGTGCTTAGGTAGGGGTACTTGTCAGTTCTCTACCTGTTGTTCCAAACAAGAAGAGTAAATACAAGGTGACTGCAGAGCTTGTCTTCCAGATCAGCCACTACCGTGAGGCGCACAGTTGAGACGGCAGCAGTAAATTCCAAATCTGCATTGGAATTTGAAATGAAAAGAGATGCTAAAGTGACACATGTTTATATATTTGAATCCTGGCTCATCCTGTGACATAGATTTCCTGGATAAGATCAAAGGTCCAGTTTAGCTGTTGAAGAAGAGTAAGGACAGGATTTCAAGGTTCATTTTATGTGTGAATAAACCACCACAATTTCTTTACACATTTTTACATGTGTAAATCCACATTTTTGGATAAAAAGAGGGATTTTTCTCCTAGAGAAGAAAGTTGTTGACTTCTTTCTCAGAAGTCTTAACACTTGAGTTTTACAATGTGTTTTCATTGTTCTAAGGAAGGACCAGATTGTGCAGTGGCTAACCCTGTGAATGAATGCTTGGATTTAGTTGCAAGGATGCTGAAAGAAAGCAAAATTTTTGTGTTCAGTATGAAACCCTATTCACCTCTCTAGATGGGAGGCTGCTGTGTTATAAATTACTTCATTTTTTGTGGACTCTTAATAGCACATGAGACTGTTTTTTGTGTTGCTATGGCTAGAAGAAAAATGGCATAAGTGGTTTTTCAGTTCGGAAGATGTGATGGACCTTATAACATAACCTGCCTACAACTTTGGACATAGAGGAATGAAAAAATGAAAAAAAGTATCCATATAGATAGTTCCTTTCTCCCAAGAAAAAGAAACAAAGATATCTTATGTAGCACCATTGACATTATGGCATTTTGTATTATATCCCACATTTTTTATAAAAGCATAGATGACTTTTTCTTCAACGATGGGTACCTGGATGTGTGATTAGTTTTTCTGGGTGATAAGTGTAATGTTTGAAAAGACTGGGACTCGTGTACCTTTCCCCAGTAGAAACTGAACTCAAAGAAAGGATCTCAGAAGCAATGTGCCCAAATTTGTGGTTGGGTCATTGTAGATTCAGAAGAAATTCAGGGTCTGAAAAATCTCAAGAAAAATAGTTTGAATAAGAAATATGGATCTTCCTTTTTTTCCCCTTAGCAGTTAACAGCATTTGATGAGCAGACTAAGGGAACGCAGTCCTTGCTTCCACACCAACAGAAGACCATTGGATGAGTTATTCCATCTGTATCTAAGAGTAAATTCTTTGCTTATGATTCTTTGTGAGTAAAGAAGGATATTTAAAATTTTTAGATGAAATTAAGAACAGGTAGTGTTAAGTCCTCTCTGTTTTCTGAAATGTTTGCCCAGGGCCTTGCGTGCTGTAATGTTGGGAACTTGGGGCAGATTTACTAAAATTTGAAAGTAATAGAAATGGCCGAAACAGGATTGGTTAATCAATCTGAATTGGAATAAGCTTTTTAGTAAAGTAAATAGTATAGATAAATATAATTTAACTGGGGTCAGTTCCTGAGTGGTAAAGCATAGTAGAAATAACTTTGGTAAAAGGTACTTAAGCTTTTCTCTTAAGTGACCTCCCAGCCATTTCTTGATGCTTTCCTTTTAGTACTTTAGTATCATTAAAGACAGAATGGAGCCCTCATACACAGGTTCCACTGGTATGTTGAGAATATTGGATCTTGGAGAATTTGTTTCTTCCAGTCGTCTGATACCCATCTTCCCGTGTCCTTTTCACACCTTTTCTGAGTAAGTACATTTGGCAGGGAATATCAGCACCAGTGCAATCAGTTCTGGCCACTGTTTGAACAGGTGTTAGATCACAGCTCAGAGAGCCACTGATTAATGTTCTCTTTCAAATGTTACTGCATCTTCCATAGTTGATACCAAGTAGCACTTAAAATGGGTATATTCTAGTTGTAGTTACCCAGTGCTTACCTAACACATCTGTTTGTTTTTTGGGGGGGGGGGTGTCTATTTTGCTCCTCTTAATGGCAGAAGGTATGTCAGGCAGGACTGTACCTCAGTCTGCAGCTGTGCCTCCTTTTTCTTTGCTCATCCATGTTAGCTGGCATTTTTTCTTTTGAAAAGTTCAACAAAAGCGGGATATGTGCAATAGAAATATATATATGTATATTTTAATACTTGTGGACAAATGTTACAAGTTGTTTAAGAACAACAAAATCACCAATGTCTTCCATTTTGAGATGTGTATAGTTTTGTAAGCATTAGTGCTTGGTAGCATATTGTAGTGCCATGTTAGGGGTTAGTGCATGAGCCTAGTAATAATTTTAAACTTCAGGATGATTTATTGATAATAACCAATAGTGTAAAAAGAGTGGAATATCTAGACCTTTTTTCATAAATATCAGAATCTTTGATACTCTCCCTGGGGAAAGGAGATTAAGGCCAAAAAGACTCATTTATAAATAGAAATAGGGGTTTGCAACCTGAAATATTTTGAGGATATTTAAGTTTTTCATGAGGTAGCTGGAGACCAGCTGCCTTTGTATCCTTTGAAACCTCAGATCAGAATGAGACCCCGTTTCATGATTCTGCTTTGCTTAGTTTGAGGTGAGCTTATTCTTAACATTGTCTTCACATTGTATGTTTTGAGTTCATTATTTTCCCACTCCATTTACATCAAGAAATTGTTTTACATTTTGCATGTCTTACTGAAATGCTATGTTAATTGCTTCAGTGAGTGTTTTTCTAGTCTGCGGGCCATTTATGTTTCCTGTCTGTAGCATGTGTGTTAATGGAAAACACTGTCAATAGTTTGGACTGTGCTAGAGTGTTACTGGCCCTTCCTTTTTCTAAATCTGCTGAATTGTGTATTGACAGCTTTTGGACCTTTTCTTGAGAATTGGAAATGTAGCCTACCTAGGTTTCCATGTGATAAGTGGACTGTTTCCTTTCGTTTTAATAAGCCTCGGGCAGCTTCCATTTTTTACTTCCCAAAATAAGTTGTTTTGTTCTGAAAGCACAGATAGCTAGCTTTCCTGTAAAGCTACCTCAAAAAGCTGCCTTGAGAACTTAGAAGTGGCAGTTTTCTGGGGTGATATGTAAATCTCAGTATAACAGAGTCCAGGATTTGTTGACGGATATTCTACATGAGTATGATAGGAAATGCAAAACTATTTGAATGTGGCGTATCTTGTACAGAAGCAAGCTAGACAAGTAGACTGGCAGCAGAGCTCCAGAGACTTAGCTTTACATTCAGTGCATGGATTTAAAGTAGTTGTACGCTTGGTTCCAGTAGTTTGGTGCCTGAGAGAATTCATTTTTGAAAAGCATTTAATTTTTTTTAAATACCTCTGAAAAAGTGATGAAACAAAAGGTACAAAATAGCACAGTATATGGGAAAGGATATTTCCTGTTGCAAAAAATTTTTTAAAAGCCATAAAATGAACTCATAGGTTTCAAGAGGTAGCAGTTTCGTAGCAATACCAGTTGTGCATGTGTAGTGAATGGCATCAGCATGGCTGTGCAGTAGAGTGAGTACTGCTTGAGTTTGTGGGGCTCTCTGATTAAGAGAGTTACACAAAAGAAAAGAGAGATTCTAGGTGAAGATCATATAAAAGGTACTTTGTTTTAAAACAGTATGAATCTATATGAATGTATAATTGTGTGAGAAAAACTTTTGTTTGAGGTTAAAGGCCAATTTGTTTCCCCAAGCAGAGGGTTAGAGCCCTTGTAGTGAAACCTTTTCTAGTGCTGAGTTCGGAAACAGATTTGCTTCTGCAATCCCAGTGACTCCAGCCTGTGAGATTTTTCAGATGTGCCCTTTAGCAACAGGCATTTACTCTATAGAACGGGTACTTTAATGCTTTCTTACTTCCATCTTTCTCCATTGGCCTCCAGGTACATTTTTAAAAAGGAAAAGTGTGGTGTACGTATGTTTAGGATTGAAAAAGCAAACCTGGGAACATGGATCGGCTTTTCCTCATGCTTATGGTTAGAGAAGTTAGAATGTAAAGGTGAAAAACAAAAAGGAATAGCCAAAGACTCTCAACTGGTTTTTTAAAAACCTTGTTTAATGTAGATGTGCTGAAGCCTGTGGTCTTCGACTACTTATTCAACAAGCAGAAACTGGGAAACTAGTTTCTGGATCTGTAGAATCACACAGCTCACATCAGGACCTAATAGTGGAACTAGAGTGACTTGACTTCCCTTTACCTCATGTCCATGTTGGCCATCAGCACCTCAGAGATCCCTGAAAAGACTGAATCTGTGTCCCCTTGTTTTCCCAGGGGAAAAAACTAAAAGTGGTTTAGATCGAAGAATATCATGAATATTTAATTCTTAAATGGCCTCTCCAGCAGACAGGGAAAAGTCTATTTTAAGTTGATTATAGCTCCTCTTTAAATGTCTTATGCCATCAGTTGGTGTTAGACATTGGAACAACAAAGCAATACTCACACATTTGCATGACCATGGGAACACAACTACTTATTACAGTGGTGGCAACAATTCAGTTACTTGCAACAATTAGGTTACCTTTGACAGCCATGTTAATAAATGCTAAAATATGCCACAAGTTTTTGTAGACTCAAAGCATGTAATTACTTTTTTGAGAGTTGTGGTCTCATGTTTACTTTTTATGTACCTATGATATGCAAAATATGAAGAGACCCCTGGCCTTCAGGAGTTTACATTCTCATGGTGCTGCTGGTGCAAGCAAATTGCTTCTAGTTCATTTAGAACATTGCTTGGCTATTCTACCACATTTGGAAGGATCCCCCTGACCCTCTTTTTAAAAGCGAGAGGCTATGCTTAATTTTCAGCGCCACTGATATTTGGCGTTAACATGGATATGGGCTCTGCTTTTAAACACCCCCCCCCCCCCCCCCGTAAGCTGTGCAGGTACTGTTTATTGCGAATCAAACAAGAAACCATTCTGCCCAAGGCACCTTCACCACCCCACCAGACCACCTGTAACTTAGCTGTCAATGAAAGGCCAAGAAAACATACTCTTTCCTAAGACTGTACATCTCTTAGGTTTTTGATTTCCCAGTTTTTACATTAGTCTTTGCCCAGAAGGGCCATGATTTGCATATGAACCTTTTATCTCAACAGTGGTCCTAATTTTAACCTATTTTGGTGTGACTTGTACCTCTGTTCTGAAGTAGCATTGTGGTAGATGTGGAACACCTGCTTGTATTCCTAAGCAATTATTTTAACTCAAATTTTCCGTTGGTACTTTGCATGTATCCTTGTTATTTCCCATAATTCCTCTCATGGGGTTTCTTTGCATGTTTGTTAAAACTGGGTTTGGTCGAAAGTGCAAGCAAATAATAGCACTTTCAACTCCGATTTTAAGAGTATTAATATTCTAATGCATGAGTGAAAATGTCCAATACTACGTGGTTACTAGTAGTTTTATATATGCATTTATTAATAATGAAGCAATAGACCTGAAACAATAGCTTGAACTTACTGTTTAGATTTTTCATTTTCTAATTAAAGATTATCTTACTTCCATTGAAAATAGGAAGTAGAAGATAAACAGGGGCAACCACAAGACATTCAAACTGTCAGAGCATAATAATGCTCACCCTCTAACCTCTTCCCTGGTTCCATTAGTCCCCATGCATGTTTAAAAACAAAAGGCACAAAATAAGCATGTTGAATGAATACGCTGCTATGGATATTACCAGAAAGGTGCAGAGTTTTAGGAAGGGTAGGAAAGTAGGGAATGCTAGTATGGCATGTGTAAGATAACTAGGTATGGGGTTTGTGTGATACCATTTCTGTAGACTGAGGTTCAGGGTCTCTTAAAACTAGTATCTTGGGAGTGATTTACTCTCGCGGTATATGCAGATATATCCAGTGTTTCAGAATTTTCAGTAATGAGGCAACTGTTATATGGAAGGTTCTGGTACTGACCAGTTGTAAAAGAACCCTGGCACAAGGGAGACTATTCCATTTTATAGAAATAGTCCTGAAATACTGACACATCTATGTTTTGGGTTTTCATTATTGTGTTTATATTTTAAATTTTTTTGTTATTTTCAATAGCCAGAGTGTCATCTTTGATAGTTGTTTTTTTTTTTTTGCCACAAGTTTTGATTCCATGTAAACAAAGTTTTCCTACTTGAAAAAACATGAAAAACCTGATTTTACTTAATGAAACAAGACATTTATTGTCATAGATTAAAAATAGTGCTTGAGAAGATTTTTGACTTTGAAATAACCCAAGTGAGTGACTATGACAAATAATATAAAGTGAAAGGAGCCTTCGATAATTTGGGATCGGACTAGATGACTTTCACTAGGCTCCTTCCAAGTTTCATGTTCTGTCATTGGAAAAGCACTGTTTCAAAGTTATTTTAACTTCATATTCTTTGCTGTGGGATTTTTGTAACAAATATCTTTGGAAATAGATTAAGTGGAATGGTAACAGTGATTTGGAGTGGAACTTGTCATTGTGATGTCTGGTTTCTCAAGTGTAAGAAGTGAGATGTTGTCTTCCATATATAAATTATCTCTCTGCCACTTAGTGATAACATATCTTCTAGCCAATAGAGATTTAAGGTCAGAGTTTATCTAAACTCTGTTCCCATTGTTCCACTGAAAAGCATATTAAAATAATTATCAGAAAACCAAATATCACAGATTTTTCCAGGGATCCATACTCCTAAACCTTTGAAGTCAGCATAGGTATTTTAAGGTTAGTAACTATTTATAGGTTTTGTCTCCCTTGGTGACGGAATGGAATGCCATTGATTAAAATATATTCTCCCACAGGTTAAAAAAAAAAAGCTATTCTGGCAATACGTTGTAATCAGTAGTTTGGGAACACACCTTAAAGCCACACATCTCTTGAATATTAGCATGTCCTTCATAATATAGTTTATTTACTGTCCAAGTACAGGGGTTGCTCACTATGCTTGCTTCTTCGGCACATTCTTCATTGCACCACTGGTAAATGCTAAAATAATTTCATTAAGTATGTTTGAAGTATTACAAAGGCAGCTTGCTTTATAATCTATGCATCTTTGGGATTTCTGAAGAAATTTTATTCGTTGATGTAAAAAAGAATTGTAAGAGTTGGAAACTCTGCACCTGTGTGTGTGTATATACTTCTTAGCAATAAAGCAGCATGGGCTGAGAATGCACTGAAACTTCATTGTGTGTTGTTCATTGTAGGAATTTCAAAACAGGCAGTTATAATAAGAGGAGCCGGTCCATAGACATGTGCTGAAATAGACATCAAAGAGCAAAACCCTGAGTTTCTTGATAACCTAGTTGTGGTAGTTCCTGGTGTATACCATCTGGTCTGAAAAGAAGCACGTCACGTTGAAACCATCCTCTTGTTTTACGTGTAGGGCCAACCTTATGCTGCACCTATGAACAAGTATGTGTGCTTTGTGGTAAAGGGTAGTGAATAATAATATTAAGTACAGTAATGATACTATTCCATGGAATCCTTCCCATCTTTTAAGATTTATTTATTTGAAGAGAGATCTTAAGTCTGCTGGTTCACTTCCCAAAACCAGGAGCTTCACCCAGATCTCCCACATGGGTGGCAGGGCCTAAGCACCTGGGTTATCCTTTGCTGCTATTCCCAGGCCATTAGCAGGGAGCTGGATGGGAAGTGGAACACCAGGACACAAACCGGCACTGCAGCTGCTTTAACTGCTATGCCACAACACTGGCACCCTAAAGGTTTGTGTGTGTGTATTTAAGATTTATTTTCTATTTGAAAGGTAGCATTAGAGAAACAGAGAGGTTTTCCATCCATTGTTTCACTCCCCAGGTGGCCGCGACAGCCGGAGGGCGGGCCACAGTTTTACCTGCTGTGCCACAGCACTGGCCCCCCTCCAAAGAGATTTTTAACACTATAATAATTGAAAGATGCTTCACTTGATCCAGGGGAAGAGGGTTCTTTCCAAGTAAGAAAGTAGATGTGAGAACCTTTATTATTATGATTGGCTGTTGTCAAATCAGGAGGAACAAAGAAGCTGTGCGATTATTCCCATGAGACCACTCATTTCCCATCTGGCATACTAGCCCATTACTCAGGTGCTGTGCTAGAGGTTGGGATATACAAATGGAGATGGCTGCTGGGGCACAGCTGGTAAGGCCACCATCTGCAGTGCTGGCATCCCAGCTCTTCCACTAACAATCCAGCTCCCTGCTAAGGTGCCTGGGAAAACAGCAGAAGATGGACCAAGTGTTTGGATCCCAGCACCCACGTGGGAGACCCTGAAGAAGTTCCTGACTCCTGGCTCTGGCCTGGCCCAGTCTCAACTGTCAAGCCGTTTGGGAGTGGAGCCACAGATTTCTCCTATTCTCTAACTCTGCCTTTCAAATAAATAAAAATAAAGTCTTTAAATAAAAGAAATGGAGATGGTTTCTGCCATTAAACTCAGAAATCCACAGCTTTGCTAATGTTTAACACTGTAATAGCCACATGGGGTTTTGAAACTTTTTTAGCATATATACAACTGCCTTTAAGTCTACATGTGTGTCAACACACATGAAGGGTAGTAGCTAGCTTTTTTGTACAAATTAGAACCACTTTGGGCTCTTTTTAAATCTGAAACAAAAACAATTTTTAAAATATTTATTTATTTGAAAGTTACAGAGAGGTAGAGAGAGAGAAAGAGGTCTTCCATACACTGGTTCACTCCCCCAGTTGGCTGCAAGGGCTGGAGCTGCGTTGATCTGAAGCCAGGAGCCAGGAGCCAGGAGCTGCTTCTGGGTCTCCTGCATGGGTGCAGGGGCCCAAGCACTTGGGCCATCTTGTACTGCTATCCTAGGCCATAGCAGAGAGTTGGATCGCAAGAGGAGCAGCTGGGACTAGAACTGGTGCCCATATGAGATGCTGGCACTTTGGCCAGGGCTTTAACCCACTGCATCACAGGGATGGCCAAAACAATTTTTTTAAACTATTTTTTAAAAAAGATTTCTTAGAGTTACAGAAAGGGAGAGGTCTTCCATCCACTGATTCACTTCCCAAATGGCTGGAGCTGGGCCAATCCGAAGGCCAAGAGCTTCTTCCGGGTCTCTCACACAGGTGTAGGGACTCAAACCAGCACCCATATGAAATGCCAGGCTGCAGCAGCTTTACCTGCTATGCTACAATGCCGGTCCCATCTCCAATAGTTTGCAACAGCTCCTGGGCAAAGCTGAAGCTAGGAACTAGAGACAGTTCAATCTGGGTATCTCATTTGGATGGCAGGAACCCATGTACTTGAGCCGTTACCTGCTGCCTCTCATAGTGCATATTAGCAGGAAGCTGGAATTGGAAGTAGAGTGGAGACACAAACCCGGGCATTCTGATACATAATGTGGCCATCTCAAGCTGCAGCTAAATTGCTAGGCCAAATGCCTACCCCAATAGCTAGTTTTTACTGAGCACTTACGTACTAAACACAGCTGTCGCTCCCCCTCTTCGTGGAGGAACGACACAGGACCCTGCGCTGTTCTCTTGTCTGCTCGGCCCTCCCCGGGTTGGCTACCGTCACTTCCACCTCCGTGGAAGGGCGGTTCCCCCTGGCCACTTTCCCCACTTCCGCGGGGGAGCGGCATACCGCCGGCCGGCTCTCTCAGGGGCTGCACAGGTGTTCCTTCAGATAGATGTTCCCCTTAGATGTTCCTGGTGCATGTTGTCTCTCTCCTCCTTTATAGTCCTCTTCCACCAATCCCAACTCTGCTACCCACACGTCGAGTACGCTGCTCTCCTCCAATCAGGAGTAGGTCCTACAATTTATTGGTTGAACTGGAGGCAGCTGTGTAGAAGCTGCTTCTCCCTTCTCAGCGCCATATTGTGGGAGAGCAGATGCATAGAATAAGTCTTAATTCCAGTAACTTAGTCTAGTCCGAGCTGCTCCCAGTTGCTCCCCACAACAGCTGTACTTAGTGTATTCAGTAACTCATTTTATCCCCACTATAGCTCTAGTTACTGTTTTTATTCTTGTTTTATCCAGAGGGAAACAGAAACAAGAGGTCAAGTCCTTCAAATTCATGGCAAATAGGTATCCAAACCACAACCTGAATCCAGTCTGGTTCCAAAGCCTGCCCACTTCCCAGCATACTATATTGGCCTCAAAAACAAGTAAGCGGAAGAAGTGTATATTCACACTTTGCCACTCTTAAACTATTTGGAAGAAAGGGCGCTCCTGTCTGCTGTTACTCCCCAGTTGCTTACGGTAGCCAAAGCTGGGCCATGCTGAAGCCATAGCTAGGAACTCAAGCCAGGTTGTCCATGTACGTTTCAGAGCCCTAACCACTTCAGCCATCACCGCTACCTCCCATGGAGGTAGGATGTTGGAGTCAGGACTTGAACCCAAGCACCCAATAGCCAAGTAGCATCTTAACTTCTAAAGTCCTGCCCCCAGCTTAATTTGATGTCAGGTTCAAGCATTTCCTTTTTAAAGATTTATTTATTTGAAAGGCAGAGAGAGATCTTCCATCTACTGGTTTACTCCCAATGGCTACAACAGCTAGACCTGGGCCAGGCTGAAGCCTGGAGCTTCATCCAGGTCTCCCATGTGGGTGGCGAGGGCCCAAGGACTTGGGCCATCTTCTACTGCTTTCTCAGGCACATTAGTGGGGAGCTGGATCGGAAATGGAGCAGCCATGGCTCAAACCGGTGCCCATGTGGGATGCCAGCACTGTAGGTGGCAGCTTAACCCATTACACCACAACATTGGCCCCCAGTTTAAAACACTTGAAAGAATGTGCTACTAAAACAAATCCTGCTAGCTGCATGTCAAGCACATAAACTTTTTTTTTTTTTTTTGAAGATTTGAGAGGTAGAGTTATAGACAGTGCCAGCCCCCATTAACGTCTCTACCCATCACTGCATGGACATGTGGAGTTCTCAGTTGAGGCTGGTGTCATCAACTCTCCTTAGAGATGTTTGCCACCTCTTCCCTCCATTCACCACAGAACCACCACAGAGAGGTTCTGAAAAAGTAAAGCTGATTCTTGTTACACACTCCCCCACTGAAGGTCTTCAAGGGTTTCTATTATCTGCTTGCAGCTTTCTGTCCCTTTTCATCAAAACCCTTACCACAGCCAGAATTTTACAAGTCTTTATGTGACCATCTGAATGTTTATCTAATTGGAGGATGCACAGAGGCTGTCTTTATCTTTTATCCTGAGTACTACCCATAGTATCTTGTTTTTATTTTAAACATTTATTTTATTTTAAATTTATTTGAGTTAGAGAGAGAGGCAGACAGAGAGAAAGGTCTTCTATCTGTTGGTTCCCTCCCCAAATGACTGCAACGACCAGAGGTGGGCTGATCCGAATCAGGAGCCAGGAGCTTCTGGATCTATCATGTGGGTGCAGGGGCCCAAGCATTTGGGCCATTTTCCACTGCTTTCCCAGGCCATTAGCAGAGAGCTGGATCAGAAGTAGAGCACCTGGGACACAAACTGGTGCTCATATGGGATGCCAGCACCACGGGCAGAGGCTTAGCCCACTATGCCACAGCGCTGTCTCCTCATGACATCTTATAATGTTAAATGACCATTTAGGCTAGCCACTTGGCCAAAGTACTTGGCCTAAGTGAAGGATGTTTTATTACTTTTATTATCCTGTTAAGCTCAGTTTACAACTGGAGACAAATTATGTATGATCCAGTTAAATTTTTTTTTTGACAGGCAGAGTGGACAGTGAGAGAGAGAGACAGAGAGAAAGGTCTTCCTTTGCCGTTGGTTCACCCTCCAATGGCCGCCGTGGCCGGCGCGCTGTGGCCGGCGCACCGCGCTGATCCGATGGCAGGAGCCAGGAGCCAGGTGCTTTTCCTGGTCTCCCATGGGGTGCAGGGCCCAAGCACCTGGGCCATCCTCCACTGCACTCCCTGGCCACAGCAGAGAGCTGGCCTGGAAGAGGGGCAACCGGGACAGAATCCGGCGCCCCGACCGGGACTAGAACCCGGTGTGCCGGCGCCGCTAGGCGGAGGATTAGCCTAGTGAGCCGCGGCGCCGGCCGATCCAGTTAACTTTTAAATATTACTGAATGTTATGTGCCTGTGTCTGCGCTCTGGAGCAATGGGTTATCACCGCGGCCTGAACCCCCGGTCAATGCCGGCATACCAGCAGTCAACATGAAGCCCGACTGTTTTCAGATTGAGCATGCACCCTTAGGTCAGAGGACACATGGGACACTGCTTCCCAATTCCTAAATTTACAGAGAAAGATGTTTCCAGAGATAAGTATTATGAAATCAGTAGGAAGATAAACCAGATTCTCTTTTTTTAATATTTATTTATTAAAAAGTCAGAGTTACACAGAGAGAGGAGAGGCAGAAAGAGAGAGGTCTTCCATCCGATGGTTCACTCTCCAATGGCCACAATGGCCGGAGCTGTGCCGATCCGAAACCAGGAGCCAGGAGCTTCTTCTGGGTCTCCCACGCGGGTGCAGGGGCCCAAGGACTTGGGCCATCTTCTACTGCTTTCCTATCCAGAGAGCTGGATCGGAAGTGGAGCAGCCAGCTCTTGAACAGGCGCCCATATGGAATGCCAGAACTGCAGGCCAGGGCATTAACCTGCTGCACCACAGCGCCAGCCCCTGAACCAGATTCTTAAGACAAATGGCTATGAAATGGAGACAGAAGAGTCTAGTTTTTCCATCTTCTACAAACTGCTTCACAAGTCACTTGGAAAATCAGCCGAGAGGTAAACAGTAAACACAATCTCTCCCATTCCTGAAGACAGTCCTTCCAAAGAGATGGCAAGATGGCACTTGCTGTTGAAGACAGCAGTGAGCTCTGAAGCTGATTCTCAGGTCTTGGTTCTGGTCAGTTCTCTGGCTTGGTCTGGTCAGGTGCTACTTGCTTCAGAATCTTCATTAGTGAATGCAAGCGACTGTGCGTGAGCATTATCTTCTCTTTCAGCTGGGAAGAGAAATGCATCAGGGCACCTTAAGCTCGACTTGAATCTGCTGGTTATAAGACCACTTTAAGCTACCTCTAGTGATAAAGGAACATTTGTTCTATTCATGAAAGAACTTTATACAACAAACACAATGAGAGTCCCCAGACAGCCTTTCATGTGGAGTGAGTCCCATGGTTCCTTGGTTCCTAAGCATCACTGCTTCTGTGAACACCAAAGTGGCAGCACAAAGCTCTGTGGCGGCAAAAGCGTCTTTTCCAGTACCAAGCATCTAGCTTTCCATTCAGCACTGTTAAATGCTGTCACAGATGCCTTTCTGACTTTACTATTCTGCCAATGACTCTCAAAAGTAGCTCTCATTATTATAAGGTTTAGAACAGATGTTTGCCGTAGTTAGGTCATTTTAAGAGTTCTTTTATGAGGGTGGGCATTGTGACACAGCATGGCAAATCACCCCTTGGGACACCCACATCCTGTTAAGAGTGCCTGGGATCAAGTCGCAAGTCTGCTTCTGACCCAATTCACGCTGATGTGTCTACAGTGTAGCAGATGATGGCCCTAGTACTTGGCTTCCTGTCATGCATATGGGAGACCTCGATGGAGTTCTCGGCTCCTGGCTTTCACCTGGCCCAGCCCTAGCTATTGCAGGTATTTGGACAGTGAACCAGGGAAGAAGGATCTCTCTCTCCCGCTGTCACGCTGCCTTTCAAATAAATATTTTTAAGAAAAAAAAAATGGTCTAACAAATATATTTTGAAACAATATAATTTAAAACCAATCATGCTGGTGTTACTCAGCATTTGTACTTTGAATCATGAATAAAGCTGAGCCCCAGGAAGGATCTTCTTAGCCATCCAGTTCCCTGATTCTACAAAACTTCTCTTTATTTACCAGCTTCTTCCTAATTGACTTACCACCAAAATCTTCAATTTGGGACACTTTTAGACCTGAACTTCCCCCACGCTGTTTCAAGTAGTCAGTTCCCTGGGGAGAGCATCAGGTTTCTCTGCCTCCTTCCCAGGAAAAATCCCTTGGCCACTGCTTCCAAGCTGGGTGGTGGGGACAGTCTCTCGGACTGTCACTCCTGCTTTTGCCTCGGCTACCATGGAATTTCCATGCTACAAGCAAGCCAGGATAGGGGTGTGTCCAGTGTTCTTGGCCTGTTGTGCCTGCACAAGAGCTAATACTTGTCAGATGGCAGTTCCTGCCTGGAGTAGAGCTTCTGCAACAGAGTGGAGGTGGGGATGAGAAAGTAGAGGTGGGGATGGCCTGCCTCTCCCAGGGGTCTGCCATTGCCCTGTACTGGGGACTAGGGGCAAAGAATCCCTGTGTGGCTGGCTGCATCTTCTCAGCTGGGGAAGAGGAGGGAGGCTAGGAGCAGGTTGTAGCTCCAATGCCACAGGCTCTCACTTTTCATCAAGGTTTAGTGGATGTAGGGGCCGGTGCCATGGCGCAGTAGGTTAATCCTCCGCCTGCAGTACTGGCATCCCATATAGGCACCAGTTCTAGTCTCAGCTGCTCCTCTTCCAATCCAGCTCTCTGCTGTGGCCTGGGAAAGCAGTGGAAGATGGCCCAAGTCCTTGGGCCCCTGCACCTGTGTGGGAGACCAGGAAGAAGCACCTGGCTCCTGGCTTTGGATCAGCACAGCTCCAGCCGTTGCAGCCACCTGGGGAGTGAACCAACGGAAGAAAGACCTTTCTCTTTCTGTCTCTCCCTCTCACTGGCTATAACTCTACCTCTCAAATAAATGAATAAAATCTTAAAAAAAAAAAAAAAGGTCTAGTGGATGTTCTCAACTACTTCTTTCTCCATTTCTTGAATGGCTTTAGGAAAATTTCCAGACTTAAAATCATTCTTCCGTACCATTTACTTCTGCTAATGGAGCTCCCCAAGCTCGCATTCTGAAGTGATCTCCCATAACCCATTATTTTTCCACACCATACTTATCAATTCTCTCATCAACTTAGTTATTTAGAGTAGGGAGTGGTAAGCTATAGACCATGGGCCAGCCTGCTGCCCATTTTAGTAAATGAAGCTTTACTGTAAGATAGCCATGCCTATTTGTTTATGTACTGTCTGTGGCTGTTTCTGCACTGCTGTGGCAGAGTGAGGTAGTTAAGACCATACAGTCACAAAGCTTAAAATATCTGTCATCTGGCCCTTTATGGGAAAAGCTGCCAACCCCTGGCTTAGAACATGGCCTCGTAAGTGTAGCAAGCTTTGCAAAAAAATTTAAAAATCATTGTTGCCTATCCTTAACATTATTCCTATTATAAAACTTTGAAAAATAAATGTCATTGGTTACTAAATGTGTAATTAGTAAACTATTAATACTTCTAAGCATAAAACCAACAATAAATCCTAAAGTTGTTCTTCTAAGAATAATTAAGTTATAGCCATGTTTTCAGTAGAGTCTGCAAGCTACCAAAACGAAGCTGCTTTATTCAGCTCAAAGCCATCATCCACTTATTTTCTTAATTTATTTTAAAGATTTATTTATTTATTTAAAAGAGTTACACAGAGAGAGAGGTATCTTCCATCCACTGGTTCACTCCCCAGTTGGCCACAACAGCTGGAGCTGCGCCAATCTGGAGCCAGGAGCATCTTCTGGGTCTCCCACGTGGGTGCAGGGGCCCAAGGACCTCGGCCATCTTCGTACTGCTTTCCCAGGCCATAGCAGAAAGAATCATCCACTTCTTTTTTTTTTTTTTGACAGGCACAGTGGACAGTGAGAGAGAGAGAGACAGAGAGAAAGGTCTTCCTCTTGCCGTTGGTTCACCCTCCAATGGCCGCCGTGGCCGGCGAGCTGCGGCCGGCGCACCGCGCTGATCCGATGGCAGGAGCCAGGAGCCAGGTGCTTTTCCTGGTCTCCCATGGGGTGCAGGGCCCAAGCACCTGGGCCATCCTCCACTGCACTCCCTGGCCACAGCAGAGAGCTGGCCTGCAAGAGGGGCAACTGGGACAGAATCCGGCACCCCAACCGGGACTAGAACCCGGTGTGCAGGCGCCGCTAGGCGGAGGATTAGCCTAGTGAGCCACGGTGCCGGCCAGAATCATCCACTTCTAAAGCCCATTTAAACAGGAATGCCGGGGCCAGCGCTCTGGTGCAGTGGGTTAACACCCTGGCCTGAAACGCCGGCATCGCATATGGGCAGGTTTGAGACCTGGCTGCTCCACTTCCAATCCAGCTCTCTGCTATGGCCTGGGAAGGCAGTAGAAGATGGCACAAGTCCTTGGGTCCCTGCACCCACGTGGGAGACCCGGAAGAAGATCCTGGCTCCAGATCAGTGCAGCTCCGGTCACTGTGGCCAATTGGGGAGTGAACCAGCGGATGGAAGACCTCTCTCTGCCTCTCCTCTCTCTGTGTAACCCTGACTTTCAAATAAATAAATAAATGTTTAAAAAATAAACAAACATGCTTCATAACCATTTTACTACTTTCCTGAGACACAAATAGGCTGCAAATAGGACAACTCCATCTTAGTAGAGGAGAAAACAGGAGTGCAGTCCTGAGCAGCTCCCCGAGCCCTCAAACTAGACTGTACAACATGGCCTTGATATAGAAAGGAACCTGATGAGCATGATGAAACTTTACCTCTGCAATCTTTTCTGGTAGGGGCACACTGTGAATATCCACCTCAGATGCATCCACTATGGCTTTTGTTTTCAAGAGATAGCTAGACAGAAAACAGAGAAAATATGAATGTCATACCACAGTGAAGATTATCAGTAAATGGAACTTCCCCTCTAATGCAAGTATCTGCCCAACAAAGCCTGCCTTTTGACTGATTTCAAGACACATGATGGGCCGGCGCCGCGGCTCACTAGGCTAATCCTCCGCCTTGCGGCGCTGGCACACCAGGTTCTAGTCCCGGTCGGGGCGCCGGATTCTGTCCCGGTTGCCCCTCTTCCAGGCCAGCCCTCTGCTGTGGCCAGGGAGTGCAGTGGAGGATGGCCCAAGTCCTTGGGTTCTGCACCCCATGGGCGGCAATGGAGGGTGAACCAACGGCAAAGGAAGACCTTTCTCTCTCTGTCTCTCTCTCACTGTCCACTCTGCCTGTCAAAAAATAAAAATATAAAGACACATGATGTATTTTTTTAGAAAAACAAATTGTCAATAAATCATAAGAGACGCTATACCTCAATCTATTCCTTCCTAGAAGTAAAACTCTGCTAGGGCAAAATTAAGACAAACATGAATGGCAAAGGAATAATCGGGCTGGCGCTGCGGTGCAGTGGGTTAAAGCCACCGCCTGCAGCACCAGCATCCCATATGGGTGCCGGTTTGAGTCCTGGCTGCTCCTCTTCCAATTGAGGTCTCTGCTACAGCCTGGGAAAACAGTAGAAGATGGCCCAAGTCCTTGGGCCTCTGTACCACATGGGAGACCTGGCAGAAGCTCCGGGCTCCTGGCTTTGAATCAGCTCAGCTCTGGCTGTTGTGGTCATTTGGGGAGTGAACCAGCAGATGGAAGACCTCCCTCTGTCTCTGGCTCTACCTCTCTAACTCTTGTCTTTCATATAAGTAAAATAAATCTTTAAAAAAAAGGGGCGGGGGGAGAATCATGATGAGTGTAAGCTCTCCCAGTGGACCCTGAAGACTTTTACTGAAGCACAGTTTGAAGGACGGTCAGTGATCACATTGTGACAAGTGTTTCTTGCCTACCGGAATCTTGCTCACAGAATCCAGATTTTATCTAAGGCAGCAGTGTGCCCAGTCCTAAGAAATAAAACGTAACTACTCTAAGCCCATGGAGACAAGACTACGGTCACATATTTGACTCCCCAGCTTAAGGTGAGCACGCGACATGTTTACAGACATTCGAATAAGGACATTTTTGCTGATAAAAAGAGAACCTTGTGGGGCTGGCGCTGTGGCACAGTGTTTGGTTAAAGCCCTGGCCTGAAGCGCCGGCATCCCATATGGGCGCTGGTTCTAGTCCCAGCTGCTCCTCTTCCGATCCAGCGCTCTGCTCTGGTCTGAGAAAGCAGTGGAAGATGGCCCAAGTCCTTGGGCTCCTACACCCGCTTGGGAGACCCGGAAGAAGCTCCTGGCTTCGGATTGGTGCAGCTCTGGCTATTGCAGCCATCTAGGGAGTAAACCAGTGGATGGAAGACCTCTCTCTCTGTCTCTACCTCTCTCTGTAACTTAGTCTTTCAAATAAATAAATTAAAAAAATCTTTAAAAAAAAAAACAAAAACAAAAACAAAAAAACAAAAGGGGAACCTTGTGTTCTCCACTGCCCATATCTGTTTCTTTTCTGATGGGGTTGCATTAATGCTTATCACCGAAGGAGCCATCCGTATAAGACAACAAGGCCATGAGAACCATGGGGATGGTGACCCAGAGCACTGTCAGGTCTCAGCTGGGCCTCAAAGAGGCACACGGAGCAGTCAACTGGCCCCACCACTTACTGAAAGCCCCTGGTAGGTTTTCTGTTATTAACAACCAAAGTCATTTTAATAAAACATAGATTATCTTTCCTGACTCATGCTACTTAAACTTCCTAATTTCTACTTAAAAACAATGTACTGGCCGGCGCCGCGGCTCAACAGGCTAATCCTCTGCCTAGCGGCGCCGGCACACCGGGTTCTAGTCCCGGTTGCCCCTCTTCCAGGCCAGCTCTCTGCTGTGGCCAGGGAGTGCAGTGGAGGATGGCCAAAGTGCTTGGGCCCTGCACCCGCATGGGAGACCAGGATAAGTACCTGGCTCCTGCCTTCAGATCAGCGTGGTGCACCAGCCGCGGCGGCCATTGGAGGGTGAACCAACGGCAAAAGAAGACCTTTCTCTCTGTCTGTCTCAGTGTCCACTCTGTCAAAAAAAAAAAAAAAAAAAAAGAATGTACTGACCAATCCGCTGCCTTCCCAGGCTCATTAGCAGGAAGCTGGATCAGAAGCACAGTATCAGCACCTGGATACCAGATGCCTGCAGCACAAGCAGTGACCCCTACAGTTATCTTTAAGAGGTACTGAGTGGCTGCAGCATCTTCTTGGGTCCCCAGTCTTTTCTGATAAACAGTACCAGATTTTACTCACCACACCATTTTGTCACTGGAAAGGCAGAAATGACCTCTCAAGGCAGCCAGGGCAGCATGAGTAGAATATAGATGGAAACCAATGGGAATCCCACAGGAATTACAGAACAAAAGGTTGTAAGTGCTGAGGGGGGAAAATAGAGCATGGGTAAGAAATAAAATCAGAGAATACATAACAGGTAATTAATCTCAGGGAACATTCCTATCACCTAAGACATAGGTGAGGGGCCGTGTTGTGGTATAGCAGAAAAAGCTGCTACCTGCACCTGTGACACATTCCATATGGGTGCCAGTTCAGGACCCGACTGCTCTACTTCCAATCCAGTGCCCTGCTGATGCACCTAGGAAAGGAGGGGAAGATGGCCCATATGCTTAGGCCCCTGCACCTCTCTCCCTTCGTGGGAGACCTCGAAGAAGCTCCTGGCTTCAGTCTGGCCTAGTTCCAGCCATTGTGGCTGTTTGTAGAGTGAACCAGTGTATGGAAGATCTCCCTCCCTCTCTTTCTGTAAACTCTGCCTTTCAAATAAACAAATAATAAATCTTAAAAAAAAAAAAAAAAAAAGACGACAAGGGGCCAGTGTTGTACAATCATGGGTAAAACTGCTGCCTACAATGCCAATAGTTGAGTCTTAGCTACTACACTTCCAATGGCCTAGCCCAGCCCTGGCCATTGCAGCCATTTGGGGAGCGAACCAGCAAACAGAAGAGCGCTCTCTGTCTCTCTCTCTCTTTATAACTCTGCCTTTCAAATAAATAAATCTTAGGAAAAAAATACAACTGAAAATTACTATAATTAGGGATGAGTCTGCAAAAATGACACATTCAAGGCCGGCGCTGCGGCTCACTAGGCTAATCCTCCGCCTTGCGGTGCTAGCACACCGGGTTCTAGTCCCGGTCGGGGGGCCAGATTCTGTCCCGGTTGCCCCTCTTCCAGGCCAGCTCTCTGCTGTGGCCAGGGAGTGCAGTGGAGGATGGCCCAGGTGCTTGGGCCCTGCACCCCATGGGAGATCAGGAGAAGTACCGGGCTCCTGCCATCGGATCAGCGCGGTGCACCGGCCACAGTGCACTGACCGTGGCGGCCGTTGGAGGGTGAACCAACGGCAAAGGAAGACCCCTCTCTCTCTCTCACTGTCCACTCTGCCTGTCAAAAAAAAAAAAAAAAAAAAAAAAAAAGACACATTCAAGAGAAAAGTTTACTCAGACTTAATTAGACCCTAGGTAACAGATACCCTCAAGGATTCTGGCCAGAAAAGCAATCATGGATGCATAACTATCGTGTCAGTAGAGAAAGGTAATTTACCCTTGTAAAGCAGAAAAAGTTAATTTGATTGATTTAAATATTTAAAGTGACTACCGTGTTTAAAATAGCTACCACTGTAAGAATTCACAGTTCATTAAAAAACAAGTTGATTGAAGGCTTACTGAACAATTTATTGATAAAACTCTGATTTTTCTTCTGCAGAATTTTAAAAATCAACTGAAAAATATTTAGATTCAAAGCAAAAGAAAGGAATCCAATACCCCAGCAAGCCATTTGTTTTCTTTTCCTTTATCCTCTGAAAGATTACTGTATCAAGCATCAAATAGTTGATTTTAGTTTTTGTTAAACGATTGACAAAACACCATATTTATAGTATATGAGACATATCCAAAAATTACAAAGAAACACTTTAAAAAAACCAAGGTCCAGCTGGTGCCGCGGCTCACTAGGCTAATCCTCCACCTTGCGGCGCCGGCACACCGGATTCTAGCCCCAATCGGGGCGCCGGATTCTGTCCCGGTTGCCCCTCTTCCAGGCCAGCTCTCTGCTATGGCCCGGGAGTGCAGTGGAGGATGGCCCAAGTGCTTGGGCCCTGCACCCCATGGGAGACCAGGAGAAGCACCTGGCTCCTGCCTTCGGATCAGCGCGGTGCACTGGCCGCAGCGCGCCGGCCATTGGAGGGTGAACCAACAGCAAAGGAAGACCTTTCTCTCTGTCTCTCTCTCTCTCACTGTCCACTCTGCCTGTCAAAAAACAAACAAACAAACAAACAAACACCAAGGTCCAACATTGAAGTGCAGCATTACAATGCCAGCATCCCATACAGGAGCCCTGGTTTGAGTCCTTACTGCTCAGCTTCCAATCCAGCTCCCCAATATGCTGAGGAACGCAGCAGATGGCCCAAGTACTTGGGTCTGTCACCCATGTGGGAGACTCAGATGGAATTCCTGGCTCCTGGCTTTGGCTTAGCCCTGCCTTAGCCATTATGGCCAATTGAGGAGTGAGCCAGCAGACAGAAGATCTCTGTGGCACTGCCTTTCAGAGCACCAGTTTAAGTTCTGGCTGCTCCACTTCTATCTAGCTCCCTGCTAATGTAGCTGAGACAGCAGCAGAAGACAGCCCAAGTTCTTAGGCCCCTCTACCTACATGGGAGATTTGGACAGAGATCCAGGCTTCTGTCTTCAGCCTGGCCATTGTGGCCATTTGAGGAATGAACCAGTGGATAGGAAGATCAATCTCTCTTTTTCTCTCTGCAACGCTGCCTGGTCATTTATGTGGGCTTGGCTGGGGCTGGGCCAGGTTGAAGCTGGGACCCAAGTACTTAAACAATTATCTGGTTCCTCACAGAGTGCACATTAGCATGAAGCCGGATGGGAAAGGAGAGCTGGGAGTGAAACCCAGACACTTCAGTATGGGATACAGGCGTATTATCGGCTGCCCCAAACACCCACCCAACAATTTTAAGTTTTCTAGTTTTGTTTAAAAAAAATGAAAACAGGAAAATTAGTTTTAAAATATTTTAGGTCACTCAATATATAAAAGGCTACTTCAACACCTACTATCATTATCTCCATTCTGAATGGCTCATAGGAACAGCAAAGGACTGTATGCATTATCCACCTTTTTTTTTTTTTTAAGACTTATTTATTTGAAAGTCAGAGTTACACAGAGAAGGAAAGGCAGAGAGAGAGAGAGACCAACCTCCCATCCGCTGGTTCACTCCCCAACCGGCCACAATGGCTAGCTGGAGTTGCGCCGACTGATCCGAAGCCAGGAGCCAGGAGCTTCTTCCAGGTCTCCACGTGGGTGCAGGGACTCAAGGCCTTGGGCCATCTCCCACTGCTCTCCCAGGCTACAGCAGAGAACTAGATGGGAAATGGAGCAGCCATTGCCCATATGGGATACCGGCACTGCAGGCGGTGGCTTTACCTACTGGCCCCTGCATATCCACCTTTTTAAGAGAAGATTTACAAAGCTTCTGCCTCTGGCCCCAAATCCCCAATTTCCAAGCAGGCCACTGCCCTTCCCCTCCCTATCCCCTGTAGGCGGGAAGAGGGTTCTTTCAGGGATGAGGAATGAGCACCTTTCGGTTGGGAGAGAGGAGGGCAGGTGCTGTGCTTAGTTTGCTAGGTCTCTCCACAGCTCCAGAACTTCTGGGGTTGCTGGCTAATACTTTAAGCAAACCGTGGTCAGAGCGAATGGCCTTCTGTGAAAGCTGACACTCAGAATTGAGAAGCCTGATATACCGAATTCACGGAGTATATTATCATCACTTGTAAATCTCAGCGCAGGCCAGATACAAATACTAAGCAGTACTTAAGTACAAAACATTCGCCTTGTGTTCCTCCTGTTTCTCAGGGTAATGAATTCATCAGTCCTACCACAGCTTAGGACAAACCCCCAAGTCCCAGTTATCGCAAACGACTGTAGTTGAGGCTGTTATTCTTACTGTAAGCCGAAAGGCCGTTCTGTGTTCCACTCATTTCACATGTCCACGACCTCAGAGGATCTCAGATCTCACACACAAACGCTAACTTTTCCACCTTCCGTAAAGCATCAGGAGTAAGCGGGTCGAAGCAGCATCCCCCGCTTCAAACACCCGGCGTGCAGCACAACACAGGAACCAAGTCTTCCTCCCGGCACGCGTCAGCTCCTCGGTCTCCTTAAATCGGGGGGACTAGAGACGCACCGGGCACCTCCGGCACCCACCTGAATTTGAGCGAACCTTCAATACCAACTAGCAAGGGCTCTTCCAAAACGACGTCCCTGGTGACTCCTAGAAGACACACACCGGTCAGAATCGGTACCTCCGAGGGCCCCGAAAAGGAGAGCCTCCCGCCTAGACCGAGGCAACAGGGCCACGGAAACCAAAAGAAATCCTCCGCTCGCCCCCGGCTTGGAGGCTACTTTCCACCCAAACTTCCATTGCGGGCGGAGAAAGCACCCACGCCCCCTCGGGCCCGCCCCCGCCAGACAGCCCCCCACTCACTGGAGAAGACCACGGCCCCGAGGGACCGCGACAGGTCCCAGGCGAGGTGCACCGAGTCGGCGAGCACCGCGTAGCACTGCGCGCACTGGAACACGGCGCATCTCTCGGGCTGCAGCCACGACGGCAGGCGCGGCCCGGCGGCCGGCTCCTCCGCCCCGCGCCCCGTGGGGCCGAGCGGCGAGGACCCCTCCACCACCTGCGTGTCCCACTCCATGGACGCTGCAGAAGAAGCTTCGCTGATCGCTTCCTTAGCACTATCACAGAAGTCACCGCGGGGCGGCTGTGCACAGTGGGCACGAAGCGGCCGCCGCCGAGCAGCCATCTTCCTGACTCCCGCGCCGCCGCTCCGAAAACTCACCAGGTCCCGCCCCGGGCGCGGATTCTGTGCCCTCATTGGGCAGCGGTCGTTCAGGGGCTCCGCCGCGCACTGGCCGTCCTGGAGCGCCTCACACGCCTGTTGGCGCCTGCGTATTGCTGAGACGGAGGGTGGACCGTGCGCCTGCAGAGGGCGAGAAGTCAGCCTTTCTATTGGTCAGCGTCGGAAACCCCGCCTTCGAGGCAGTTTCAGCCAATGGAAGTGCAGAGCTCATCATTTAAACTAGCTATAAAATTCTGCGGCGTCAACGCTTAAAGCGGCGCCAGTTTTGAAGGGAGCCGAGCAGGGTTGCGGTTCGAGCCTGTGTTTACCGCGTCGGTTACAGGTCACGATGACCGTCCCCTCTCCGGAGGAGCTGGACTCCTTCAAGTACAGTGACCTGCAAAATTTAGCCAAGAGTCTGGGCCTCCGGGCTAACCTGAAGGTACGGGGCCGGCGGGCTGGTTGTGAGAAGAGGGCTCGGGGAGACGCGGTGGGCGCGGCCTGGCGGCGTCGGAGCGGCTTCGCGGCGGCCCGGGGCCCTGCGGTACTGCCACAGGGCTAGTTTTGGTTTTGCTGGAAGCAGTGTAGCACTCCCCAGGGCATCAGTTGGCCAAGAACGGCCGGAGAATCGCGCGTCTAACGCCGCCTAATTGTTAGGCAATTGAAGAAATTGTTGGCGTGGCTTCGGGGAAACTCCCGGTGGCAGCAACGTCTGTGAATTGTGATACCGCCCATAATGCCTTGATCATCTTTGCCTGGGGCGCTGACAGAGGAAGGAATTGTAGCGGGCCCAGCCCGCGCACAGATTTTTAGCTCTAACCTAGTGTGAACAGGGACCGATCACTGAGGTTGTGATCTTTTTTAAAGCCGCGAGGCCTCTGCGAGACTGCAGGACTTTAAGGAAAACATGTAACCTGCAGTATCTTTGCAGAGATCCAGTGGTTGCGTGTGGGGAGGGGAAGGCATTGTGAGGATTCGATGGAGGACTGGAATTTTATTCATTCCCGTATAGTAATGTATATTCTGCAGATACATCTTGCAGGCTGTGATTATTTACCCTGAAAGCCTTCATCAGCCATCACGAATGTTTTTAAATCGTTTAAACAAAATCACGGCCCAGGCACTTGTTGGCTGAATCGTAAAGGAGTGTCTTTGAAGCTGTGTCTGGGCTGTCGTGTTTAACGGCTGGCTGCCCAGTAGTTCGTGAGAAAGCGACATTCAGTTCCTTAGGCATTTTGCTGTCTGGCTGGGATCTTCTTTGTCCAAGCCTGCATCCCTGAATTCTTGGCACCTTAGTACATCTTTTGTGCCATTGCTTATTTTGACCCTTTGCCCTGGGTCTCCTTCACTCTCCTTTATCTGCGTGACTAATGTGGTCACCAGTTTGGTGCCTGGTCGCCTCCTTTTCATTCTCTGGGCCACAGGTCCCCTACCTGAGTGACCCCAGGAATGCTGTGCTTTCAAAGCAGTTTATTTCCGAGTATTCTCTACCAACACTTACCAGGTTCCTCCTTGCACTCTGGTTATTTGTGTATGTGTGTATCTTTCTCCACTAGAGGTGAATTTTCTTGGATAGAAACTTCATTGGTCCACCTTGGAAGCCTCGATGGCACTAAGTGCAGCCATTTTATGGAGGAGATACTAAACAGTTATTTAGAACTGTTATTAACAGCTCTGCTTGGCAATGCTAGAATACTGCACCGGGGGCTGGCGATGTGTTGCAGTGGGTTGAGCTGCCGCCTGCAATACCAGCATCCCATATGGAAGCCACTTTGAATTCGGATTGCTCCACTTCCAGTTGAGCTCCCTGCAGATGGGCCTGGGAGAAGCAGCAGAAGATGGTCCAAGTACTTGGGCCCCTGCACCTCATGGGAGGCCGGGCTGAAGCTCCTGGCTGAGCCCTGGCCATGGTGGCTGTGTAGAGAGTGAACCAGTGGGGAAGAACTGCTATAATCCAAAAGTTGTACTTTTGAAATTTATATTTATTAAATAAATAAAAGTTTTCTATTCAAACAAAGAGTGACCCAGTGGATGGAAGATCTGTCTGTCCTCCTTTCTACCCCGCCCCTCGTATCTTTGTCGGTCAAACAAATAAAACTTTAAAAACAAACCAGAAAATAGCCCTGGCTAACATGAAGGCCCCGCCTGATTGCCTGCTGCAAGTTAGATGTATTCTGAACGTCTGCCCATCATAGTCTTTTGAAGCACCTGATCTGGGGTGTCCAATCAACCTGTTTTCAGAGAGGTGAGGTAGTTCAGTGGCTCTCCTCACTACAGACTCCCTTACCTGCCTGGCACACGAAGCAGTTACATGCTGATTGTCAATATTTTTTTTTTTTTTAAGTTATGTGAAAGGCAGAATGACAGAGGAGTCTTCCATCTGCTGGTTCCTTCCCCAGATGGCTACAACAGCGGGGGCTGTGCCGGGCTGAAGTCTAGAGGCAGGAACACAGTGATCTTCCATGTGTGTGGCAGGCACTAAAGGACTTGAGCCGTTTTCCACTGCTTTCCCAGCACTTTAGCAGGGCGCTAGATGGGAAGCAGAGCAGCTGGGACTCAAACTGGACTTCAACATAGATGCTGGTGTTTTAGGCAGCGGCTTAACCCACTGTGGCACAGTGCTTGCCCACAAATAAATCATCTTTGAACAGTACTACCTACTATGGACAAATTTGACCATAGAAGGTTTTATTGTACCCAACTGTAAAAGGATGTTTGAGGTCATTGAGGATAATTGAACTTGGATCAGATATTTACCTTAATATCTTTTTATTTTGTTGATAAATACCTTTTTATTCTGTTGGTCATAATAATGGCTTTGTGGTTGCATATGCTTTTTTTTTTTTTTTTTTTTTTTTTGACAGGCAGAGTGGACAGTGAGAGAGAGAGAGAAAGGTCTTCCTTTGCATTGGTTCACCCTCCAATGGCCGCCGCGGCCGGCGCACCACGCCGATCCAAAACCAGGAGCCAGGTGCCTCTCCTGGTCTCCCATGTGGGTGCAGGGCCCAAGCACTTGAGCCATCCTCCACTGTACTCCCGGGTCACAGCAGAGAACTGGAAAGGAAGAGGGGCAACCGGGACTAGAACCTGGTGTGCCGGCGCCGCAAGGTGGAGGATTAGCCTAGTGAGCCACGGCGCCGGCTGCATATACTTCTTTTCCTTAAAATTAAATTCTTATCTCTTAGCAGTGCATCACAGCTATTTACAAGGGAAATGTTATGTGTAAAATTTGCTATGATAGGTGCTGGCGCCGTGGCTCACTTGGTTAATCCTCCGCCTGTGGCGCTGGCATCCCATATGGGCGCCGGGTTCTAGTCCCAGTTGCTCTTCTTCCAGTCCAGCTCTCTGCTGTGGCCTTGGAAGGCAGTGGAGGATGGCCCAAGTGCTTGGGCACCTGCACCCACATGGGAGACCAGGAGGAAGCACCTGGCTCCTGGCTTCGGATCGGCTCAGCGCACCAGCCGTAGCAGCCATTTGGGGGGTGAACAAATGGAAGGAAGACCTTTCTCTGTCTCTCTCTCTCTATCACTGTCTATAACTCTACCTGTCAAAAAAAAAATTTTTTTTTGCTATGATATACTCCAGGACAAAAAGGGGAGCTAAATGAAGTGAGAACAGCAGAAAGTTTATAATTATTGAAACTGGTGGGAAGCCTGGGGGTTTTTTATGCTTTTCTCACTACTTTTGTGCTTGAAATTTCCATAATAAGATGCTTTAAGTTATTACTGTTGGTACAGTCCAGGAGCTCATTAACTCCATTGCCTTTTTAAGTTCTAAGGGCAAAGGGGGGGGACTTTTTCTGACAAATTATCCAGATTTGATTAAAACATAACAGAATGCAGTTTCAAAACAAATCCATCAGTGCTGATGGTGTTGTAACAGGTAAAACCACCACCAGCATTGGGCGTTGCCAGCGTCCCACACGGCTACCAGTTCCATCTAATGGTAGTTCCATCCGCTTCCGATCCAGTTCCCTACTAATGGCCTGGGATAGGCAGTGGAGGATGACTCAAGTTTGGGCCCATGCCACCCATTTGAGAGTCCTGGATATGGAATTCCTGGTCCAGCCCTGGCCATTGTGGCTAACTGGGGAGAAAATCAGTGGATGAAAGATCTCTCTCTGTAACTTTGACTTTCAAAAAAATAAATAAATCTTTAAAAAAAACCACCAGTTGTGATACACAGATCAGTTTAAAAGAGAAAATATTAGCTCTTTTGAAACACTTATTTATTCAAAAAGCAGAGTTAGGGAGAGACAGAGCTCTTCCATCTGCTAGTTCACTCTCCAAATGGCCACAATGGCCAGACTGGGCCAGGCCAAAGCCAGGAGCCTGGAGTTTCTTCTGGTTCTTTGACATGGGTGGCAGGGACCCAACCACATGGGCCATCTTCCATTGCTTTCCCAGGTGTCTTAGCATGGAGCTGGATTGGAAGTGGAGCATCCAGTACTTGAACCTGTGTGCCAGGCAGCGGCTTACCCCATTATGCCACAATGTTGGCCTCAAAATGCTTCTCTTAATGGTAAAGCAAAATAAAGGGGTCAGTTACTGATACGATATTTTTTAAAGTTCATGGGAAATGGAATTAAAAATGTACTTGAGCACAAAGAAGTTTTTAAGTCTATGCAGTATTTTTCACAATTGGCATTTTGGATGAACTTTTGGAAGACCCCTTGTTTGCGTGGATTTCAGGTTTTTTTCTGTGCCAAAGTAAGCCTTATCTTTTAATTCCACTTTTTACAAACCTTCTGAAATGCCCTCATATTTCTTGTGCAGCCACTGGTCCTTTTCTCCCCTTCTTGCAGTCTTCAATTACAAAGACAGCTGACTGGTTTCTTTACTCTGAACTCACCTGAGAATACCCAAGCCTGATCAAACCCTGCTCTGTGCCTAATCCCCGCCTGTACTTATGCAGCTGACCCTGACTGGAAAAAAATCACTTGACTTTATCGATGGCACTTCTTTCATTTTATGACTCTAACACTTCGACACTTTGTTGGTAGTGATGAACTTTCTCACTGTCAAGGACAATTATTTCTTGTCTTCTTGCCTCAGCTTGGCTCCTCTCCCTCTCTTGATGGGAAAATAGATGAAATCAGTGGGAATGACCTCCTGTTGCCACCTGCAAAGCTTCCACCTGATCACTCTGTACCTACCTGCCTGATTTCAATAAAAGGCTGTACAAAGGCACTCTTCTTTTTTTTTTTTTTTTTAAAGATTGATTGATTGATTGATTTCAGAGGCAGTGTTACAGAGGCAGAGACAGAGAGAGGTCTTGCACCCACTGGTTCACTCCCCAGATGGCCGCAACAGCCAGAGCTGCACCAATCAGAAGCCAAGAGCTACTTCAGGGTCTCCCACGTAGGTGCAGGGGCCCAAGGACTTGGGCCATCTTCCACTACTTTCCCAGGCCATAGTAGAGAGCTGGATTGGAAGTGGAGCAGCCAGGTCTCGAACCAGCGCCCATATGGGATGCTGGCGCTTCAGGCCAGGGTGTTAACCCACTGTACCACAGCGCCAGCCCCAGCCAAGAGCTTTTCTTGCTGGTCTCCCTCCCGGGATGCAGGGGCCTAAAGACCGTGGCCATCTTCCGCTGCTTTCCCAGGTGCATTAGTAGGGAGCTGGAGCGGAAGTCAAGCAGCTGGGACTTGAACCAGTGCCCATATAGGATGCCAGTACTGCAGACGGTGGCTTTACCTGCTGTGCCACAGCACTCTTTCCCTACTCCGCCCCCCCACCCCGCCCCCAGCTTTTAAGACGCAACTTGAGATGCCCACATCTCTTATCAGAGTTGCTGGGTTTGAGTGCTGGCTGCACGTCCACTCCTAGATTCCTGGTTATGTACACCCTGGGAGGCAGCAGTAGTTGGGTCCCTGTCACCCACGTAAGAGAACTGGATGGAGTTCCAGGCTTTCGGCTTGCCCAGCTCTAGCCATTATAGGCATCTTGGGAGTGAACCAACAGGTGAAAATATCTCTGTGAAGTCTCTGTAACTGATCTTAAAAAAAGCAAAACAAAAACTTCTTGGCAGAAATGCTTATTAATATATAAAGAAAGTAAATATATATAAAACAATATGAATACTGAGTCTAGACAAGGAGTATGTGAGTACTTTGTGTTTTTAAAAAAGATTTATTATTACCTGAAAGGCTGAGTAACAAGTTGAGACAAAGAGGTCTTCCATCCATGGGTTCTTTCCCTAAAATATTCAGAACAGCCAGGGCAAGACCAGGCCAAAGCCAGAAGCCAGGAACTCCACCCAGGTCTTCCACCTGGGTGTGGGGGCCCAAGCACCTGCTGCACCACAGCACCAGCTCTCCAGATCAGCTTTTTAATCTGTCATGTCTACCAGGCACCACAATAGAAACACAACTGGGAGCTTTCCTCTGCTAAACCTGGGATTTGTGCAGCACGAATCACCACCTTAGAAGTGGATACAGTTCCCAAGGAAGAAAGAAGGGGGAAAAGAAAGAAGAGAAATGGAGAGGCAGAAAGAGAATAAGTGAGAAAGGAGAAACTAAATCTTAAAAAATGGAGGGGCCGGTGCAGTGCCGGCATCCCATATGGGCATCAGTTTGAATCTTGGCTGCTCCACTTCCGATCCAGCTCTCTGCTATGGCCTAGGAAAGCAGTAGAAGGTGGCCCAAGTGTTTGGGCCCCTGCACCCATGTGGGAGATCCGGAAGAAGCTCCTGGCTCCTGGCTTCGGATCAGAGCAGCTGCAGCCGTTGCAGCCAACTAGGGAGTGAACCATCAGATGGAAGACCTCTCTGTCTGTCTGTCTGTCTCTCTCTCTCTCTAACTCTTTCAAGTAAGTAAATAAATCTTGGGGAAAAAAAATGACAGAAGGACCAAAAAGAAGCTGGAAATAGGTGAGAAAGGAAAGAGAAAACTAAGAAATAAAGCTTACTGAAAATTTAGAAAGAGAAAAGGCAAAGATGAGAGAGAACAAGAGGAAGAAAAAAGAGGAAAGGAAGGAGAAAGAGGAAATAAGAGAAATAAGGAAGACAGGAGAAAGCCTAAGGGAAAGAAGAAAGGTGACAAATAAGAAAGGGAAGTAAGGGAGAGAAAAAAGGAATTAAAAAGGAAATAGAAGGCCAGCACCCTGGCTCACTAGGCTAATCCTCCACCTCTGGTGCCGGCACCCCGGGTTCTAGTCCTGGTCGGGGCACCGGATTCTGTCCCGGTTGCTCCTCTTCCAGGCCAGCTCTCTGCTGTGGCCCAGGAAGGCAGTGGAGGATGGCCCAAGTGCTTGGGCCCTGCACCCCATGGGAGACCAGAAGCACCTGGCTCCTGGCTTCAGATTGGCACAGCGTGCCGGCCGTAGCTACCATTTGGGGGGTGAACCAACGGAAAAAAGGAAGACCTTTTTGTCTGTCTGTCTCTCTCTCTTCTCACTAAAAATAATCTGCCTGCCAAAAAAAAAAAAAAAAAAAAAAAGAAAGAAAGAAAAAAAAAGAAACAGAAGAAAGAAAAATGGAAAAAGTTGATAAGAAAACAAACACAAGAAACAGCAAAGAAACTACAAAAGAAAGAGCATGTTAGTCTATAGAAGTGTTTATTACATTGTTTTGACTTCCCTCTATGCCTGATATTTTTTTTTTTTTAAGACTTTATCTTACGTATTAGAAAGGCAGCGTGACAGAGGCAGAGAGAGAGATCTTCCATCTGCTGGTTCACTCCCCAATGACTGCAACAGCCACGGTTGGGCCAGGCTGAAGCCAGGAGCCAGGAACTCCATCCAGGTCTCCCAGATTGGGTGGCAAGGGCCCAAGTACTTGGGCCATCTTTCTCTGCCTTCCCAGGTGCATTAGCAGGTGAAGTGAAGTGAAGCATTTGGGACTCTAACTGGTGCTCTGATATGGAATGCCAGTGTCTCAAGTGGCAGCTTAACCTGCTTTGCCACAACGCAGCCCCAAGAATATCTGAATTCTGTCTTGCCAATCATCTCCTTCCCAGAGAAGACTCAACGTGGGGAGGGTCAAGGAACAAGGAGGAGAAAATCAGCTACGCCCAGGACTGGCTGGGTGCTTCCTACATGGGAAGAATACTAGCTGGGATGTGCACTGGTATCTTGACACAGAGCCTTCTGGTAAAGTGGGTTGAAGTAAGCACCTTGGGTTCAACACTCTATGTAAAACCTCTGCTATCTCTTAAAGCCCAAACCAGACTTCCGTATCTCTGCCATTCTCTACTGGACATAGCTGATGTTAAATGTGTGAGAAGAAAAAAGCCAATCAAGTAATTGGATTTCTGCCACCCTTTGGTCTAGTCTGACCCAGCCCTGGTCATTGCAGGCATTTAGGGAATGAGCTGATGTGACCTCTCACTGTCTATCTTTGTCTCTCTAATGAATGGTAATTTTTAAAGGTTTATTTATTTTAATTTTTTTTTTTTTTGACAGGCAGAATTAAACGGTGAGAGAGACCGAGAGAAAGGTCTTCCTTCCGTTGGTTTACCCCCAAATGGCTGCTAAGGCCGGCGCGCTGTGCCAATCTGAAGCCAGGAACCAGGTGCTTCTCCTGGTCTCCCATGGGGTGCAGGGCCCAAGCACTTGGGCCATCCTCCACTGCACTCCCTGGCCACAGCAGAGAGCTAGACTGGAAGAGGAGCAACCGGGACAGAACCAGCGCCCCGACCAGGACTAGAACCTGGAGTGCTGGTGCCACAGGCAGAGGATTAGCCTAGTAAGCCGCAGCGCCGGCCCATAAAGGTTTATTAATTTCAAAGGCAGAGTTACAGAGAGAGAAGGAGGGATGGAAAGATCTTCCGTCTGCTCGTTCACTTCCCAAATGGCCACAACAACCATGACAGCCAGGCCAAAGCCAGGAGCTTCATCTGGATCTCCCATGTGGGTGCAGGGGCCCAAGCACTTGGGCTGTCTTACATTAGCAGGGAGCTGGATCAGAAGTGGAGCAGGGGCCAAGTAAAGCTGCTTGCAGTGCCTGCATTCCATATGGGCACTGGTTCTGTTCCTGGCTGCTCCACTTTTGATCTAGCCCTCTGCTATGGCCTGGGAAAGCAGTAGAAGATGGCCCAAGTCCTTGGGCCCTGCACCCATGTGGAAGACCTGGAAGAAGCTCCTGATTCCTGGCTTCAGATTGGCACAGCTCTGGCCATTGTGACCAACTGGGTAGTGAACCACCAGATGGAAGTCCCCTCAGCCACAGTGAACTCCTTCAAACTCCACCCTCATCATGCCATGGTTGCCTTGCCATGATATTTTTCTACCTTTTTCTGTATCTGAGTCTCAGCTGCTGGTCAGCTAGATCATGACAGCCTGAGCTGCCCTGCCTGGGCACCTGCTGCTGGGTGGCAGTTGCCTCTTTCCTGTATGACTTCCCTACTTGGCTATGAAATCCCTGAGGGCAAGGACCAGGAGGTCTTGGTCACGGTTCTGGTCCTCCAACCTGACCAGAGTGCACTTCATAATTGTAGGGACATGGAAAATGCCCCAGCTGTCTTTCCTTACTTATTTGATTTTGGGCCCTAAAGAGAAGGTCTTTTCTGCAGGCAGAGAAGTTGTTAAGAGCCTTGAAAGCCCACCTGAAAGAGGAGGCAGGAAGAGAAAAGGAGCATCAGGTGAGTAATGTTTTTCCTCCTAACCTGTTACCTGTGAGCAATTGCACAATCAGCGATGATTTAAGACATGCTGTTAATTACCAAGGAGAGTCTATCAGTGACAGCCTTTCATAATAGAGATTTCTTATGAATGGGGAAACCACCCTGCAGGCAAGTAATCTGTCAACTATTCTTAGACAATTGCCAAGGTTAAGTGCTCACTGCCCACTGTTATGACTTGGGGGAAGGATTTGCAGTCTGGAAAGACCCAGGTGAGATGGCAGCCATTGCTAGGTGATCTTAGAAACTGCAGCTCCTCTGCAATGGAAACACCTGCCCTGCTGTGGCACTCGACCTGCAGACTGTAAACCGTGCTGCTCGCTTCAGCCCCAGAGCGAAGCTCTTAGCTGAGGCAGGACCCCCAGCTGGGCCAGCGAGCACTGCGTCCGAGGAAGCCACCAAAGCCTGAGGACCTTGGAGTGGTCAGTTCTGTGTCTGGAAGGGAAGGTATACGGAACCAGGAACTAAAAGGCAGACTTCTCCTCTCTTGTTGGTCTGTGTAACTATATTCCAATTTTTAACATTTCAGATTTGCAGCTCTAATTGCATTTATTTTAACTTTTATTTATTTATTTATTTGTTTATTTATATTGGAGAAGCAAAGAGACAGAGTGAGCTCCCATGCTTGGGTTCACTCCACATTGACCTGTAAGGGAAGGGAGCAGAGCCAGGAACGCAGTGCTGGTCTCCCACGTGCTTGGCAGAAACCCAACTATTTGCGGTACCACTGTTGGCTCCCAGGACCCATGACAGCAGGAAGCTGCAGTCAAGTCCCAGAGCCAGATGTCAACTTGGGTGTTCTAACGTGGGACTTGGGCATCCTCACTAGCTGCCTAACTGCCAGGCCAGATACCTGAGATGCCTGGCCTCTGTCCTGCATCATTTTTTTTAATGGCTAAGGGTATATGATTGTAGTGCCCTCTGAAGTCAGGATTTTACTTGGGGTAATAATTGATAGACTGCATTAAAAATGATCTGTTGCGGGGGTGGGCTTTTGGCACAGATGTTAAGATGCTACTTAGGACGACCCACATCTCATATCAGAGGCCTGGGTTGGAGTCTAAGCTCTACTTCTTATTCCAGCTTCCCGCTAATGTTTATTCTGGGGGGTAGCAGTGATGGCTGAAATACTTGGGTCCATGCTACCCATGTGGAAGACCCAGAGTAAGTCTGGGCTCCTGGCTTTCACTTGGCTCAGTCCTGCCTGTTGTGGGCATTTGAGGAGTGAATCAGTAGGTTGAAGATCTGTGTCTTAGTCTGTATCTCTCGTTCTCTAAAACAGTCTATTTTATTTCAAATTCAGTATCTGTCCTTTTTGAAAAAAATTACACAAGAGCAGTGATAGTCTAAATTCAGTCCTAAGTGGTGAAATCTGTTGATTATGAGCTTAGATTGGTGAAAAAAACCCGAGTCGATCTTTGCATAAACCAAAGAGAGTTTATCTACTCAAGGATATAGATGCAAGTTGCAAAATCCAAATACATGGTGAAGAGAACATTAATATTACCTAGGATGCACAGCTAGGCTTCTAGGCCTCAGTATCATTACCTGGCACATTTACAGTTGTAGATTATATTTGAGTGAGGTGACATTGGACTTCATGGAGACATCAGTTCTCTCACTATGGGTCCCTGTGAAACATAAGTGTTGGAACATCTCTCAGCGTAGGTTGGTCTGGCTGGCTGTGCTGGAGACTCTCATCTGAAACGGATGTGTCCCATCAGTCTGAGATTTGGACAAGTCTGTTGGAGGGTACACAATGGTACATTCAGGAATAAACACACTGCTTGCTGATCTTCTCACTCCCAGACTCTCAGACCGTGGTTGAGGTGTGTGAGATGAAGACATCTCGGAGTCATGCTAACAATATTAGAGCAGTCACAGGCGCGGTGTCATGCCGTGCTACTAGGGGGTGGAGGTGGGTGGTGAGGAAGGACGCTGAAGGAGGCACGTTATGTCCAGTGGGGTGTGTGGCCCGACGGCACCTGTTCTGCCCATGACTCTCCAGGGAGGAAATTTGCACTTGTAAAATCCTTGCTCATCTGCCCACTTCCTAGTTGCTTTCTGGTTTCCCAGCCCATTGTCTTCATTGCCTCCAGCTGTGACCTGTGGCCTGTGACATGTTTACAGGTCTACTCCTTGTTCCTTAACTCCAGTGACTTCATGTCTCCTTCTCCTCACCGTCTACCCTGGGCAGGTCCCCACCTTCCGTCACTTGGCCCTCTTCCATTTCTGTAGTGCTTCAGCGCCTCTCAAGTCTTCTGTCCTGTAAAGCTGCTTTATTTTACTCCAGCTCACAAATCTTAGGTTACAGTTCTTAACCTAGGATGTTTGGCAGAGTCATTTGGGAAACTTTTGTTTTTTATTGGACAAGTAGAGTTATAGACAGTGATAGAGAAAGAGAGAGACAGAGAGAAAGGTCTTCCTTCCGTTGGTTCACTTCCCAAATGGCCACCACAGCCGGCGCTGTGCTGATCTGAAGCCAGGAGCCAGGTGCTTCCTCCTGGTCTCCCATGCAAGTGCAGGGCCCAAGCACTTGGGCCATCCTCCACTGCCTTCCCAGGCCACAGCAGAGAGCTGGACTGGAAGAGGGGCAGCTGGGACTAGAACCCAGCGCCCATTTGGGATGCGGGCACCACAGGCAGAGGATTAACCAAGTGAGCCACGGCGCCAGCCCTGGGGAACTTTAAAAAAAAAAATACTAATACAGCTCTGGCCATTGCAACCAGTTGGGGGGTGAACCAGTGGATAGAAGGCCTCTCTCTCTCTCTCTGCCTCTCTTCTCTCTCTGTAACTCTGGCTTTCAAATAAATAAATACATCTTTTAATAACATATTGATACATAGGCCTCACCAAACCTTGGACCAATTAAACAGAGCTTCCAGGGTGGAGTCACGTGAGGCAATGGAACCCCCTCCTTACATGTGTAGGAGTCCAGGTACCCGCAGCCCTCTCACCATCACAGGTGTGTCTGTGAGGAAAAGAAGCGAAGACCTCTGTCCTCAGGCCAGCATGAGGCTGATTGTCCACCACGGAGCCCTTCTCACACATCAACTCTCCTAAGGAGGTTTGTCCTGAAATATGAGTGGACAACCAACAACCGCCAGACATTTAAGGACAGATGAATAAAAAGAAATGGAAATAATATAGAAAACAACTGGAAACCTTAAAAAGGTTTACAATAATTTGATTAATCAACTTTGAAAACCAAGCTAGGTAGATAGACAAAGAGACATGATTCAACAAAGGTTATAGAGCGACTGTCAATGGCACTGGGTACTTGAGAAAATAGATGGCAAGCTGGGAGCACAGGAGGTGAATGGGACATGGAAGGGTGCTGCTCGGCGACTCCCAGGCCATGTATTGGGAGGACAAGCTTTAAAGGTAAATTTAGGCACCAACGCTGAGGTGTAGCGGGTAAGGCCGCTGCCTGCTGCATTGGCATCCCCTATGGGCACATGTTGAAGTCCAGCTGCTCCACTTCTGATCCAGCTCTCTGCTATAGTCTGGGGAAAGCAGCAGAAGATGGTCCAAGGCCTTGGGCCCCTGGACCTGCGTGGGAGACCTGGAAGAAGCTCCTGGCTCCTGACTTCGGTCTGGCTCAGTTCTTGCTGTTGGTGGCCATTTGGGGAGTGAACTAGTGGGTGGAAGACCTTTCTCTCTCTGCCTCTGCCTCTCTGTAACCTTGCCTTTTAAATAAATAAATCGTTAAAGAAAAAAAAGCATTTATAAAGGTACATATAAAGCTGCAAAGGTAACTGATAGTGCGGCTTAAATAGTATAATTATGTTAAAAAGAAAATGAAAAGACTATAAGGAACTCAATTTTAGCTCACGATGGGCATTAAAAATCTCAACTGGAAATGGGGAGGAACCTGCCATCAGCAACACGTCAGCAGAGTGGCCGCTGGAATTTCAGCCTTACATACAGCGAGGGCACGGGAAGCAGCGGCTCATGGGCATCTCTTCCTTAGGATCTGATTGCTTTTTAGCCATGTGTATTAATTTATTTCAAAACATTACTTCACTTAGAAACAGAAAAACACCAAGCCAAGCCTTTCTATTACAGTTTTTTTTTTTTAAAGATTTTATTTATTTATTTGAAAGAGTTACAGAGAAGCAGAGGCAGAGAGAGAGAATGAGAGGTCTCCCATCTGCTGGTTCACTCCCCTGTTGGCTACAATGGCTGGAGCTGTGCCAATCCAAAGCCAGGAACTTCTTCTGGATCTCTCACATGGGTGCAGGGGCCCAAGGACTTGGGTCATCTTCTACTGCTTTTTCATAGCAGAGCTAGATCAGAAGTGGAGCAGCTGGGACTCAAACCGGCACCCATATGGGATGCTGGCGCTGCAGGTGGCTTTACTCACTCCGCCACAGCGCCAGCCCCTACATTACAGTTTCTAGGTACAGCAGCATGGTTACAAAGGCCTTCCTCACACTCCCATGAATGCAACCAGCTGGGGTTTTGCGCTACTGCTATTATAACTGTCCTTTTTGCATTTGAGTCTTGAGTCCAGATTTCATTTTGGTGTGAGAGAATGAAAGTGTTAAGTAGTTGTCCCAGCATCACTGTTGAGCCAGGAATCCAGCCTTCCTCTCTAACACACAGAGCTACCTCTGTCACAGAACGGTTTCTTCCATTGACAGGTCTGTCTTGGATGGTCTGGTATCTGACCACGCTGATTTCGTACTGTAGCTTTTTACTTCAATTTGTGATGATTCAGCTACCATTCTCATCTTACTCCCTTATTTTACCTTGGATAAGTTCCTTGGACTCTGAAAGCTTCAGTTTTCCCATCTGTGAAATGGGGCTAATAGCAGTACCAATCTCAGAGGCTTTGAGGCATAAATTGAGATAATCCATGCCATATTCAGCTCAGTAAAGTTGCAGTAGCAGCTATGATTATTTTTAGTATACAGCACTGTGCCTGTGAAACAGCATTGTGCTGTTTTATTAGTTAGCTGCTTTACTCATGCTAAGGTACTTGAGTGTTTTCTAGCCTAGTTCAGTACCTCAGGATGGCAAATGTGATTGTTTCTTCGTAAATACTCTGCTGTTCCTGTCCTTGCCTATAATTTAGTGCTAGACAGTTCTAAAAATTCTCTTTGGCATATATAGTTTTTAAACTTGGTTTAAATTCTGATTCCTGAGGATATAAGGCTATAGCAGGTAAAAGTCTCTCTTTTCAGGCTGAAGGTCAAACCTCTGCTTCCTCCCGTGGCAAGCCCGAGATAGAGATTTGTGGCGAGGAACAAGCTGCTAGGGAGCCGGCTGGCCAAGTCACCAAAAGGAGGAGAAGGCGCAAGACAGCCCACGGGAACCCTGATCCCCAGGTGAGCAGAAATGAGCAAATTAAAAAGTCAAACTGACCCACTGTTCAGGGACTTTGTTTTTTAATTCCCTTAGTGAGGAAAGATGGTTGGAAAGGCGCTATGGGTGTAGCTCACAGAAAGCACCCAGCCCAGTGTAGGCTGTCGATGTTATGCCCCAGGGCTGCTACTGAGGAAGCACTTCTTACGTATTCAGTGCAAGTTAATTGTGAGTTGAGGGGTGGGTGTTTGATCTAGAGGTTAAAACACCCCACATCAGAGTGCCTGCGTTCCACTCTGGCTTAGGCTCCTAGCTTGGCTTCCTGCCAGTGCAGACCCTCGGAGGCATTGGGGATGGCTCAGGTAACTGGTTGCCTGCTGCTCACCAGGGAGAAATTGCCTTGCTGTCTTTGCCAAGACTAGCGATCACTCTGAACTTAGTCTTTTTTTTTTTTAAAGGACTTGTTCTTTTTTATTTTATTTTTATTTTTTTATTTTTTTTATTTTATTATTTTTTTTTTTTTGACAGGCAGAGTGGACAGTGAGAGAGAGAGACAGAGAGAAAGGTCTTCCTTTGCCGTTGGTTCACCCTCCAATGGCCGCCGCGGCCGGCGAGCTGCGGCCGGCGCACCGCACTGATCCGATGGCAGGAGCCAGGAGCCAGGTGCTTTTCCTGGTCTCCCATGGGGCGCAGGGCCCAAGCACCTGGCCATCCTCCACTGCACTCCCGGGCCACAGCAGAGAGCTGGCCTGGAAGAGGGGCAACCGGGACAGAATCCGGCACCCCAACCGGGACTAGAACCCGGTGTGCCGGCGCCGCTAGGCGGAGGATTAGCTTAGTGAGCCGTGGCGCCGGCCTATTTTTATTTTTTTTGACAGGCAGAGTGGACAGTGAGAGAGACAGAGAGAAAGGTCTTCCTTTTGCCGTTGGTTCACCCTCCAATGGCCGCCGTGGCCGGCGCACCGTGCTGATCCGATGGCAGGAACCAGGTGCTTCTCCTGGTTTCCCATGGGGTGCAGGGCCCAAACACTTGGGCCATCCTCCACTGCACTCCCTGGCCACAGCAGAGAGCTGGCCTGGAAGTGGGGCGACCGGGACTAGAACCCGGTGTGCCAGCGTCGAAAGGTGGAGGATTAGCCTAGTGAGCCGTGGCGTCGGCCCTCTGAACTTATTAGTCTTTGAGCAGTGCGGTTATATGATCAGTCATGAACTTCCTTCTTTGCTTTCAGTAGACTCTGATTTTTCCTTTTTATTTAAGAAACAGACCGAAGGACAAAGACTCCCATCTACTGGTTTGTTCCCCAAATGCCCATATTGGCCAAGGCTGGGCCAGGCCAAAGTTAGGAACTAGGAACTCAATCCACATGAAGTGGCAGGGACCTGAGTAATTGAGCCTTCACTACCAGCCTCCCAGAGTGCATATAAGCAGGAAAGCAGAATGGAAAGCAGAGCTGGGGCTCAAACCCAGGCACTCTGACATAGGCTGCAGGCATCCCAAGTGGTAGCCTAGCATCAGTGAATGCCTACCCTCAATTTTGTTTTTCTGTCTTACCCTTTCATTCAAGTGTACTTGGTACCAAACACGGTCCTGATTGCTTATTTTCCGACTTGGTCAGCACACTGTCTAGATTACTTGGTGTTGGCTTATTGTCCCTAAGAGAGCCAACCTTACTGTATCTCCAGTTGTCAAGTTCCCATTCTCATGATGCTTGTTAAGAACCAAATTTACCACTCGCATGTCTGATTCTCTTTCCGTTCCTCAAAGCCCTTCCCTTCATTCCCACCCTGTTTTTGTACCTCTTTCAAAAGCAGCAATTACTTCTTATTTATCACTGAAATAATTTTCTTTTAAAATTTGTAGCAGGATCTTTCAGAGATAACAGTCAGTGAGAGCACTGAATTCCAGAGTCAAGAAGAGCAGGAAGACCAGATTCCTGGGACTACTGCAGAAGCTCCCCCTGCACCGCGTGAGCGCCAAGGAGAGGAGACTGCAGTTTCCTCAGGCGGAAGTGCAACGAAAGGTGCGCCAGTAGCTCTGGGTGGCTTCGGGCATCAGTCTCAGCCTGCGTGGTAACGTGCCAGATGCCGGGTGGCGTACAGGTCCAGAAATTGCTTCACTTACAGTTCTGGGGGCTGCAAGTTCAAAATCCAGGTGTCAGCCAAGCCACGCTCCTCTGAGCCTCTGGGTAGAATCCTTCCTTGCCTCTTCTGCTTGCAGTGGCTGTTGACAGCTGGTGTTCCTCAGCCTCCCTGCCTGGCCATCCCTCAGGTGGGATCTGTGTGCACCCAGATGACCTCATCTTAGCTTGATGAATCTGTGGGGAAGTCTAGAGAAGTTGAGACCTATCTGGTGATGAGGGCCCTCCTTCTGTCTCAGCCCTTCCAAGGCCTCCTCCACCACGGCAGGTACAAGGCAGCTGCAAAGCACACCTTCCCAGTGGGGTGGCCATTGTCATTATGTTAAATAAGCATCTCACTTCCCCAAAACTTCCTCTCTAAGCTTTCTCAACTAGAAGTCTGATTCAGTAAGATCAGAAAGCCCAGTTTCTGGACAAGTGCCTCACAGAGCAGGAAGCCAGCCGCAGGCAGCAGCTCCACAGTGCAGCTTGCCTGTAAGAAACGAGCCCTTGTCCAATCTTGGTGCAGCGTCAAAGAAAAACACTCAGTTTCTCTGAGCTCCTTTTTTCAACTCCGTATCTGGGGCAAGATTTTTTTCTATAATGTATGTTGAGGAAAACAACATCCTGACATTGTATGCAGAAGTAGTTCACACAATCTGTCTGCCAGCTCATACATAAGATAACCAGTAAAACAATGCCAATCTACATGGAATGTTACAGAAATTTGTGGCATTTTTCATAAGTACTTAGTTTATGTCTATAAATACTAAATGTCTTAACATGTCACACTGGCAGACACAAACAAAAATTTTTGGAGTTCTAAATAACATTTTTTATGATTCACTGATTTATTTGAAAGGCTTAGTGGGCCGGCGCCGCAGCTCACTAGGCTAATCCTCCGCCTAGCGGCGCCGGCACACCGGGTTCTAGTCCTGGTCGGGGCGCCGGATTCTGTCCCGGTTGCCCCTCTTCCAGGCCAGCTCTCTGCTGTGGCCCGGGAGTGCAGTGGAGGATGGCCCAGGTGCTTGGGCCCTGCACCCCATGGGAGACCAGGAAAAGCTCCTGGCTCCTGCCATTGGATTAGCGCGGTGCGCCGGCCGCAGCGTGCCGGCCGCGGTGGCCATTGGAGAGTGAACCAACGGCAAAAGGAAGACCTTTCTCTCTGTCTCTCTCTCTCTCACTGTCCACTCTGCCTGTCAAAAAAAAAAAAAAAAGGCTTAGTGACAAGTGTATCCACTGGTTCACTCCCAAAGGCCATGCCTAGGCCAGGCCTAAGCCAGGGTACAGAGCTTCATCCGGGTGTCCCATGTGGTTGCAGGGGACCAAGCGGTTGGGTCCTCCTCTACTGCCTTCCTTGGCACATTGGCAGGATCAGCAGTGGAGCAGCCAGGACTAGAACTGACGCTCCAGAATGGGGTGCCAGCATCAAAAGCATTGGCTTCACCTGCTGTGCCACAGCACCAGCCCCTTGAGTAACTTTTGAGTGAATCAGAGGGCCCCAGATTGCTGTGTCCTGTGGTTCTAGAAGGTGTGAGGAATGTTAATCTAATCTAGTTTTGTTTTTGAGGTTTGCTTATTTGAAAGGTAAAGAGAGCTAGAGGAAGAGTCCCAGACAAATCTTCCATCCACTAGTTTATTCCCCAAGTGCCCTCGGAAGTCAGGGCTATACAAGGCAAAGGCTAGGAGCTAGGAACCTTGTGGGTACAGGGGCCCAAGCAGTTGGGCCATCTTCTGCTGCTTTCCCAGCGCCATTAACAGGGAGCTGGATCAGAGGTAGAGCAGCCAGAACTCAAACCGGCACCCATATTCACCAGCTATGCCCAATGCTGGCCCCCAGAACACTGGCATTTTTTAACAGGCCAGTTTTTTGTCCTCCTATTTGGTCCAGTGTCTCTTCACAGAGTCAGATGAAGCACTTTTGGCAAGGCTGTGTCCTCTGCGGGCTGTGCCCAGGAGGCATAGGGGCTGCTGTGCCCTGAAGTACAAGCCCACTGCCATCACTTGGTTACGGTAGAGTCTGCTAAGTTCCTCCTCTGGGAAGTGGTTCCTTTTCCATTTGTGGTTAACAACACATGTGTGTGTCCTGTTTGTCGCGGGAGCTTCCATCTGTGGTTTTGAACCATATCCCATGCCAAAGCTCCTGCTGCAGCCCTCTTGCCCTGTGAGACGTGCTTTGCCTGGCCTGATGCACATATCAGTGATGACTCGCTCCCATTCTCTTATACACTCTACACTCCAGCAATTCCAGCTGCCTCAGTTTCCCCAAAATTCACTTTCACTGTAGTATGTCTTAGTAAGTATCATCCCTTCTGCCTGGTATGCATTTGTCCTTCCTTGTGTAACTAACAAATTCCATTAAGCTCAAAAACGAGAAAAGACAGAAGATAGAAAATGATCTTGATGAATGAGGGAAAATTGTAGACCTTATAGACACTGGTTTCAATCAGATTTTATTTTTAGAGACTTCTTTGAGAGACAGCAGGCAAGAAAGAGAGGGGTCTTCCATCTGCTTGTTCACTCCCCAAATGGCTGCCACACCCGGAGCTGGGCTGATCTGAAGCCAGGAGCTTCTTTTGGATCTCCCATGCGGGTGCAGGGTCCCAAGAACTTGCGCTATCCTCCACTGCTTTCCCAGGCCATAAGCAGAGAGCTGGATCAGAAGAGGAGTAGCCAGGACATGAACCAGCACCCATATGGGATGCTGGCACCACAAGTGGAAGTTTAACCTACTATGCCACAGCACTGGCCCCTCAACAGGACTTTAAAAACAAATAACAAGTAGGGACGGCAGAGGACCAGAAGAAATATATTCAAGTGCTCACAATGTTGCTTTGGCTGGTGGGATTGTGGGATTTTTTTATTGTTCTAGTTATGATAAGAGCATGTCCATATATAATTTCTAAACATAGGTTTGTAGCCTTCTGGGATATTTCCATAAAGGATACACGTCGGATTTCTAGCTCCTTGGAGCAGCCACACGGCAGTTGAAGCAGGGCTGTCCCTAATTGTTGGTGCCCTGTGTGTGCCATCTCTGCCACCTCGCCAGAGCCTCCACGTGAAAATGCTCTGGTCACTTAGACATTTCTTGCTGAGAAGGTTGCCGACATTCCTTATTAAACTTGTATCTTTGGCTTTAGTTAAAGAAGACTCACAGGTACCTTCACAAAGAAAGTCTGTCTACACAGATGGGTTTTCCAAGGCTGGAAAAAACAAAAGAACTGCAGTCACTACTCCAAGTAAGTTTGTTTTGTTTTTTTTATTTATTTATTTTTATTTTTAAAAGATTTATTTACTTTAAAGATTTATTTGAGAGGCAGAGAGAGAGGTCTTCCATCTGCTGGTTCACTCCCCAGATGAGTGTAACGGCCAGAGCTAGGCCACTCAGGAGCCAAGAGCTTCTTCTCGGTCTCCCATGTGGGTACAGGAGCCCTAAGGCTTGGGCCGTCTTCTTCTTTCCCAGGCCATAGCAGAGAGCTGGATAAAAAGTAGAGCAGCCATATGGGATGCTGGCATTGCAGGTAGCAGCTTTACCCGCTATGCCACAGCGCTGGCTCTTTCAAGTAACTTTTGTACACAAAGAAAAAGTCCTGGTTTGCCCACTTTGGACTGATGTTGGGGAGGCCAGTGGATTGGGACAGCTACAGGCGTAGGGGCTGGAACCTGGGCTTGCATCCTGATGCTGATTTTTTTAGCTTTGAGATCTTGAGCAGTTTAATCTTCTGTAGGCCCACTTGTTCAGTACAAAGTGGAAATGCTTATACTACCTGTTTTATCAGGATGGTATACACATTGAGAATATTGTTTCCAGTACTGATTAATTATCTAGCATGTAAATGGCGTGTAGCAGGCATTCAATACATAGCTGATGAATGGCTGTCCATGAAGTAGTTGCACGATGCCCAGCTCATCATGAGTTCCTGCTAAATCTAAGGGACTCCATGTTTGGACGTGTCATTCTTCTCTACCTATATTGCCAGTAGATTGCTTAGCAGTAGGATGGCGATTGACTGTTAGATGTTAGAATGTTGCTCATCACATATTAAAGATTCAATAAATGTTGATGTACTTAAAAATACCATTGAGTCAGCAAACTACTATCTGCCTTGGCCAGTCTGTTTCTTGAACTAAGAAGGGCTTTTACTTTTTTTTATAAAAGGACTTATTTATTAGCCTGCGCCACTGCTCACTAGGCTAATCCTCCGCCTGTGGCGCCGGCACCCCGGGTTCTAGTCCCGGTTGCTCCTCTTCCAGTCCAGTTCTCTGCTGTGGCCTGGGAGTGCAGTGGAGGATGGCCCAAGTGCTTGGGCCCTGCACCCGCATGGGAGACCAGGAGGAGGTGCCTGGCTCCTGGCTTCAGAACGGCACAGCGTGCCAGCCATAGCAGCCATTTGGGGGGGTGAACCAACGGAAAAAGGAAGACCTTTCTTTCTCTCTCTCTCTCTCTCTCTAACTCTGCCTGTCAAAAAATAAATAAATAAAAGACTTATTTATTTACTTGAAAGTCATTTGCATCTGATAAAGGATTAATATCCAGGATCTACAAAGAACTCATGAAATTCAGAAACCAAACAATCCATTTAAGAAATGGGCACAGGACATGAATAGGCATTTTTCAAAGGATGAAACAGACACGTGAAAAATGCTCAGGGGACCAGTGTTGTGGTGTAGCAGGTAAAGCTGCCACCTGTAGTGTTGGCATCCCATGTGGGCACCGGTTCAAGACCCGGCTGCTCCACTTCCAGTCCAGCTCTCCGCTATGGCCTGGGAAAGCAGTGGAAGATGGCCCAAGTCCTTGGGCCCCTGTACCCACATGGGAGACCCGGAAGAAACTCCTTGCTCCAGGCTTTGGATTGGGTCAGCTGCAGCCGTTGTGGCCAATTGGGGAGTGAACCAGCAGATGGAAGACCTCTCTCTCTCTCTCTGCCTCTCCTTCTCTGTGTAACTCAGACTTTCAAATAAATAAATCTTTATCAAAAAAAAAAATTGTACTGAAATGACCAAAGTCTGCATTCCCCCCTTAAAAAAAATGCTCAGGATCACAAGCCATCAGGGAGATGCAAATAAAAACCGCAATGTTTTATCTCACCCCAGTTAGTATGGCTGTTGTACAGAAATCAAAAAATAATAGGCCAGCACTACGGCTCACTAGGCTAATCCTCCGCCTGTGGCACTGGCACCCCAGGTTCTAGTCCTGGTTGGGGCACTGGATTCTGTCCCAGTTGCTCCTCTTCCAGTCCAGCTCTCTGCTGTGGCCCAGGAAGGCAGTGGAGGATGGCCCAAGTGCTTGGGCCCTGCACCCGCATGGGAGACCAGGAGGAAACACCTGGCTCCTGGCTTCATATCGGCACAGCGCCGGCTGTGGCGGCCATTTGGGGAGTGAACCAACAGAAAAGGAAGACCTTTCTCTCTCTCTAACTCTGCCTGTCAAAAATAATAATAATAAATGTTGGCAAAGATGTGGGGGCAAAAGGTAGCCTAACACACTGTTGGTGGGGATGCAAACTAGTACAACGTTTATGGAAGGCAGTATGGAGATGCTTCAGAAATCTGAAAATAGATCATCTACCCCATGACCCAGCCATATTTCAGAAATTTGCCCAAAATAAATGTAATAAGCATATGAAAGAGTTATTGGTACCCCATGTTTAGTGCAGCTCAACTCACAATAACTAAGATGTGAAATCAAGCAGATGTCCATCAACCGATGATTGGATAAAGAAAAGTGTGTGTGTGTGTGTGTGTGTGTGTGTAGGTGTATATGTATGGACAATAGAATACTACTCAGATTTAAAAAAGAATGAAATCCTGTCTTTTGCAACAAAATAGATTCAACTCGGAACCATTATGCTTAGTGAAATAATCCAGTCCCCAAAAGACAAATGTTGGCCAGCGCCGCGGCTCACTAGGCTAATCCTCTGCCTTGCGGCGCCGGCACGCTGGGTTCTAGTCCCGGTCGGGACGCTGGATTCTTTCCCGGTTGCCCCTCTTCCAGGCCAGCTCTCTGCTGTGGCCAGGGAAGGCAGTGGAGGATGGCCCAAGTGCTTGGGCCCTGCACCCCATGGGAGACCAGGAGAAGTACCTGGCTTCTGCCATCGGATCAGCGCGGTGCGCCGGCAGCGGCGGCCATTGGAGGATGAACCAACGGCAAAGGAAGACCTTTCTCTCTCTCTCTCTCTCTCTCACTCTCTCTCACTGTCCACTCTGCCTGTCAAAAAAGAAAAAAAAAAAAAAAGACAAATGTTTTCTCTGATATGTAGTACTTAATATAGAATGCCCCCCCCCCCAAAAAAAATGGAATGAAACATCTGTGATTTGATTGTTTTTAGCCCTTGTTTACACTCATGGACTGTGGTCTTTATACTTGTTCTTTATTATGGTTAGTGGTACTTTAAGCCTGTGATTATAGAATGGACTCAAATTATGTATTTGGAGGAAGGAAAGAGAGATTGGGGGCATTATGGTCCTCTTAGAATTGTACCTATGCCAGCTCTCTGCTGTGGCCAGGGAGTGCAGTGGAGGATGGCCCAGGTGCTTGGGCCCTGCACCCCATGGGAGACCAGGAAAAGCACCTGGCTCCTGGCTCCTGCCATCGGATCAGTGCGGTGCGCCGGCTGCAGCGGCGGCCATTGGAGGGTGAACCAACGGCAAAGGAAGACCTTTCTCTCTCTGTCTCTCTCTCTCACTGTCCACTCTGCCTATCAAAAAAAAAAAAAAAAAAGAATTGTACCTATGAGGGGCTGGCGCTGTGCTGAAGTAGGTAGGTTAAGCCTCTGCCTGCAGCGCCAATTTGTGTCCTTGCTGCTGGCGCTGTGCTGAAGTAGGTAGGTTAAGCCTCCGCCTGCAGCGCCAATTTGTGTCCTTGCTGCTCTTATTCTGATCCAGCTCTCTGCTAATGGCCTGGGAAAGCAGTGAAAGATGGACCAAGTGCTTGGGCCCCTGCACCCATATGGGAGACCCAGGTGAAGCTCCTGGCTTTGGCCTGACCCAGCTCCGGCCACTGTGGCCATTTGGGGAGTGAACCAGTGGATTAGAAGATTTATCTCTCTCCCTCATTCTGTAACGCTGCCTCTCAAATAAATAAATAAATAACTCTTTAAAAAAAAAAAGGTACCTATAAAATACGTGAAATCTATTCTCTTTATATTAAAAATGTAAGGGGGAATAAAAGAGCTACAGATAGAGCGGGAGAGACAGAGACAAAGCAGTCCCATCTGCTGGCTGACTCCCCTGATGGCTGCAATGGCCAGGGCTGGGCCAGGCTGAGGCCAGGAGCTATTTCCAGGTCTCTCACATGGGTACAGGGGCCCAACCACTTGAGCAATCTTCTGCTTTTTTTTTTTTTTTCTTTTAAGTTTTACTTATTGAAAGAGTTACAGAGATAGAGGTCTTCCATCCACTGGTTCACTCCCCAGATGGCCACAATGGCAGAGCTGAGCTGATCCAAAGTCATGAGCCAGGAGCTTCTTCTCGGTCTCCCACATAGGTGCAGGGGCCCAAGCACTTGGGCTATCTTCTGCTGCTTTCCTAGGCACATTATCGTGGAGCTGGATTGGAAGTCCAGCAATCAGGACTCAAATTGGCGCCCGTATGGGATGCCAGCACTGCAAGCTGGGGCTTTAACCCACAACGCTGGCCCCCATCTTCTGCTTCTTTCCCAGGTCATTAGCAGGGAGCTGGATCCAAAACAGAGCAAAGACACAAGCTGGTGCCCACATCGATGCCTGCATCTCAGGCGGTGACTTGATCTGGTTCTCCTCAATGCGGGCCCCAAGGATTCTCACAGTTCTAAGGAGGAAAAGCTGATAGAGGACAGAAACCACCCATATGAGGCCACAAAGCCTTAAATACTATCTGGCTCGTTACGGAAAGAGTTGGTTAATCCTTGTTACAGAACTTTCTCAGCACTACAAAATACCAAATTTATTATGATTAAAGGCGATTTGACTAATTGATAGACGGAGAAGATAAAATCTGAAATTCTTCTCCTCAGGACCAAAGTAAGACATTAGTTAACAAAATAGACACCAGGGTGACGTCCCTGATTGGTTAAAAACTACAAGTTTTGGGGCTGGCGCTGTGGTGTAGTGGGTAAAGCCACCACCTGCAGTGCTGGCATCCCATATGGGCGCTGGTTCGAGTCCTGGCTGCTCCACTTCTGATCCAGCTCTCTGCAATGGCCTGGGAAGGCAGTAGACGATGGCCCAAGTCCTTGGGCCCCTGTACCCATGTTGGAGACCCGGAGGAAGCTCCTGGCTTCGAATCAGCACAGCTCTGGCCATTGTGGCCAATTGGGGAGTGAACCAGTGATGGAAGACCTCTCTGTGTGTTATTCTTTCAAATAAATAAATCTTAAAAAAAGGACATGTTTTGAAATTCAAGTTGTAGCAAAGATGATATTAAAAGTATTTTAGGGATGCAGAGAAGAGAGTGTTAACAGAAAAGTGAATAAGTGGATTTTATTTTCCTATTTTTTGTAATATTTCAGATTTTAAGAAGCTGCATGAGGCTCATTTTAAGGAAATGGAATCCATTGATCAATATGTTGAGAGAAAAAGGAAACATTTTAAAGAACACAACCCATTTAGTGAGCTCAAGGTATGTGACAGCAATTGTTCTAATGGGACTAAACTTTATGATGTTAACTGACACTATATAACACCATGGTTAAGGCCTCTCACTTTCTGTCAGGGAACAATGGGATGGATTTGCTTGGGTTTAAAGTATCTTTATGTTAAAATTGCTTAAGTTTTGCCCATTTCTATTTACTGAAATTAATGGTAGGTACTACCTTAATGGTACCAGTTGTGTCTTATCTTTGAAGAAGGTTTTTGTTTTTAGTTAAAATTATTCATTTTTCCTTTGAAGGTTGTATTTTGCATGCTTAGGCTCTGCCCATTCCAAGATCCAAAAATATGCTCTTAGATTTGTTTCTGCTGCTGTCTGTGCTATCTTTGCTCTTCCCTTTGTTGAATCCGTTACCCCCATTTTGATTTTTGTGCAAGTCAGTTCCCACTGTCCTATTTCTGTTGCCAGTTTTTGAAGTAACATTGCTTCTGCTTGCAACAGATCTTGGACTACTGATAGTACAACATTTCACTGCTCTTTGTCCCTTGACAAGCTCTAAAACAAGAAGCTACATAGAACCCTTCACGGTGATTTCAAAGTGAGCATTTCCTTCCCTCCCACTCATCTTTCTTTTCTTTAGGGGACAGGGCAGTAAAATTTATAAATTCCACCTGCTAAGTTAGATATTCCTCCCTGGCTGTACTGAATAAACCGCATGCCATGTTCGTGGAGGGACCGTATCCAGGAGAGTGTTTCTCCTCCCTTCTGGCTACGAGGGACTGTCTTACTACCTGCTCCGCTCAGGAAGCGCAGGGGCTTTCAGCACATTGAGCACAACCAGGGGTCCTGTTGACGGCACAATCCCGACATCAAGACAGTGGCAGAGAAGTGTGCAGCAGGCCGGGCAGGGAGGGGAGATGAGGTGGAGAAGCAAGGGTGCCAGCTGGGGTTCCAGGGCTGGGCGGGAGTGTGGCTGTGGGAGAGGCCCGTCTTGTAAAGCGCCTCATTCTCTCTTCAGAAGCAGCCGGTCGGTAAGGGAGGGGTGGCAACTCCAGTTCCTCTGCAAGGAAGACCCCCTGTGGCCTGCACCCCCGCCGGCCAGCGGCCCGCAGGTCGGAGCACCTTATGTCTGAAGGGCTCAGCCAAGCGCTCCACTCTCTCAGCAACTAAAATGAACGTCAGGTAAAGAAGCCTCTCGCCACATCATTGAGGGCAAGATTTCAAATGAGTTTCAATATTTAAGTTCTAAAATTATTTTAAGTTTCTGTTTTTGTTTTTTAAGGTTTATTTACCTGTTTGAAAGACAAAGTGAAAGAGAGATAGAGAAATATCTTCCATCTGTTGGTTTATTCTTCAGATGGCTACAACAGCCAGGTCTGGGCCAGGCCGAGGTTGAGCTAGGAACACTGTCCAGGTCTCCAACATGGGTGGAAGAGGCCCAAGCACATGGTTCCACCTTCTGCTTTCCCAGGCACGATAAAAGGGAGCTGGATGAGAGTGGAGTAGCTAGGACGAGAGCCAGCATTCCAATGTGGGATGCTGGTATTGCAAGTAGTGGATCAACCCACCACGCCACAATGCTGACCTCACTGAGGGTGTTGATTCAGGACTACCATCAAATATGTAGTTACAAATACAAATGCCTTTCCATTAACCCCACCACCACCAACCCCATGTGTATTTATATAAGCTAGTGCTGGACTTTCTTTGCATCTAAGACACCATTGATTGAAAACTCATTAAGTTTATGAAGCCACTCAGTGTTAACTGTGGACATGTTGTTACCAGTTATAAAACATCCCAAACTCATAGATTTTAAGATATAGGAAAAAACCACATCAATGAAATACATTTAATTTGCCATGAGTAAACAATGGGCTTATTTACAAGTATGCGCCCCTGTGCTGAGAAGATGCAAGGTATTATGATCATGAGGTGTGACAGTTCTCTGTGACTCGCCATCACCAGGGGGAGAGGCAGAGCTTCTTGGGCTGCCTTCTGAACTCTAACTTGGGGCCTGCAAAGATTTCCTTTTAGCACTGTCTTATAATGTGATTGGGAGGGCAGACAACACAAACCTGCCTGCTACAAATAACAGAAGTTCATAGCTAAAGTTGTTAGCTTGAGTGTGAGCCTTTGGAGAACAGGTCTGTTCTGCAAGATTCTATCAGATGGCCAAGGTTCACTGCGCTTGGCTGCTGCGTGGTCATGGCCAAGTTTTGTTTGCAAGCTTGACACATGTCAGTGTTGGCACAGGTACACACGTCTTACACCCTGCTGTCCCATTTAGGTTTTCAGCAGCTACTAAAGATAATGAGCATAAGCGTTCATTGACCAAGACTCCTGCCAGAAAGTCTCCCCACGTGACCGTCTTTGGGAGTACCCCAAAGGGCCAGGCAGTGCTCGGGACGCCCAAGTTAAAGACCACGAAGGGGAATTTTGCTGGTAAGAAAAACTTCCTGCATCCTGTAGCCACACGACTTCCCCAAAGTGTGCAATGTGAGCTTCTGTAGAGCCTGTCCGAAGTTATAAAATTAAAGGCAGGGCTTTTTCAACTAGTATTCATTTTATACTGATGAAAGAAATGCCAGAGGCCCTAGCAAAAAGCTGAGCTGCCCAAGGACTCCGTCCCATGGGGTGCCCTTCCCGTGGAGTGTGCAGTCTTGCAGGCGAGGGGCGTGTGCTCTTCACAGCCGCTGCGTGCCCCTGCAGGCCTCTGGTGTCAGCAGGACTCCAGAGCACAGAGTTCCTGGGGTAAATGCCACAGTAATGATAAATAGATTTTGCAAGCCAGAAGCCATACAGGTCCTCTTCCATGTCCTTCCGTGATGGCCACCTGCAGTGACCCAGCAATGCTGACACTGCAGTAGTGCCAGTGTGAAGGGGCAGACGGTGTGACTGCTGGGTCTGAGCTCATGTTGGATACATCACCATTATCCAAAGAACGTGTTGGTTGTCCCAAGAGCTCTCATTACCTGGAAAGGATGGTCAGGTTCCCAGGGACAGGAGGAATCTCCTAGGAGCTTTGGACACGGATGCTTGTTGCTGGTGTAGAGACTCCATTTGAGGAATTCTTCGTGCCTTAACCACCTAGGAACTGAACAGTGACACAGCTCAACTCCAAGAGAGCCCAGATGGCCTCTTATTCTTGCCTTGTCCCTGTAGCACCCCATGGAACATTCCAAATCAGGAAAACAAGGGCTTGCAGAAGTGCAAGGTCACTGAACACACGATTGTGTAACTTGGTGGTTTTTTGACAGAGCGCTGGGGGGCACTCAGCAGCAGCTGCCTACTTTATGATGAGAAAGGACTCACATGAGGCCGGAACTAGGCATATGCCATGTCCTGGCTGTCTCAGGGGAGCAATTCCTGGGTGTCCTCAGTTGGGGTGGGATAGTTTTTGTACATTTTTTCCAATTATCTAAACGTAATTTTTACAAAAACAAAACCAAACTGATTTTTTCCCTGTGATGTGCTTCATTCCCTGAGCAGCTGAGTCGTCACTGGCTCACGGTGCTGTGGCTGTTTCAGCGTACGTGTCCCTCTCACTGCCCCGGGTGTGTGGGTGTTTGTAGCTGTCGTTACTGTCGACAGTGTGACCTCGACAGTGTGACCAGGAACACTGTGCGTGGCTGCTGTATGTGAGCGAGGGCTTCTTGACCCCAGATTGGGGGGGCTGCCACTGTTCATTGTGCCGGCTCAGTTGGACCCAGTCCTGCTCCCACCGGTGGCATATGACAGCCTCACCGTTCCACTCCCTGCCAGCACTTGCCACTGTGCTTTCCTGCTGAACCAAGAGGTCCTAGCTCCTGGTTCACACAAGCAAGTGCTAACATTGGGCAGTGACCTGGATGCAGCCGGCTGACTTGTGCTGTGAGGGGAAGGACTGTAAGGTGTGCCAGATAGTTCTTGCCCAACTGCAGCAAAAGGCTCACTCAGTGACACCATTCTGATGTGCAGTACAAACAGTCCCATTCTTAGAGGATAATCGCTTTCACGAACAGCAGCCAGAGCCACGATCTTTCATCTGTTTGTGATCAGGCCTCAAGGAAACACTTATTTCTTCACACAGGATCCTAGGAAATGGCCTACCATTTAGAATACTTGGGCGCTGCATTTTTTCCTAATTTTCCTTTGGTGACTTTGTTTCTTTTCAGTTATTAGCCCCTTCAAGTTGACGACTATAGCAACACAGACTCCAGTCTCCAATAAGAAACCTGTTTTTGATCTCAAAGCAAGTTTGTCTCGACCCCTCAACTATGAGCCACATAAAGGTATGTGGAAGTTTTAGATGAACAAGGCTGGTTAAAACAAAATAAAACAAAAAAACCTTAGAATTAAAAATTCTGCAGGGTACGAGAAAAGTCTAGAGACTCAGGGGAGGCCTCACTTGCCTAGGAGCCTTTCTCTGCCTCTGCTCCCACATGGACCTATGATTTGAAAGCATATCTATTAAACATGCACTCACTGACTGACTCACTTCTACTTCAGAGGTATAACTTCTAACCAACATGAAGGTACTTCAAAGTCTGCAGAGAATAGAATTAAAAGCTACGTTTATTTTAGTAAAAACTTAAATCCACACATACAAGGATTTTTAAAAAGTTCAAGAGTGTGAATTATGAAAACATTATGCATGGATTTTGTTTGGCACTGGGTTGGGCATTGGTGTTGGGATTAACCACCACTTGGAACACCTGCATACCACACCTGGTGCCAGGTTTTGAGTTCTGGCTCCTCCACTTCCAATCCAGCTTCTGCTGACATGCAACCCAGGAGGTAGCAGATGATGTTTCATGTACTTGGGTCCCTGCCGCCCACTTGCAAGACCCGGATGCAGTTCCAGGCTCCTGGCTTCAGGCCTAGCCCAGTCCTGGCTGATGTAGGTGTTTGAGAAGTGAACCAGCAGATAGATGACCTCTTTCACTTTGGTAGCTTTACCTTTATAATAAATAAAAATTAAAGTAAAAAAAAGGGGCCAGCACTGTGGCGCAGAAGGCATCCCATATGGGCACTGGTTCTAGTCCCAGCTGCTCCACTTCCAATCCAGCTCTCTGCTATGGCCTGGGAAAGCAGTAAAAGATGGCCCAAGTCCTTGGGCCCCTGCACCCGTGTGGGAGTCCGGAGGAAGCTCCTAGCTCCTGGCTCCTGGCTTCAGATCGGCTCAGCTCCGGCCATTGCGACCATCTGGGGAATGAATCAGAGGATGGAAGACCTTTCTCTCTGTCTCTCCTTTTGTCTGTAACTCTACCTTTCAATAAATAAATAAATAAAATCTTTTAAAAAAATAAAGAAAATAAAAACACTTCGTGGGGATGGGCATTTGGCACAGTGATTAGCCAATGTTTGGGATGCCTGCATCACACAGGAGTGCCTGATTCAAGTATGGCTTCTCCACTTCTGATTCACCTTCTTGCTAATGCATATCTTTGGAAGTGGCGGATGATGGTACAGTAATAGGTTCCTTGCTGTCCATGTAAAAGACCTGGGTTGAGTTCCAGCCTTCTTGCTTTGACCTGGTTTGTTGTAGGTATTTGGGAAGTAAGCCAATAGATGCAAGATATCTTTCTTTGAAATAAAAGTATTTTTAGTTACTTTTACTAAAATAAATTTAGTTTTGTTTAAAGATTTATTTATTTATTTGAAAGAATTACAGAAGACAGATCTTCCATCTGCTGGTTCACTCCCTAGAGGGCCACAACAGCTGGCTGGGTTGGGCCAGGAGCTTTTTCTGTGTCTCCCACATGGGTACAGGGGCCCAAGCATTTGGGCCATCTTCTACTACTTTCCCAGGAGCAATAGCAGAGAGCTGGATTAAAGTGGGACAGCTAGGACTCGATCCGGTGCCGATATGGGATGTAGGCACTACAGATGGTAGCTTAACCTGCTGTGCCACAGCACAAGCCCCTAAACTTAGCTTTTAATTCAGTCTACTAAATTTCATCCACAATCAAGAAACTTGTAAGTCCGCCTATGCAGTGTGCAGCCTCTATTTTTTTTTTTTTTTTTAAAGATTTATTTATTTGAAAGAGTTACACAGAGAAGGAGAGGCAGAGAGAGAGAGGTCTTCCATCTGCTGGTTCACTGCCCAGTTGGCCGCAATGGCTGGGGCTGTACTGATCCAAAGGCAGGAAACAGGAGCCTCTTCTGGGTCTCTCATGCTGGTGCTGGGGCCCAAGGACTTGGGCCATCTTCTAATTTCCCAGGCCATAGCAGAGCTGGATTGGAAGTGAATCAGCTGGGACATGAACTGGCGCCCATATGGGATGGTGGCACTGCAGGCAGCAGCTTTACCCATAGTCCACAGCGCTGGCCCTGGAGTATGTTCTCTACAGCTCCTGTAGGAGCCCAGAGTGGGACCTCTGGCCTAACCCTGGCACACATATTGGCCAGGTGTCACTCTTCAGCACACATTAATGTGTCCTGAAATTCATTTAAAATAACAATACCTAATGTAATCTACCTTCCAGTACTTCTGGAATTACTATAAAACACCAAGACTTCATAAAAGAATCACATTTAGGTAGCATTGTTTATCTTATTTACAAATCTTAGAGGCAAGAGGCAGCTAAACTGGTTTTAAAAAGAAGGAACACCACAGATATGGAACACTGAGATATACCATCTGTGGCCACTCCAGCCCCCTCATGCAGGGCCAAACCTCGCCTTTGTCCAACTCTTCGCTCTGATTCTGCCTCCACCTCTCTGCTCCCCTTGCAGAGACCTTTAATGTGACTGCTTGTCACCTCTCCCTCCAGTCCTCTGCCCAAGTCACCCTGACAGCTGCCGGAACTCCAGAGCAGCCTCTCTGCTTCACGCCTGGAGTGCGGCACTGACTTCCCCCGACTACGCTCCAGCCACACCGCTCCGAGCCCCTCAGACGTGGAGTGCATTCCCACCTCCAGGTGTCTGAACTTGCTCTCCCCACGCCTCGTGCAGACCTCACAGCGCTCGTGCTCCCCTTGCATGGTGTGTCCCCCACTGTCTCTACCTCAGGTCTTCCTCCCTTCCTCCTACCACAAGCACTCTTCACGCCTTGCTCTGACAAACCTTCACAGCACTTAGCACCCTCTCACTGTCTCTCCCAGAGAGCAGGGAGCCATGACTGCTGGGTTCATCACTGTGTCACCTGCACCTAGAACAGTCCCTGGCACGTGCACACCAAGCATACAGTACAGGAATGACCCTGACCACTGCTCACTTCCAGTTACTAGAGAACCTGGATTCGAGCTTCATCTGTGCTTCCACTTTTTTATATCCTAAACAGTTCATTTAGTTTTTTGCTTATGCAAGAGAAAATAAATATTACTACTTGTTTCAGGAGTTTTTGAAAGAATTGAATGGAACAGTGGGTGTAAAAGTCCTTTCTGAAAAACAGGAATGGGGCAGGCAGTTAGCAGTTGAGATGCCTGCACTGTACATCGGAGTGTCTGCATTTGATGCCCACCTCTGGCTTCTGACTCCATCTTCCTGCTAATGCAGAACCAAGTTGGGCAGCAGTGAAGGCTCAAGTAATTGGGTTCCTACTATCTACCAGGGAACCTGAATTGCATTCCTGGCCCCCAGATTCAGCCCTAGCTGTGGCCTATTGTGGACCTAAGTGGTTAGGATTTTTTAATTTCTTAAAAGCCAATGTCTATCTATTTGGATATCTATAATATCATCAGGCACAGGGGCCGGTGCCATGGCACAGTGGGTTAATCCTCTGCCTGTGGTGCCAGCATCACATGGAGTGCCGGTTCTAGTCCCTGCTGCTTCTCTTCTGATCCAGCTCTCTGCTGTGGCCTGGGAAAGCAGTGGAGGATGGCCCAGGTGCTGGGGCCCTACATCCGCGTAGGGGACCAGGAAGAAGCTCCTGGCTTCAGAATGGCACAGCTCTGGCCACTGCGGCCATTTGGGGAGTGAACCAGTGAATGGAAGACCTTTCTGTCTCTTCCTCTCACTGTAACTCTACCTCTCAAATAAATAAATTTTTAGAAAAAAAATCATCAGGCACAGATATAACTGTAAAAGCAATCTAAGCATCTATTATGTAGTAGCATATGAGGCTGAACCACAGGAATTTTTAAATTTTTATTTGAAAAGCAGAGTTACAGAGAGAAGGAGAAACAGATCTTCCATCCACTGGTTCGCCCCTCGAATGGCTGCAATGGCCAGGACTGGGCCAGGCTGGAGCTAGGAGCTTCTTCAAGTCTTCCACAGTGCAGGGGCCCAGGGACTTGGGCCATCTTTTCTTGGGTGTATTAGCAGGAAACTAGATCATAAGTAGAAGAGCCAGTACTCAAACCAGTACCCAATGGGATGCTACTGTTGCAGGCAATATCTTAACTCACTGTGCCACAATGCTACTCCAGGAATGTTTTAAGATTTATTTATTTGAAAGGCAGAGTGACAGAGACACACATAGGTAGATCTTCCAGCTGTTGGTTCATTCCTGAAATGGCCACAAAGACCAGGACTGGGCCAGGCTAAAACCAGGAGACAAGAAGTCCACCTGTGTCTTTCCACATGGATGGCAGGGGCCCAAGTACCTGGACCATCATCCACTTCCTTTCTTGGCACATTAGCAAGAATCTGGATCAGAGGCACAGCAGCTGGGACTGATATGGGATGCAGGCAGGGCAAGCAGCAGCTTAACCTGCTGTGCTACATCAGCCCCAAAGCTTTTTTTAAACATCTGGAAATTTAGTCCAAGTTCTTTTCATTTTATAATTTATAACTGTCATTTTTGGGAGTATAGAGTAATAGTATGGTCTTTTACATACAGATTAATCTTGAGAACATTTGTAATTTATTATTTTGGAATATGCAAGGATATTTCAAAAATTCCTAGAAAATTGGCATTAAAAAATAACATGCATTGTCCAGGAACTTTCTGAAGCCCCCTAGTAAAATGTGCTATTAACTACATTCACCACACCACGCAACAGGTCTAAGAGAAATGCTTCACTCCTCCTGAGAGTGTTGTACCCTTTGATCCTCTCCCCTTAACCCCTCTTCCCTTCTGCAACTGCCATTCTACTCTACTTCTATGAATTCTTTTAGATGCCACACATGAGAAGATGTACTGTGTGTCTTTCTGTCCCTGGCTTATTTCACCTAACAGTGTTCTCAAACTGCAACCATTTTGCAAATGACAGGATTTCCTTCCTTTGTAAGGGTGAACAGTATTACATTGTGTAATATAAATCCAAGTATATCCCATTCTATCTGCGTATCTACTGATGGACACTTAGACTGATTCTGTATCTTGACTTTTGTGGATATTGACATGGTGAACACAGACCTGCAGACATCTCTTCCACAAACTGATGTCAGATCTTCTGGTTTTTTTTTTTTTTTTTTAAATTTTTGACAGGCAGAGTGGACAGTGAGAGAGAGAGACAGTGAGAGAAAGGTCTTCCTTTGCCGTTGGTTCACCCTCCAATGGCCGCCGCTGCAGCCGGCGCACCGCGCTGATCCGATGGCAGGAGCCAGGATCCAGGTGCTTTTCCTGGTCTCCCATGGGGTGCAGGGCCCAAGCACCTGGGCCATCCTCCACTGCACTCCCTGGCCATAGCAGAGAGCTGGCCTGGAAGAGGGGCAACCGGGACAGAATCCGGCGCCCCAACCGGGACTAGAACCCGGTGTGCCGGCGCCGCAAGGTGGAGGATTAGCCTATTGAGCCACGGCGCCTGCTCATCTTCTGGGTTTTTGGATGACTAGATCCAGTTCCAGTTCTGATGCCAACAAAATATTCCCACTCATCCACTCACTTGATAAAATACTCCCGCATTTTCACAAGTAAAGATAACAGAATGCACAGATGAAATATTACCTTAAGCGCAATACCTATGTGATCAGGTTTTTTTTTCTGTGATTTTCCAAGGATTAAATATGTCCTCTGTGGAATGTGAAATGAAATGGCAAACTATATTGGGCAGTTGTCCATAAAAACAAAGTGTAAATGTTGATAACAAACAGGTAGCCACAGTTGAAGAGAATAAAGCTGGGAATATAAATAAAAATCAAGGTTTTGTTTCTGTCCTAAATTTAGGAAAGCTGAAACCATGGGGGCAATCTAAAGAAAATAATTCTCTGAATGAACACGGAAACAGAGTTAGCTTCCACAAGAAAAGTTACAAACAACCACGACTCCAGACTAGGTGAGTTCACAAGTATCCACTCGTATAATTCTTTTCATTTTTAAAGACCATATAAACCAGCACCTCTCAGTGATGGTGATTCACAGTGGCAGTGCAGCTGAAGGTTACAAGTGGAATGTTCTAATCCATCTGTGTAACCTAAGACTGGGCATTTTTTTTAAGTAGTTGATTTTGACTCAGTTCTTGGAGTCTGAGATCAGATGTCTCCTGGAGAGAGCCTCAGGCTGTATCATTCCATGGCAGATGCCATCACATGTCGGGAACACTTAGAGTGGGGTCTGAACCTTACTTTAGGGCATGCCATAGTCAAGGTCATTAATCCTGTCCTGCAACTCCTCACCCATTCCCGAAAGACAGTGGTGCCCTCATTCCCTGACATCCCCCCACTGGCTCTTCAAGCTTCCACCCCCTTCTCAGTACAGTTACAGGGGCTCATGCTTCTAGCATTTGTATCTTTGGGGAACAAGCTATAGCACAGTTACCCACAGAATTTGGAAATTACCGCCGCCTGCCTGTAGTGCAGTGGATTCTCATGTGGTAGGTGTGGAGTGAGGCCCAGGCAGCTGCATTGTTTCCAGGGTGCTACTGTTAAGTCACAAGATCCCGACTGAGCCCTGCTCTACATGAGAAATCCTGACACCAGTGTTCAAGTGCCCCGGGGCCCTGGTGTGCCCGTGGTTGTGAAGTCCTCAGCCTAAGGAAACGTGCTTGATGGCACATCAGGGCCCTCCTCAGCGGAGAAACGTGTTGGTCTTTCAAGGCTTCCTTCAGCCTCCAAATCAAATAAAGCCCGAGCTCATTCTGGGCTGCAGCTGGGCCTAGTCGAGTTCACACTCCCTGCCAGGAACCCTCAACAGGGTTTACTGTTGTTTATATCTTGCTGCCGCCAAAGCCTTTACCTGCACTTGAGTGTAAGATAGTTAACATGATCTGGGGCCTTTTCTTTCTTTCTGCCCAATTCCCCAGAGGGGAGATAACAAACACAGGGGCCTAAGTCAGTAGACACTGCCTCTAGTTCTAGCGGTTTCTTGGGACTACTTGATTTTGCACTTACCTTTGACTTCACTTCTAGGAGTGGGGATTTCAAATTTGAAATAAATGTGTAAAGTACAGGGGTTGAATCCAATCACCAAAGTGCCCCTGGTTCTTTTCATGCATGATTTAAATGCAGAATTAATGTCAAAGAGGAAAACATCCCTTGCGAAGCCCTTTGAGACACAATGGCCAAGAGTTAGAACTGCAAGGTAGAGCCAGTGCCCTGGACGAGTCTGGTTTTACACAAACATGCCAAATATCATTTTAAGTTTGGACATTAGGCCGTAATGTCTGAAGTGTCTGTCGAGCTCTGCTGCAGCCTCACGTGTGACCTGTCCCCCTTAGGGAAGAGCAACGGAAGAAACATGAGCAAGAACGAAAAGAGAAGAAAGCGAAGGTTTTGGGAGCTCGAAGGGGCCTCAGTGTGGTTAAAGATTAATCATTTTTGAACATCCTATAAATATTCCTTCATTCTGAATTTGTTTCCTTTTGTAAATAATTTTGTACTGTTTTCCAAGCTTTGGTCAAAACCTCTTTTTCTACTACATCTTAATCTCTGTACTGTCCAGGAGTTCTTCATGTGCTGTACCCTGAAAAGACATCACCACCTTAAAGCTCAGATACTTTGCAATGGTTTTGCATAAACCATTCTTCTACTACAGATTCCTAGACTAGATTTTTAATGTCAAGTTCCCTCCGCTGGTTCTCATTAACACAGCTACAGTCTGCTTTGGGCTTTCACCCATAGGCAGCTAGTTGGAGCACACACTCCAGGAGAGTCTGAACGAAACCAAGAGGCGGCTATGCTGGGAGGGAAAGGCCACCTCTTCATCCTGTAGTCTAAAGAACCTGGTGCTATGAAACCGGGCTGATGGTTCGGTTATAGCATCAATATTTTATCTACATAAGAAGTGTATTTAGCTTATATGCATCTTTGTTCAAACCACTACATATAATTGCCATCTGTCACAGGTTTATTCCAGCCTTGCTTATTTAATCAAGAGTTGATGATTAGTACATTAAGGTTTACTACGCTGTCAGCTTACTTATTTTAGACAAAGAGTTGTTTACCTTATATCTTTGTTCCTTCCTCTAAGTAGAGATTCTGTGTTTTGTACCATTCAAAGATTTTCATAAATAAATTTCTTCTCTCTCTGGTTTTCATTCTTTGTAAACATGTCTCTTATAAGAATTAGCTGAACATAAGATCTGTGTACCCTTTCCTGACCCTCGCATAAGATTGACTCCTTTCTGTTTTTCCTTCTCTAACTCTGCATCTCAAATAAATAATAATAAATGGCTGTATTTTTCTTTTGTATTTGCATAACACCTCTCAAGTTTGGTTATACTTTATTTATATATGTTCAGAGCATGGCACATACCTAAATATTTGAAAAATTCCTGTTTTCCTACCAAGAGGCAGAAATCTGATCAAATATACTTCTATGAATGTAAAATACTACAACTACTTTTAAAGAAACTAGTCAATGTTTTCCACAAGTTTTATCTACATTTATCCTGTGTAGTCGTACCGTACCATTCCTCAGCAGGTACCCAAGAGACATGAAAGCATACATTCCTGTGCAGACTTTACCCTGAATATTTTTGGTACATTTAATGGTGAAAAACTGGTAATAACCCAAATGTCCATCACCAGGTAAATGGATGGATATATTCTGGTATACCCATATAATATTACTTGGAATAAAGGAATAAACTATTCATAGAAATTGGATTTTTCTTGTATTGTGTGATCCTATTTCTATTAAATTCTAGAAAATACGAACTATAGTGATAGAAAACAGATCAGAGATTGCCTCAAGGTAGGTGGGATTATAATCATGACCTTGATTCTGATGGTGGTTTCACAGGCATATGCATGTGAACTCTAGCCTAACTAAACATATTACACATGTACAATTAGTATACTTGGATACCCCTCTGTAAAGCTTTGAAATTATATAGAAAGTCCTACAGCATTCACTTAAAAAGCTACTATAGAATAAGTTCATGAAGGATACAGATTGTAAGATGATTACCAACAATTAAATTTCTATTTCCTAGCACTGAACATGAAATTTCTCAAGTTTCATTCACAACAATATCACAGAGTAAACATACGTGGGAATAAAATTAACAAAACTGCAAGGCTCTTACCCTGAAAATTAGGAAACACTGCTTAAAGAAATTCAAGAGTTATCCATGGATCAGAAGATACAACTGTTAGATTGAAAACACTTCCCAAAATGATCTGTAGATTTAATAGAATCCTTATAAAATTCACACCTGGTTTTTTTGTGCAGTTAACTAGAAAATTCATAAGGAAATATAAATGGCGAAAACAGTCTTGAGAAGTGTACATCTTCTACTTTTGTTCTTTCTCAATTTCAAACTGGCCACAAAGCTATAGTAACAAGACTGCAGTATCGGCATAAGGATAAACATATAGATCAACAGAATAGAGGGTAGAGGGAGTGGGTGTTTAACCTAGTGCTTAAGATGTCCAAGTCCCACACTGCAGTACCTGGATTTGATTTCCAAACTCCAGCTCCTGTCCCCAAGTTCCTGCAGTTGCAGACACTGAGAAGCAGTGCCAATGGCGCAACTGGGTTCCTGCCATCCACAAACGAGACCTAGACTGATTTCCTGGCCCAGCCCCAGTGATTGTTGGCATTTGGGGATTGTTTAAAGCAAGTCCAAGGGTTGGCACTGTGGCATAATGGGTAAAACCCCAGCCTGCAACACCAGCATCCCACATGGCCACCGGTTCATGTCCTGGCTACTCCACTTCTGACCCAGGTACTGGCTAATGGCCCTAGAAGGCAGTGGAAGATGGCACAAGTGTTTGGTTCCCTGCCACCCATGTGGGAGGCCCGGCTGAAGCTCCTGGCTTCCACCTGGCCAGCCCTGGCTGGTACAACCATCTGGGGAGTGAACTAGACAGAAGATCCCTCCATAATCTAATTCTAATTTTCAAATTTTTTTTAAAAAAAGGGGGGCTAGAAATCCATCTATGGCCAACTGCTTTTAATAAAGGTAACAAGATTATTCAATGGGGAAAGAACACTAATTTCAACAAAAGTACTGGGAAAATTATATACACCAAAAATTTTTTTTACCTGTATCTCACACTGCACACAAAAATTAACTCAAAATTATCCGGCTTAATTTTAAGATCTTAAATTATAAACTTGGGGGCTGGCTTTGTGGTGCTGCAGGTTAAACTGCCATCTGCAACACAGCATCCCATACTGGAGCACTAGTTCACATCCCAGTTGGCTCCACTTAGGAAACAGTTCCTCATTAACACTCCTGGGAAAGCAGTGGATGAAGCTGCAGACGCCTAGCCTCAGCTTGGCCTTGCCCCAGCCGTTGTGGCCATCTGAGAAGTGTAATCAACAGATGGAAGATCTCTTTCTAGCTCTCCATCATTCTGTGTTTCAAATAAATCTTTTAAATAAATTTTTAAAAATGTTTAGAAGAAATCATAATAAATCTTGTGCTAGACAATGATTTTTTGGATATGATAGCAAAAGGACAACTGCCAAAAAAGTAGATAAATCATACTTTACCGAAATATTAAATGTGGAACTGGCATCATGGTACAAGTCACAGTTCAAGTCCCAACTCCTCCACTTCCAATCCAGCTCCGTGCTAATGTGCCTAAGAAAGCAGTGGAATACTTGGTTCCTGCCACCCATTTGGGAGACTAAGATGGAGTTCTTGGTTCCTGGTTTCAGCCTGGCCCAGCCCTGGATGTTGCTACCAGCAGATGGAACATCACACTCAGTCCTTCTCTGTCTCTCCTTGTCACTCAAAAATTTTTAATGCACTTATAAGGTACCCCAAGAAAGTGAAAACAAGCTACAAACTGGAGACAGTATCTGATAAATTGTATCTGAAAAGAGACTTATACCAGAACATATGTGTAAGTTCTAACAATCCCATGAGAAGTCTTTTTAAAAAATTGAATTGCCGGGGCTGGCGCTGTGACTAGGTGGGTTATTCCTCCGCCTGCGGTGCTGGCATCCCATATGGACACCAGTTCAAGTCTCGCTTGCTCCTCTTCTAATCCATTTCTCTGCTATAGCCTGGGGAGGCAGAAGATGGCCCACGTGCTTGGGCCCCTGCACTGGTGTGGGAGACCTGGAAGAAGTTCCTGGCTCCTGATCAACACAGCGCTTGGCCATTGCAGCCACCTAGGGAGTGAACTAGCAGATGGAAGACCTCTCTCTCTCTCTCACTCTTTCAAACAAATTAAAAAAGAAAAAAAAATGAATTGCCTTATGTTATTTATTTCAAAGGCAGAGTTAGAGAGGGAGGGGGAGGGAGAAACAGATCTTCCATCTGCTGGTTCACTCCTCAAATGGCTGCAATGGACAGGGCTGCGCCAGACTGAAGCCAGGAGTTTCTTCTGGTCTCTGACATTGGTTCAGGGGCCCAAGGACTTGGGCCACCTTCCACTGCTTTCCCAGGTGCATTAGCAGGGAGCTAGACGAAGTAGAGCAGCTGGGACCTGAACCAGCACTAATACAGGATACCGGCATTGCAGGCAGCAGCTTAACCCGCTACACTCCAACACTGGCCCTGAGACAATTCAATTTTAAAATGAGCAAAAGACTTGAGTAGATAATTCAATGAAAATGATGTGTGAATGGCCAATACATATATGAAAAGCTTGACATTATTATAAATGTTTTATATATATATATATTTATATATATAAGTATCACAATGTACTATCACTTCATACCCAATAGAATTGCTATAGTCCAAAGATAAGTGTTGGTGAGGATTTGAAGAAACTGGAATCATATACTTCAGGACACCAATGGTTTAAAGGGTCTCACTGCTTCAAATGGAAAACTGATTACCCCTTGACCCAGCAGTTCCACTCCTAGGTTTTTATGACGATACTTTAAAAAGTTTATGGAAAATGGAATTAAAAGCTAAGTCTATTTCAGTGCAAACTTTTTTTAAATCGATGCAGAGAAGGATCTTCACAAGTATATTATACAAAATTGTGGAGGCATGAAACTCGAACTCCTGGGGCCAGCGCTGTGGCACAGTGGGTTAATGCCCTGGCCTGAAGTGCCAGCATCCCATATAGGTGACAGTTTGAGACCCGGCTGCTCCACTTCCGATCCAGCTCTCTGCTATGACCTGGGAAAGCAGTGGAAGATGGCCCAAGTGCTTGGGCCGCTGCACCCGCGTGGGAGACCCAGAAGTTCCTGGCTCCTGGCTTCGGATCAGCTCAGCTACAGCTGTTGTGGCCACTTGGGGAGTGAACCAGAGAATGGAAGATCGATCTCTCTCTCTGTTGCTACCTTTTTCTGTAACTCTATCTTTCAAATAAATAAAAAATAATAAATCTTTAAAAAAAAAAAAAAAGAAAGAAAAGAAACTGGAACTCCTGACTCCAGATTCCTGATCATACAGACCCTGGCAGACAGCAGGGAATGGCTCAGGTGGATGGGTCCCTGCCACCCATGTGGGAGACCTGGACTGAGCTACTGGCTTCAGTATGGCCCAGCTCCAGCTGCTGCAGGCATTTACAAAATGAAGCACAGATGGGAGATCTGTCTCAGCCTTTCAAATAAATAACTTCTAAGTAAAAATAAAGCCTTTAATTCCATTTATCCACAAAATTTTACAAGTTCTCTTAAACAGCTAAAAGAAATGAAAACATTTCCACAAAGAACTTGTCTGTAACTATTTACACCGGCATTATTCATAAGAGCTAAAAAATGGGGAAAATTCCAGATGTCCATCAATGGATACAAGGATAAACAATGGGGGGCCCGGCTCTGTGGCTCACTTGGCTAATCCTCTGCCTGCGGCACCGGCACCCGGGTTCTAGTCCCGGTTGGGGCGCTGGATACTAGTCCCGGTTGCTCCTCTTCTAGTCCAGCTCTCTGCTGTGGCCCGGGAGTGCAGTGGAGGATGGCCCAAGTGCTTGGGCCCTGCATCCGCATGGGAAACCAGGAGGAAGCACCTGGCTCCCGGCTTTGGATCAGCGCAGCACTGGCTGTTGTGGCCATTTGGGGGGTGAACCAACAAAAGGAAGACCTTTCTTTCTCTCTCACTGTCTGTAACTCTACCTGTCAAATAAATAAATAAATAAATCTTAAAAAAAAAAAAAAAAAGGATAAACAATGGAATATTACTCTGCAATAAAAAGGAAAGAAGAGGGAGTACACGTGTGGTCTAGCAGCTGAGATGCCCACATCTCAACACTACAGTACCTGGGTTCAATTTAGTTTAGTTACAGCTCCTGACCAGTTTCTTGTCAATGCAGCTCTTGGGAGGCACCAGTGAAGGTTCAAGCAAGAGACCAGGATTGCATTCCTGGCTCCCAGCTTGAGACTTGGCCATTATGGACATTTGCAGGCATATGGAGAGTGAACAAGCAAATGGAACTGCTTTTTTTCTAGCCTCTCAAATATTTACCAAAGCAAAAAACAAACAAACAAACAAAAACAAACACAAAGAATGAAGCACTGATAAATGGTATAGCATGGATAAACCTCAAGGACATTTTGCTAAGTAAAAAGAAGTCACTATATATATATAAAAAGAAGTGGTATAAAGGCTGTGTTCCATTTATCTGGTCCCTCTTTGCAGCAGAATTTAGTCTTGTCTTGGGAATACATACCAGTCACTGGTTGGATGCCATTCAAAATACTTTATTTTGTCTGTATCACTGTGGATGATACTGCTCTCAGCTGAATAAATAAAACTGCCACACGATATTCTCTATTTAAAAAGTCTTGGGCTAAGCTCTGGAGAATTTTCATAAGCAAATTCTTCTGTGTGGGCTGGATCAGTGAACACTCCAATAAAATCTATTTCCAGGAAGAATGGACCATCCACTTTATCAGCCAGGGTGAATCCTATAGAAGAGATCTAAATTTAAAGGAAAATTAATTAAAATGTCATACACTGACGTATTGATGTTTTTGCTGGAATTTTAAAACCCCTTGAGGTGATTCCTATAAATGTCTTTCCAATGTGAGGCCTCAGCAAGGAAACAGTAGTTCTCATACTCTCTAACAAGTTCTAAGAAGTACAAGCCTGCTTTTCTTTCCACATGCTACTTCCACTCCTCTCCCTTTTGGGTAGTGTCATTTAAGAGTAGTAAGGACAACATGGAGCTCTGAGGAGGTTCCTTAATACCTTCCAGAACTCATTTTAAAGCCAAAATAAAATACATGTTGAAAAGATGATCATTCTAAACTTCCTCCAGGGCGGTGGTTTACTCAGACAACAGGTCCAAGTCAGCACCTGTCTGGGTATCACACAGGAGGGCCTGAGTGGGGACTTCACCCTTCATCTGCGAACCTGGGCTTGTCCTCACGGAATTCCGTTTCACTAACGAAGACACAGTTCTGAGTGAGAAATGCAGGAAAGCGTTACCTTGTCAAGAAGCAGCTGGTGCTGGACATCCCGGACTCTTCCTTGATTTGAGAAGAAAAATTTGGAGAATGGAATCTGAAAGAAGAAAACATTTACTTCATAGCGGAAATATAAGTCTATGAGGCATCCTTATGAAATTACAATGATAAACTTTAACAAGCGTCCAAAAATTCATTGAAAATGTGTATTATGAAAAAGCAGTGCATCTATTTCAAAATTTATTCAAAAGGCAGAGATTGAGAGACACATAGACAAAGGGATCACCCATAAACTAGTTCATTCTCCAAATGTCTGCAAAAGCCAGAGTTAGACCAGGCCCAACCCAGGAGCACAGAACTCAACTGATGTATTTCATGTAGGTTTCAGGGACCAAGTGTCTCACACCGGTGACAGTAGCAATTATTACCTACTGCACATTAGCAGAAAGCTGGAATGGAGAGCAGATCCAGGAGTTAAAAGCAGACATTTGCATATGGGATGTAGGCACACATTCCAAAGTGGTGTCTTAATGGCTCCTAACATATCTTTTAATTCTTTTTTCACAGACCTTTTTAAGTACCTTCATAAAGTTAGGACAAGTGGCTAGCCATCTGGATCAAAGACATAAATTTTAAATGAAATAAATATTAAAACACAGATAGAAAGATTTCTAAGCCAGCATTCCTAAAAGAAAAGTGATAGTATGAATTACAACTCTGAGGACAAAGAATATACTGGGTAGCAGGTTAAGCTGCCATCTGTGATGCCAGCATCCCATATGGGTGCAGGTTCAAGTCCTGGCTGCTCCACTTTTTTTTTTTTTTGGTCCAAAAAGCTATGAATTGTCACTTTTTTCAAAAGTTATTCCAGTGACTTTCCAGGTTAAAATTTGGCAACTCTTCCTTTTTTTTTTTTTTTCTCTGACAGGCAGAGTGGACAGTGAGAGAGAGAGAGAGAGACAGAGAGAAAGAACTTCCTTTGCTGTTGGTTCACCCTCCAATGGCCATCGCAGCCAGAGCGCTGATCCGATGGCAGGAGCCAGGTACTTATCCTGGTCTCCCATGGGGTGCAGGGCCCAAGGACTTGGGCCATCCTCCACTGCACTCCCGGGCCACAGCAGAGAGCTGGCCTGGAAAAGGGGCAACCAGGACAGAATCTGGCGCCCTGACTGGGACTAGAACCCAGGGTGCCAGCAAAGTAGGTGGAGGATTAGCCTATTGAGCCGCGGTGCCGGCCCTGGCAACTCTTCCTTAAGAGGCTATCTAGTACGAGTATATTAAAATGTTGCTGTTACAAAAATCCCACCCATTCACAATTAAATATCATATACAGGAATACTCAAATTTTCAATCTTTCACGGCGCATTAACAAAATCATTAGGAAAATTGGACTACCATAACCAAAAATGTTACAGAACACACATGGTTCTGACAGAACAGAGTGGTTTTCTGTAGAAAACAATGCTACTAAACATGGGAGAAGTAACTGAGAATATTCAAGACAGATTAAATGCACAATGGGGACTCCAAATTGCCATTTAGTATGTGTTATATTGTAGGATATAAAAACCACCCCCACCTATAGAGTGTTAAGCTGACACCCAAGACAGTCAAAGCCTCCGATAATTCAATATGCCACTAGGTCCTGTTTGTACCAAAAAATAAACAACCAGCAAATGATTTCATCTCTTAAAAAAAATCATTTACAAGTGAAAATGGGATGAGGTGGGCTTCCCCCCTTTAAAAAATTTCTAGAGCTACTAAAAAACTTTCATTTACAAACAGTTGATAAAAATATTTTTCTAGATTGTACAAGAAGGGAGACAGGTACAACTGGTAACAAATGGTGTATGATATTAATCAGATTTGGCTTCTTTCTCTTCTGCTTCATCAGAGGCTAGACTCTCCTCATTTTTCATTTCTCTGTTTTCTGCAGGCCGATCTTCTTTAGCTTCTTGGTCAGCCACCTCGACCTGATTTCCCTTTGCTTGCACTTCTTTGTCTGATGACATCCTTTCCAGTGGCCTTCCTGGGCTTCGCTTCCACTTTCACGGGCGCTGGCTTTGCCAACAACCACGTGGTTCTTCTCTTGGGCTCCTCCATCACTGCCCCTTCGGCAGAGCTGACCTTCCTCTTGGACATCCTGGTGGTGGGGAAGGCACATGCCAGGTGCCTGCAAGTCTTTGCCAAGCTGAGCTGCCTAGCCACTGCCTCTCCTCCCGACACCTGATCTGCTGGGACCCATGGCAGGAGCAGTAGGAGAACTGGATGGAACCGGACTGGGAGCCTGCCTGGCTATTCCATTTCTGATCCAGGTACCTACTAATGTGCCTGAGACGGTAGCAGAGATGGCCCAAGTACTTGGGACCCTGCCATCCAAGGGTGAGACCCAGATGAACTTCCTGGCTTTGGCCTACCCAATCCTGGCCAGTGTGGCCTTTTGGGAAGTGAACCAGCAGAAGGAATATCTCTCCTTCTCTCATTCTTTGTAACTCTTCCCTTCAAATAAATAAATCTTTGTAAAGAATATAATAGGGGCCAGAGCTGTGGTGTAGCAGGTTAAGCCACTGCCTTCAATGTAGGGAACCGGTTGAGTCCTGGCTGCTCCACTTCCAATCCAGCTCCCCGAGAACATGCCTGGGAAAAGCAACAGAAGATGGCCCAAGTGTCTGGGCCTTTGCACCTATGTAGGAGACTAAGATTAAGCTCCTGGCTTTAGCTTGGCCCAGCCCTGGCTGTTGCGGCCATGTGGGGAGCATACTGTTGGATGGAAAACATCTCTCCCTCCCTCCCTCCATTTCTCTCTACCCCCTCCTCTCCCTCTCCCCCCCGACCCCAGTAGAGATTCCCTAGGGCCGGCACTGTGGCGTAGTAGGCTAAGCCTCTGCCACTGACATAAGCATCCCATATGCACGCTGGTTCAAGTCCCAGCTGCTCCATTTTTGATCCAGCTCTCTGCTATGGCCTGGGAAAGCAATGGAAGATGACCCAAGTTCTTGGGACCATGCACTATGTGGGAGACCTGGAAGAAACTCCTGGCTCCCTGCTTTTGCCTAGCCCAGCCCTGGCCGTGGCAGCCATTTGAGGAGTGAACCAGTGGATGGAAGACCTCTCTGTCTCTCCTTCTCTTTCTGTAACTCTGCCTTTCAAAATAAATAAATTAAATTTTTAAAAAACAAACAATAAAAACAGTAAGGGCTAAAGCTCACAAACGCCAACACGTTAAAAAAGACTTCTACACACCCTACTCCTATTTTCCAAGACAGATCAGTAAGACAAAGTAAACTACAATATAACCACAATCTCAAAAGACCTTGTTTTCATAAACAGTAAAGCTCTGTGCCATTACCTTGATATTCTGCCAGTAGGGCCCCCCACGAGTGAACATGAAGTAACTGTACATCTGATTCTTCCTCTGGATTAAATCCGTATCCTCTCTGATATTCACCATCCAAGGCCGGCCATCCCCACGGACTCGGAGATACAGTGTGTTGAACTGGGACCAATCATAGGTTTTCTTCCTCTCAAAGAAGCCCTAAGAAACAGAAAGAAAAGTTAAATTTTCTCCCATTTCCCACTATCAGCAAATTATGAATCATCACTCAGTTGGCAGCATCAAAAATTATTTGGCAGGGGCCTGCACGGTGACGTAGCAGGTAAAGCCACTGCCTGCAGTGCCAGCATCCTATATGGGCACCAGTTCAAGTCCTGGCCACTCCACTTCCCATCCAGCTCTCTGCTATGGCCTGGGAAAGCAGTGGAAGATGGCCCAAGTCCTTGGGCCCCTGCACCCACAAGGAAGACCAGGAAGAGGCTCCTGGCTTTGGATCAGCACAGCTCCAAACATTGCAGCCAACTGGGGAGTGAACCATAGGATGGAAGACCTCTCTGCCTTTCCTAGTCTCTCTGTATAACTCTTTCAAGTAAATAAATAAATCTTAAAAAAAAAAAAAAAAAGAAATTGCCACCTTCCAGTCTCTTCTGACTTTTTGCAACCATAAGGAGGCAGGTAAAATGACTATTATTTTGGCAAAGAATACTGACAGAATCAAACGTTTCTAAGGTAATGTTCACCATAAAACATTTACAGGTGGCAGATGCTGATTTGTTGCTTCACCCTTCTTTTAAGATTTATTTATTTATTTATTTATTTGAAAGTCAGAGTTACACAGAGAGAAGGAGAGGCAGAGAGAGAGATCAAGATCTTCCATCCGTTGGTTTACACCTCAATTGGCCACAAGGGCCGGAGCTGCACCTATCCAAAGCTAGGAGCCAGGAACTTCTACCACTTTCTCAGGCCACAGCAGAGAGCGGGATCGGAAGTGGAACAGCCAGATCTCAAACCAGCGCCCATATGGGATGCCAGCAATGCAGGTGGCGGCTTTACCCACTAAGCCACAGCACCGGCCCCTGCTTCACCCTTCTGAGGAACAGCTTCTGAATAGCCTATTTCATAGCACTTGCCTTGCTGGAAGTCAGAAAACTATGAAAAATAGAGCTTGTTTGAAAAGCAGTATTTAATAACAGTTAGCATTCTCTGAATGCCTACATGAAGCATTTTGCATGATTTCATTTAATCCTCAAAACAGCCTTGTCTATTAGGTATTGTCATGTTACCCCATTTTACAGAAACTGAGCACTCAGCCAATAAGCAGTATAGTCAGTGCTCTTAAACTCCAAAATAAGTGTGCTTAACAATTCTCTATAATGTGTCTCTCTTCAAAAGTGCTTCTTAGTGTTAATTTCTAAAGGCATTTATTTATAGCAGTTTCAAAGGTAATCTGATTTTTGGGGCTGGCACTGTGGCACAGTGGGTTAAGCTGCTGCCTGAAATTCCCACATCCCATAGGGGTGCTCGTTCAAGTCCAGATGCTCTGCTTCCAATCCATCTCCCTGCTAATGCTCCTTGGAAAGCAGCAGAAAATGGCCCAAGTCCTTGGGTCTCTGTACACACATGGGTCTTGAGACCCACAAGAAGCTCCTGGATCTGGCTTCGGCCTGGCTCAGCCCCAGTCTTGCAGCCATTTGGGGAATGTACCAGTGGATGGAAGATCTCTACCTCTCCTTCTGTAACCCCACTTTTCAAATAAATAAATCTTAAAAAAAAAAAAGAAAAAAGGCAATCTGATTTAAAGAGTACTAATGCTCAGATATTTACTAGCTATAAAACTCTGGACAAACTAATAAATCTCAAGTCTCAATTTCCTTATCGATAAAACTGAAAGTCTTTTTTTAAAAATAAATTTATTGGCTGGCGCTGCAGCTCAATAGGCTAATCCTCCGCCTGCGGCACCGGCACACCGGGTTCTAGCCCTGGTCAGGGCGCTGGATTCTGTCCTGGTTGCCCCTTTTCCAGGCCAGCTCTCTGCTGTGGCCCGGGAGTGCAGTGGAGGATGGCCCAAGTGCTTGAGCCCTGCACCCACATGGGAGACCAGGAGAGCTCCTGGCTCCTGCCTTTGGATCAGCGCGGTGCGCTGGCTGCAGTGCGCTGGCTGTGGCGGCCATTGGAGGGTGAACCAACAGCAAAGGAAGACCTTTCTCTCTGTCTCTCTCTCTCACTGTCCACTCTGCCTATCAAAAAAATAAATAAATTTATTTACTTATTTGAAAGGTAGAATTACAGAGAGAGGAAGGGAGAAAGAGAGATTTTCTATCTGCTGGTTCACTCCCCAAATTGCACCAATAGTCAAGCCTGGGCCAGGCCAAAGCCTGGAGTCTGGAACTCTATCTGGGCCTCCCATAAGAAAGCCTGGATCCAAGGACTTAGGCCCATCTTCCATTGCCTTCCCAGAAGCATTAGAAGGAAGCTAGACTGGAAATGGAGCAGCCAAGACAGAAACTGTGGTGTCAGACTGCAGCTTAATGTACCATGCACATCATGGGTCCCTGGGACAGCCCTATTTCACAAGACCATCATGAAGAATAAATGGAATAATTACTCCGCTGTAGGTACCTGGCCACAGAATTATTTCCTACTTTGGATACACTTATGTCTGACAGAGTACTTACTTTTCTGTTTTGTTATGTTATGGAGAATGGTAGCCTAATGCTGTACCTAACATTCACCTTTTTCCTTACAGCACAATAACTAAACAAGGTCTGTGGCCTGGGTCAGGCATAAGGCCTGTCCAGGACAGCCATGAAACAGATCAATAAAATCCACAAAAAGCCAGAAGCTGGTGGGGATTAAAAGAAGCTGACCTAAATAACTTTGGGAAATAGTATTTTTCACTGGAAACCAGAAGTCTAAAGACAAAAGAAACTGTATCTAAACACTTAATCTCCTTGGTGGTAAGTTTTTCCTTACAAAGGTTACAGATTAAAAGTTCTGAATCCAGGGGCCAGCACTATAGTAGGCTAAGGCTCTGCCTGCAGCACAGGCATCCCATGTGAGTGCCAATTTGAGTCCTGGCTATTCCTCTTCTGATCCAGCTCTCTGCTACAGCCTGGGAAAGCAGTAGAAGGTGGTCCAAGTGCTTGGGCCCCTGCACTTGTGTGGGAGACCCGGAAGAAGCTCCTAGTTTCAGACAGGACCAGTTCTGGCCATTGCTCCCCGTTGGGTAGTGAACCAGCATGGAAGACCTCTGTTTCTGTATCTCCCTCTGTGTCGCTCCCCCTCTTCGCGGAGGAACGACACTAGACCCTGCGCTGTTCTTTTGTCTGCTCGGCCCTTCCCGGGTTTGCTGCTGGTCCTTCCCGGGTTGGCTGCCGGTCCTTTCACCTCCGTGGAAGGGCGGCTCCCCCTGCCACTTAACACCGCCAGCCGGCTCTCTCGGGGGCTGCTCAGATGTTCCTCAGGTGTTCCTCGTGCATGTTGTCTCTCTCCTCCTTTATAGTCCTCTTCCACCAATCCCAACTCTGCTACCCACACGCCGAGCACGCTGCTCTCCTCCAATCAGGAGCAGCTCCTGCAGCTTGTCAAGTTGGTGAGAGGCAGCTGGGTAGAAGCTGTTTACTCCTCTCCCAGCGCCATATTGTGGGAGAGCAGATGCATAGAATAAGTCTTAATTCCAGTAACTTAGTCTAGTCCGAGTTGCTCCCCACACCTCTGTCTGGAACTCTACCTGCCAAATAAATCTTAAAACTAAAAATTTCTGAATCTGCTTTACAAGTATACTAAAGTTGGTTTAATAAAAAAAAAAATGGAAGGCATGAAACAGGCTTCTCAGTGTTAGGGAGTGGAGTTTCAGGTAAGAAAGAAGGTAAAGATAGAATGAACCAGATTGGAGCCAGAGACAACAGTGTGAACTCAGTTTATGATACTGACATGGATCAATAAAGAGGAATAATTACAGGTACTTGAGTATACACACACGTATTTCCTAGCTGTGAGCACTGACAGGCTCTAGATGTAGCGACCAACTGGAAGCAATGAGCGCATCCAGATCTTGGTGCTCATTATCCAAAAAATGGATTCAGGATTCTCTCAATAATCAGCTAACTGCAGGGCTGGGACAGGGAAAACACAAGATGAGCTTGGAGCATCCTCAAATGCAAAAAAAAAAAAAAGAAAAAAAGAAAAAAGCTTAAAAAACAAAGATAGCATTTTCAAAGGGGGGGTCAATCTGAAAGAACACTCAATGGCCAAAACTGGAATAATCTGAGCAACAAAATACCAACACAATATTGGATTATGGCCCAAAGTATGAATCAATACTAAATGACTGAACAAATAAAAGATGGAAGAAACAAATCTTCCTATTGAAGAAATCTAAATTTCTTTCCTTGCAGAAGGTAGAACTTAATTCCTCTCTACCCTCCGTCATGAATGTGGATGAGGGGCCAGCGCTGTGGCACAGCAGGTAAAGCTGTATGGACGCCGGTTTGAGTCCCAGCTGCTCCACTTCTGATCCAGCTCTCTGCTATGGCCAATTGGGAAGTGAATCAGTGCACAGAGGATCTCTTTCTCTCTCTCTGCCTCTCCTTCTCTCTCTGTATAACTCTTTCAGGGAAATAAATAATTTTTTTTTTTTTTGACAGGCAGAGTGGACAGTGAGAGAGAGAGAGAGAGAGAAAGGTCTTCCTTTACCGTTGGTTCACCTCTAATGGCCACTGCGGCCGGCACACTGCATTGATCCAAAGCCAGGAGCCAGGAGCTCTCCTGGTCTCCCATGCGGGTGCAGGGCTCAAGCACCTGGGCCATCCTCCACTGCACTCCTGAGCCACAGCAGAGAGCTGGCCTGGAAGAGGGGCAACCAGGACAGAATCCGGTGCCCCTACCAGGACTAGAACCCGGTGTGCCGGCGCTGCAGGCGGAGGATTAGCCTATTGAGCCATGGCGCCGGCCCATAAATAAATATTTTTTAAAAAAATGAATGTGGATGAGACTTAAGAGACTCAGAAAAGAAAAAGAAAAAAAAGGTAACTTTAAATGGAGTAAGCGGGCCAACGTCATCTTGACCAGGTGATTACAGTTAACGTCATCAATCATGATGATAGCATGTACCTGTGACACGATGTGATGAGAAGGGTACACAACTGTGTGATACTCTCCCTAAAAGCCAGAACCTAAGTTTTCATCATGAAAAATAAGAAAGACTAAGAAACTATCACAGACCTGACAAAACGAAGCACACATGACAACTATATTTCATGTACTATCCTGAATGGGCTCTGGGAATAGAAAATGGACATTAAAAAACCTATTGAAATCCAACTAAAGTTTGTGATTCAGTTTAGTAACATACAAATGTCTTTGTGTTGCTGTTGTTAGATTTCTATTCACTCAACAGAGCTACAGGAAACAGAGAAGAGGAGGAACAGAGGGGAAGGGGAAAAGGGGGAAGAGAAGAGGGGGAGAGAGACACCCTGAGAGCAAGCCAGCTATCTCCCATTCACTGGTTCAGTCCCCAGACTGCTGCAATGGCCAAGGCTGAGCCAGGATGAAGCCAAGAACTTCATCTGGGTCTCACATGTGGGTGGCAGGGGCTCAACCACATGGACCATCTTCCACTGTTTTTCCCAGGCCATTAGCAGAGATCTGGATCAGAAGTGGAGCAGCCAAGACATAAACTGGTGCCCATTTGGGATGCTGCCATTACAAATGGTGGCTTTACTGGTGACATAACACCGGCCCCATGTTTTTTCTTGAAGATTTATTTATTTGAAACAAAGAGCGACAGATAGAGAAAGAAAGACAAAGAGTTCTTCCATCCAGTGGTTCATTCATTAAATGGCTACAATAGACTGGGTTGCGCTAGGCCAAAGCCAAGAGTCAGGAACTCCATCTGAAACTCCCAAATAGGCAGCATGAGCACAAGCACTTGGACCATCATTTGCTACCTTCCAGGCACATTAGCAGGTAGCTGAATTGGAAGCAGAGCAGCCAGAACTCAAACAGGCATTTGGATATGGGATGCCAACACTAAAAGCACAGGCTTAACCTGCTGCTCCACAACACCAGCCCCTCAGTGTCAGTTTCTTAACATGATGAATGTAGAGAAATTTAAGATGGTGGGGCTGATATTGTGGTGCTGTAGGTTAAGTCCTGACCTGCGACTGCCAGCATTCCACAGAAGTAGCATCTTGAGTCTCAGTTGCTCTGCTTCTGATCAGCTTCTTGCTAATGCACCTAGGAAGGCACCAGAAAATGGCCTGAGTGCTTGGGCCCATGCCATCCATCTGGGGGGACCCAGATGGAATTCTGGGTTGCTGGTTTCAGCCTGCCAGGCTGGTGCAGCCATTAATGGCATGAACCAGAGGATGGAAGATCTGTCTCTGTCTCTCCCTCTGTTTAATTCTAAAAAAAAAAGATATTAACAGGAAAAGCTTGCATGGTGGTGGGGTGCATGAAAAATCTACATGAACTCTAAACAATTTCTTTCCCTGCAGAAGACCAAACTTAATCCCTCTCACCTCTCCATCACGAATGTGGACTAGACTTAGAGACTCAGAAAAGAAAAAAAAAGGTAACTAGGCCGGCACCGTGGCTCAATAGGCTAATCCTCCGCCTTGCGGCGCCAGCACACCGGGTTCTAGTACCAGTCGGGGCGCCGGATTCTGTCCTGGTTGCCCCTCTTCCAGGCCAGCTCTCTGCTATGGCCCGGGAGTGCAGTGGAGGATGGCCCAAGTCCTTGGGCCCTGCACCCACATGGGAGACCAGGAGAAGCACCTGGCTCCTGCCTTCGGATCAGCGCGATGCGCCGGTCGCAGCGCGCCGGCTATGGCAGCCATTGGAGGGTGAACCAACGGCAAAAGGAAGACCTTTCTCTCTCTCTCTCTCACTGTCCACTCTGCCTGTCAAAAAAAAAAAAAAAAAGGTAATTTTAAATGGAGTAACCTGGCCAACTTTACACCTGCCATTTTTCTGTAAAGCTGCAACTATTCTAAAATCAAAAGCTAACTTTAAAAAAAATTCCACAGGCTGACTGTATATTCCCCTAAGGAACCCTTAGCCATTGCAGGGGTTAGGCTCTATTAACATTAGAGAAGATGCCAATCTCTCCAGATACCTTTCAAATGTCATCATGCCCTCTCAGCATTCCATACATGTAACAATGTTCTTCCTAGCCCAAAGCCACTCCAGAAATAAGTCACTCCTCCTCATGTGCTTCTAACTTGACACTTGTGCTGAGTAGTCAGTAATCCCACACATAGGCAATACAGTAGGTGTTGCCATTTACAGAACAAACGCCACTCATGCTACTGTGTACTACCATAAAGTTCAACTCAGTTCACTAGACTTGTTCCTGGGCCCCACTTACCCTTGGAATCCTAGATATCATTGCACAGTACCCACTCCGGCCACTCTCCCCATCCTGAGGTGCCTCGGAGCTCAGAGTTCCGTAGAGCAGTGCACTTTGGTTATTCTTGCCCATTTTCAAGAACACTTCACTTCTGCCTCCTATCGTCTTATCAGAAGTCACTACCCACTTATCCAAATCTTCTTTCCCACGAAACTGCCAGACAACCTTGGCTTGTTCCATCATGACTTCATGCAGCGGGCGGCCTTCTGGCCCGATCCAGTGATTCACAATTTCATCCTTCAAACGCTTAAAATGGTCCTTTACTTCATCTTCAATCGCTCTGTCAAAGCTAACCTCAGGCTTCTCCTCAGGAGAAGGTAGATCCACAGCAACTTCCTCCTGATGACGTCCTTGCAAGCCCCCTTCAGACTTCCTCAGCCAAGAGCCTTTCTTGGCAGCAGGCCCCGACTTCTGAAGACTACTCGAACAATAGTCTGCAACCCGAAAGCTCAAAGATGGACAGAAGGCAGCACTTGCCTTTGGGCATTTTCTGAGAATGTAGGTGCCATTCAGCAATTTTTGAACCAATGCCATGGTAAGATAAAGTCAAAATGTAAAATTCTCCCTGGCTAGCCAGGAGAGGAAGCTACAGCAAACAGCCCAATTCCACCTATGATAGAAGAGACATTGAAGAGTTACCAGTGCAGAAATGAACGTATCACAATTTCAAGTTCAGCAGAGACCATGTATTGTAAAGCTCCCAAACTTACTTTCTCATTCAATAAACATTTATTTAGTGCCCAGTAAAAGAGCCCTGTAGTATGTATTGGAAAAACAATCAAAATGAAAACACAGACTCTAGGAGCTGACACTGTGGTGTAGTAGGTTAAGCCTCCACATGTAACTCTAACTTTCAAATAAGTAAATCTTAAAAAAAAAAAAAAAAACTTTTTGTTGTTGTTGTTGATCCTGAATTGACACAACTTCTTGAGGAGGAGATTGGTAATACCATACATGCGGCACTGACATCCCATATGGGCACAGGTTTGTGTCCTGGCTGCTCCTCTTCCAATCTAGCTCTTTGCAAATGGCCTGGAAGGCGGTGGAAGATGGTCCAAGTCCTTGGACCCCTGCACCCATGTGGGAGACCCAGAGAAAGCTCCTGGCTCCTGGCTTCAGATGAGCCCAGCCCCAGCCATTGCAGCCATTTGGGGGAGTGAACCAGCAGATGGAAGACCTTTTTAACTCTGGCTCTCAAATAAAAAAAAAAAAAGAAAAAGAAAGAAAATGAAAAACACAGACCCCCATCTCCATGGAGCTAACAACCCAAAGGTAAATGAAACATGTGCCAAAAGCTACCTCAAGAGGTTGTGTCAACAACAACAACAAAAATTTTTTTTAAGATTTATTTATTTGTTTGAAAGTCACAGTTACAGAGGGAGGGAGGGAGGAAGGGGAGGGAAGGAAGGAGGGAGAGACAGAGAAAGCGCTTCCATGTGCTATTTTACCTGGCAGATAACCACAACAGCCAGGACTGAGCCAAGCTGAAGCCAGGATCCAGGAACTTCCTACAGGTCTCCCATGTGGGTGCAGGACCTCGGCACCTGGGCCATCTTCTGCAGCTTTTCTCAGGCTACTAGCAGGGAGCTGGATCAAAACTGGAACAGCTGGTACAAGAACCCGCGCCCATACAGGATGCCAGCATTGCAGGCAATGGCTTTACCTGCTATGCCACAATGTTGGCCCCAACTCTAAAACAAATTTTAACATTGGATTTTTATTTTTAAAGATTTATTTATTTACTTGAAAGTCAGAGCTACACAGAAAGAGAAGCAGAGGCAGAGAGAGAGAGAAAGAGGTCTTCCATCCGCTGATTCATTCCCCAAATGGCTGCAATGGCCGGAGCTGGCCAATCCAAAGCCAAGAGCCAGGAGCTTCTTCCAGGTCTCCCACATGGGGGCAGGGGCCCAGGGACTTGGGCCATCTTGTATTGCTTTCCCAGGCCATAGCAGAGAGCTGGATCGAAAATGGAGTAGCCGGGAGCCGGCGCCGTGGCTCAATAGGCTAATCCTCCACCTTGCGGCGCCGGCACACCGGGTTCTAGTCCCGGTTGGGGCACCGGATTCTGTCCCGGTTGACCCTCTTCCAGGCCAGCTCTCTGCTATGGCCAGGGAGTGCAGTGGAGGATGGCCCAGGTGCTTGGGCCCTGCACCCCATGGGAGACCAGGAAAAAGCACCTGGATCCTGGCTCCTGCCAGGATCAGCGCGGTGCGCCGGCTGCAGCGGCGGCCATTGGAGGGTGAACCAACGGCAAAGGAAGACCTTTCTCTCTCTGTCTCTCTCTCTCACTGTCCATCTGCCTGTCAAAAAAAAAAAAAAAAAAAAAAAAAAAAAATGGAGTAGCCGGGACTCAAACTGGCACCCATATGGGATGCTAGCACTGCACTGTGGCTTTACCTGCTACGCCATAGCACCGGCCCCCTCCCCTAGCTATCTTAAGAGTTTCTTTTGGCAAAGTGGGTTAAGTCACTGCCTGTGATGCCTGCATCCCATATGGACGCCAGCTGGTGTCCTTGCTGCTCTACTTCTGATCCAGCTCTCTGCTAATCTGTCTTGGAAAGCAGCGGAGGATGGCCCAAGTACTTGCACCCCTGTCACCCATGGGGGAGATTCAAATGAAGTTCCTAGCTGTTGGCTTCAGCCTGGCCCAGCCCTGGCCATTGTGGCCATCTGGGGAGTGAACCAATAGACCAAAAATCTCTTTGTGTCTCTCCCTCTTTCTGAAACTGTTTTTTGTTGTTTTTGTTTGTTTGTTTGTTTGTTTGCCAGAGTTAGACAGTGAGAGACAGAGAGACAGAGAGAAAGGTCTTCCTTCCGTTGGTTCACCCCCTAAATGGCCGCTACGGCCGGCGCTGTGCCAATCTGAAGTCAGGAGCCAGATGCTTCCTCCTGGTCTCCCATGTGGGTGCAGGGCCCAAGCACCTGGGTCATCCTCCCCACCCTCCAAATTACCAACCGCAATTTTATTGGAAACAATCCTCCTTAAAAATAAAAAAATTTTTAAAGGTTCTTTTAGGGGTCGGCGCTGTGGCACAGCAGGTTAATGCCCTGGCCTGAAGCGCCGACATCCCATATGGGCACCGGTTCGAGTCCTGGCTGCCCCACTTCTGATCCAGCTCTCTGCTATGGCCTGGGAAGGCAGTGGAAGATGGCCAAAGTGCTTGGGCCCCTGCACCTGCGTGGGAGACCTGGAAGAAGCTCCTGATCGGTGCAGCTCCAGCCACTGCAGCTGGGAGTGAACCAGCTGATGGAAGAACTCTCTCCCTCTCTCTCTGCCTCTCCTCTCTCTGTGTAACACTGACTTTCAAATAAATAAATAAACCTTAAAAAAAAAAAAAGGCTCAAACTTTCTATTAAAAAAAAGGTTCTTTTGAAGATCAGATGGAATGATAGCTCTAAGAGGGCTCAGATTCAGTAAGTCTGATCAGAGCCCCAAGTGTCTTCATTTGTAATAAACTTCTAATCCAGGCCTTCTCTTAAGAGTAGCAACCAGGGACAGCACTGTGGCATAGTGGGTAAAGCCACCACCTGCAGTGTCAGTATCCCATATAGGCGCCAGTTTGAGTCCTGGCTGCTCCACTTCCAATCCAGCACTGTTATGGCCTAGGAAAGCAGAGGATGGCCCAAATCCATCTGGGAGACCCAGAAGAACCTCCTGGCTTTGGATTGGCCCAGCTCTGGCTGTTGCGGCCGTCTGGGGAGTGAACCAGCAGATGGAAGACCTCTCTACCTCTCTTGCGCCCTACCTCTGCTGTAAGGCCGCACAAAACACACCAAACACCAGAGTATGGGAAAAGGTTCACTGAGGAAAACCCGACAGACTGGAGGGAAGGGGCAAAGAAGGAAAAGAGTGAGGAGAACGTAAGAGAGAGATCCAGAGAGAAATCAAGAAAGAGAAAGAGAGAGTGAGAGAGAGAGAGATCGAGAGATCGAGATCAGGAGATGGAAATAAAGAGAGCCAAGTGTTCAGGAATAGGTCCTTTTAAAACTTTGCTGGGGGAGGAGGGTAGGCAGAGGAAATAGGAGCAGCTAATCCCATTAGGATCGGGGTGGAGCTGACACAGGTGGTTGGGCCATGTGGCCACTGGGCTTCCAGCAATGGCGACGGGGGCTGGAGCCTAGGATGGTGTCTGGGGTGTAGATCGCACCATAGATAAGACCACCATTTTGCTCTCTGTAACTCTGCCTATCAAATAAATAAATCTTAAAAAAAAAAAGTAGCAAACGTTCACTGTCATTTGAGCTCCTCCAAAACAAAATAAAAAGCAGAGTGACATCATGACATTTCAATGCCACTCTTAGGAACATGTGTTTAGCCTAGCAAAGCAGTTAAGATGCCCACATCCCATATCATAGTGCATGGAATTGATTCCTGGCTCCAGCTCTGGACTCCAATTCCCACGGATACAGACCATGGAGAGAGCAATGATGACTCAAGTAACCGAGTTGCTGGCACCAATGTGTGAGACCTAGATTGAGTTCCCAGTTCATGGCTTCCAACCAGGACTAGCCTTGACTGTTGCAGGCATTTGGGAAGTGAACCAGTAGATGGGAGATCTCTGATTTTCTGTCACCCATCTAGGAGACCTGCACTGAGTTCACAGTTCCTCCCACCTACGGCAGGTTTGTTTGTTTTGTTTTGGGTTTGGTTTTAAAATTTTTTGAGGCCAGCGCCACGGCTCACTAGGCTAATCCTCCGCCTTGCGGTGCTGGCATACCGGGTTCTAGTCCCAGTCGGGGCGCCGGATTCTGTCCTGGTTGCCCCTCTTCCAGGCCAGCTCTCTACTGTGGCCCGGGAGTGCAGTGGAGGATGGCCCAAGTGCTTGGGCCCTGCACCCCATGGGAGACCAGGAGAAGTACCTGGCTCCTGCCTTCGGATCAGCGCGGTGTGCCAGCCGCAGCGCACCGGCCGCAGCGGCCATTGGAGGGTGAATCAACGGCAAAAGGAAGACCTTTCTCTCTCTCTCTCTCTCACTGTCCACTCTGCCTGTCAAAAAAAAATTAATTAATTAAAAAAAATTTTTTTCTGAAAGGCAGAGTGACGAAGAGACAGAGAGATCTTTTATCCACTGTTTTACTCCTCAGATGCCTTCACCAGCCAGGGTTGAATCAGGTAGAAGTCAAGGGCCCCAGATTTAGTCAATCTGGGCCTCCCACGTGGGTACCAGGAGCCCAAGTATTTGGTCCATCTTCTACCTCTAAGGCATATTATCAGGAAGCTGGACCAGAAGCAGAGGTGGGACTTAATGTATCCCAGGCAGCAACCCATTGTGCCACAAGGCTCACCCCTGTGGCAGGCATTTTATTTTACTTTCTTAAAAATAATTATTTATTTGAAAGGCACAGTTACAGAGAGAGAGAGAGAGAGATCCTCCATCCACTAGTCTACTCCCCTAATGGCCACACCATCAGAAAGGGAGGGAGGGAGAAAAATGCTCACACCACAAAAATGATCAGTCTACTATCCTGGCTAATGTTAAGTGACTACTGCATCTTGATCAATTATGGCATTAGCCTCACTTCCAGCTTTCCAATCATAGAAGTATCTCTAACATAATATCCCCAAATCACGTAACAAGCCTAAATCCCTAGGTACTTTCTAACACCTTCTTACTGAGGCATCCCAACTTGCTGGAGTGGTTGGTTAGCCTAGTGAAGACATGGGTTAGGACACCCACCCGCACGGAGTACCTGGGCTTGACTCCTGGCTCCTTATTCCAGCTGCCTGCTAATGCAGACCCTGGGAGGCTGCAGTGATGGCTCAAGTAATTGGGTACCAGCAATCCACATGCGAGATCTGGACTGAGTTCCTGCCTCCTGGCTTCAACCTCATCCAGCCCCAGCAACTGCATCTCAAATAAAGAAAGGTAAATTTGGAAAAAAAAATTGCTTAACTAGAGGCAAGGTCCTTGTGGTGTCTGGAGGTTACTGACACTGTTCACATTCTCCTAGGAACTCGTGCATCTCTCATACCCATAACACAGTATTAGCATTTTACCTTTATCTAACCTAGCCAGATCTCTTGAACCTCAGGGGCTGTGATGCTCAATAACATTTTTTGAGTAAACAAAGACCATGTGAACAGTATGTTTTCACACAGACTAAAAACATAAGGGAAGTGGCCAGCGCCGGGCTCACTAGGCTAATCCTCCGCCTACGGCACCGGCACCCTGGGTTCTAGTCCCGGTCAGGGCGCCGGATTCTGTCCCGGTTGCCCCTCTTCCAGTCCAGCTCTCTGCTGTGGCCCGGGAGTGCAGTGGAGGATGGCCCAAGTGCTTGGGCCCTGCACCCCATGGGAGACCAGGAGGAAGCACCTGGCTCCTGGCTTCAGATTGGCGCAGCACGCTCGCCGTTGTGGCCATTTGGGGGGTGAACCAACGCAAGGAAGACTTTTCTCTCTGTCTCTAACTCTGCTTGTCCAAAAAAAAAAAACCATAAGGGAAGCAAAAAAAAAAAAAAAAAATCAAACAGTTGGTCTGAGGTCCTGGCATGGGTAACACTTAAATTTCCCTCACTGGTAGTTTTATCTCTGCATTTATTGGCACTTGGGAAAATGGAATACTGTATGGTAAAAATTATTCTCAAGAACTCCATGCTTACGCTACAACACTAAGCAGCAGAGGAACCCAATTTGCATATATGCTAACATTACAAGTATAATAATCACGTACAGGCAAAAAAGCTCCGAGGCAAAGAAAAAAGGCCTCTGACAGTGTGAATGGTTACGGGATCTGTTTCCCAAATCCTCAGATGGGTTATTACTTCCTTAACAATATTATAACTAATTATAAATGCTTTTTAAACCAATAGCATATAACCTATTAACTAGAACAATTCCGGGCCTCGAGTGACCGTTTTGACAGCTAGAAGCGATTAGTAGATTGTAAATCCAGGGTTTACCATATGCCTTGAAACTGCCCTAAGTATATTTTCACGGACGCCCCCAACCCTAAGAGGCGTTACTATTATCATTCTAATAACAAACACGAGGAAACAGAGGTCCCGAGATTAAATAACCTGAGATCTCACAGTCAGAGGTAAAACTAACTCTGAAGCCGGGAGTACAGCTCCACATTTGACCCACAGGAGGACAGACACTAGCCCCGGTGGGGCCGCTCGCTCAACCCCTCACCTGCCAGAGCTCTGTCGCCTTCCCACATTCGGGACGTCCCACCCGCCAAATTGCGACGGCTCACCTCTCCAAAGCTTTAGCGTGACTTCCGGCTAGGAGTCCGCCTCTCCTCATCGTCCGGTTCTCCACTCTTCCCGTGTCAGTCCTTCTGTTTTTCCCTTCCGGCACCAAACTAGAGGGTAGGACACTATAGTTCCGGCCTACTGGGGAGGTACCGGAAGGGGAGCAAGGACCCCCGAGCTAGATGCGCAGAACCTTGTGGTCCACCCAGTCCCCAAAAGGTCCGGCTACCACTGCTCCCGGTCTTTTCTGACCTGTGTGAGAAAACAGGATTTAGAGAAGTTTTTCGCCTCCTCTTCCTGTATCCCGCCTGCAGGCTGCAAACTCTATCCCTGCATCTTACACATGGGACCCAATTAGTACTAGCGCCCTCCACCCCCCGGTGCCGGTGTCCTCCCATATTCATCAAGCCCCACAATCCCTCTGTTGTCTGCTGAAACTGCACCGAAGACCCACCACGCACCAGGACTGCACCCCGACCTAACGGCCTCTACCATCCCGCTCCGCGGCGCCGCCCACGCCGCCCGGCTAGCGTTTTATCTTGCGCACACGTCTGAGAGCACTTCCAACATTGTGTGTTACTCATTCCCTTCTCACTTCCTATGGGCTGGGTTGCCAACTGTGCTGTTCTCCCTTTCACTAGCGTCTAGCCTAGCGATGACAGGAACTGGGAGCTCAGCGTGAATTTGAAAGAACCCCTAGCAGACTGGCTGTTCTCCAAGATTCCGAAAGAGCTCACCACATACAACTGCCTTCTCCGGTTTCTTCCGGCACTAGTTTCCACACCACCTCCTCTTCCGGCTTGAAATTCGGCTTTGACTTGCCTAGACACTGCACTTAGCTCTTCGAACTTACCCAGTCTCCCTCCTTAACTTCTCTTCCCACACCATTAAGTGAAGGCAGTCTCCGTGCCTAGCCTGTGCCTCCTTCTTTCCTAGTTTCAAATGTGTTCTCTACAGTTGGGTCATGTCTTTCCTAAGCCCCAGCGCACCTTTCCAGCTTCCTTTAGCAGTTCCAGTTGTGGGATACACTTCACCAGCATCTCAAATTTGATGTCTAAAACTGAATGTATCCTTTCCTTCATTTTAACTCCTCTTAGCTTCCCTATTTCTGAAAATTCCCACATCTTTCTAGGCTGGAAATCCTTGGCTATCCTTGGATTCTCTCAAAACCTCCTCCCAAACGCACTAAAGCCTATTGAGTTATCTTTGCTGTCTTTGATTTCTACTTCCTTCCCAAACTCAGTGACACTCTCAAAGCTTTATACAATTCACATTCAGACTTCTGATTGCCCTACTCTGTACACATAACAGCTTAACTATTTCCATTTTTAAAACATGGTATCCAAAGCTAAACACCATGTTTTGGCCTCCAAGTGGGCTACCACATGAAGTCTAAGCCTTCCATCTCTTCTATGACTCCATTTATCATTTACACTACTCATATGCATCTTCCATTTCTCATTCCAGCTGGTATCTGCCTAAACCACACTGATTCTTCTTCATATCAGAATTAAGAGTCCCTCCCCCCCAACCATTTGGTTTCATACGCTTACGTGACCTCTTTCTACCCTTCAGCCAACTGGTCTAATAGTATTCACCTGTTCTGCACTGCCAATCAGGGGCCTACCAATTAGGCTAGTCTCAAGATTTTCAGAACCAAAATTGAAGGATAACCCTTTTAACCCTGCTAGCTAGCTCCTGAGATTCCTGCTAATAATATGAAGGAAATTAGTTTGCAGCAAGCAAAAATAAAACCAAGACACTGAAAGAGAGGTAGGTCAGGGGGGTGGAGATGGGAAGGTTAAAGAGAAGTTAATGTTCAGGTTGTCTGTTATAGTAGTTCCTGAGGCCCATGCTCCTCCCATGGCTTGGCTATTTAGTCTTTGGTTTCTAAACACAAATTCATTTTAATTAAATTAATGAGTTGGATTTCTATCACTTGCAACCAATTGTTGATTGACAATATTGACTTCACCTATTCAGAACACACATAAGTCCTATGTTCTCCTTAAAAACTTCCCTAATGTCTCCATCTCCTAAATTGTTGCTCCCCTTCTGACAACCTATCATATTTATCTCTTATGCTGAACACACAGGCACTGAATTATGTTCAAATGAAAACTAGATTTTAACAACACTAAACTGCTTATTCATTGTTTGATGTGTGCAAGGCTTAGCTCTTCAACAGGAGGGTAAAAACCTTGGAGGTAGTGATTTTGTCACATGCTTAAAAACACACATCTTCTAAAGTAACCTGCATGAATGCAGACACAGAGTGAGGACTGCCTCAGAAGCCAAAGACAAATTTCGTGAAAACATTTAGGAAGGTCTGTAGTAACAAAGTCCAACAACAACAAATACTGTGATAGTTCTGACAAGAAGCTCCAACAGCAATTCGAGCTCTTTATGAGACAAAAAGAATTCCTTCCATGACTAAGAATGATCAGATTATGAAATCCAGGCTCGGTGAAGAAGTAAATTCAGGAAAGGTTACCTTAAAATAAAATGAAAAGGCAAACATGGAGGCATTGAGGTCTCACCACAGATTCAACATTAGCCCTCTGCTTTGCTGATCCAAGAAGGTGATTTAACTTAACTCAGAGGATTACTTCATGTCAAGCTAATTCATAGGAGGAGAAATGACAAATGAGAAAGTACATTTATTCATCTGCAACAGGAAATGGGTTTGACTTGAGATCCAACACCAACTACCCAGAACAGTTCCTATTAGTATGGAAGCCTTTCCTGCAGGCCAGACACAGACCAGCAAGTGAGGAGACTCCCGCATCATTAAAATAAGCTCAAGGCCGGCGCCGGGCTCACTAGGCTAATCCTCCGCCTGCGGCGCCGGCACCCCGGGGTTCTAGTCCTGGTCAGGGCGCCAGATTCTGTCCCGGTTGCTCCTCTTCCAGACCAGCTCTCTGCTATGGCCCGGGAATGCAGCGGAGGATGGCCCAAGTCCCTGAGCCCTGTGCCCTCATGGGAGACCGGGAGAAGCACCTGGCTCCTGGCTTCGGATAAGCGTGGTGCGCCGGCCGCAGCAGCCATTGAGGGGTGAACCAAAGGCAAAAGGAAGACCTTTCTCTGTCTCTCTCTCTCACTGTCCACTCTGCTTGTGACAAAAAAGAAGTTCTACAAAATAAAAACAACATCTATTTATTAAAAAAGAGAGAGAGAGAGATAAATAAGCTCACAGTGGGCAGGAGTTTAGCATGGCAATCAAGGTGCCCACATCCCATATCAGAGGACCTGGGTTTGAGGCTCTCCTCCTGATTCTAGTTTCCTAATAATGTGTACCCTATGAGCAGTGGTGATGTCTCAAGTATTTGAGTCACTGCCACCCACCTGGGAGACCTAGACAGCGTTCCCAACTCCTGGCTTCAGCCTTGCCCAGCCCTGACCCTCAGAGTGAACCAGTGGGTAGAAGTTCTGTCTCCTCTTTCCAATAAATATATAATTTTTTTAAAGCTGGTGAGGGGTTGGCACTGTGGTGCAGTGGATTAAAGCCCCAGCTACAGTGCCAGCAACCCACATGGGCA